TATGATTGATTGAGTGAGTGATTGAGTGATTGATCCTATATCTGATGGATAGATGGCCTAATGTTTGGATTGTACTGAACTTAATTTATTCTAATAATTCAAATGGAACAAAAATATCTGCCTCAACATGGATTTTTTTTTTTTTTATTTTTTTTTTTTTTATGCATTTGTCGTTTTTTGTTAATGACACCGGATCTGTCACGTAAAGTATGTGTGATGTAGGTAAGTAAGTAGGCAGGCAGGTGGTATCAGGCATGTATACTATACAAGACGCCCTTGTTTCTTCCTTGCTCACTGCCTATCCTATCCTATCCCACGCTATCCTACCCCATCATCACACTCACTTCCCCTCAGCCTCAGCCTCAGACTTGACCCTCTTAACCACACCCTCTCCCTCTCCCGCTCCCTCCTCATCACCACCCCTCTTCCGTCCCTTGCCCGCCACCTTCAAGCCCTCCCCAGCTTCCGCCTTCACCTCTTTACCACCCTTAGCGGAAGCAGAAGAAGCAGGTTTCCGCCGCTTCACGAGCCCGCTGATGTCGCTTGCGGCCTGGATCTTGGCGCGCTGTTCCGCTTCGGACACTGCGCCTGCACCTGCACCTCCGGCTGCGCCGCCCAGCACGTCTGCGAGCAGGCCTGAGAGGAGGGGGTTCGTTGCTGCTGCGTCTGCTGTTGGGTTTGTGGTGGTTACGGCGGGGGCGCGCAGGTCCGCGAGCTGTGTGTTGTTGTTAGTTTTGCGTGTTTTGGGGGTGGGTGAGATGAAAGAAGGAAGGGGGATAAGAAAATAAAACACGTACCCGTCCCTCCATATCCTCCGTCATGTCCCTCACGTCCTCAATCTGGCGCCTCGCCTCCTCCGCCCTCTCCCCCTTTAGCCCCGCCAACGCCTCCTCCTCCACCGCAATCCGCGCGCGACAGCTCTCAATCGCGCTCTCCATGTGCGTGACCGCCTCCGCTCTCGCCTCCTCATCCACCGCCGCGGCCGCGTCAGCCGGGTCCACCTTCTCGCCCGCCTCGGCCCGCGCCTGGGCTTCGCGCACGCGCGTCATGGATGCGAATTCGAGCGCGAGCGACAGCTTGAAGTGCGCTTCGGCGACGAGGGCGGACTCGCGCGGGTAGAGGGATTGTTTGAGGGTTAGTGCGGCGCGGAAGTCGGAGACGCTGTCGCTGAAGCGCTCGTTCTCGAGGTTGATTTCGGCTTGCAGGTCGTGCGTGTCGGCGAGGCGTTCCGAGAGCTTGCGCTCTGTGGGGTTGGTGGGGGGCGTGCTGGCGCGCGCTTTGCCTTTGCCTTTGTCGTTGCTGGTGGGGGATGCGGTGGTTGCGGATGCGGTGGCTGCGCGCGCGTCGTCCAGTTGCTTGGTGAGCAGCACGCGCGCGAGGTCGAGGATCTCGTAGGCGGTGCCGAGGTCGTCGTCATCGTTGTCGTCTTCATCCTCGTCGCCGGAGGCTGCGCCTTCCCCGTCGGAGCCGGATTCGTCGGACTCGGTGTCCCAGTTCTCGTCGCCGATGATTTGGAAGTAGGGCTTGGAGTCGACGGAGGGGGCAGCAGCCTTGTTGCCCTCCTCCTCCTTGGGCTTCTTTTCTCTCGCGTCGCCTTCCTCAGCGCCTTTGGCCTTTTTGCTCTCCCCGCCCCTCTTCCCCTTCTTCTGCTTCTTTTCCTCGCCCGCGACGCGCCCGCCCAGCACGTCGCTCTTGGCGATGGCGACTTTGTACAGGCAGCGCCCGTACAGGTACAGCAGGTCGGCGTTCTCGGGCGCCATTTCGCCGCGCAGCTCCGATTGCGCCTCGGCGGCCTCGGAGTAGATGTCGGCGGCGGCGGTGTAGTTTTTTAGCTCGTACTGCAGGTTCGCCTTGGTGAGGAGGTCGGCGAGGCGGGCGGCGGGGTCGTCGGAGGCGGCCATGGTGTGTGAGGTGTGGATGGATGGATGGATGTTTGTGGTGGTGGTGGTGGAGCAGTGCGAGCGAGAGAGAGAGAGAAAGTGAGATGGAAGCGCGACGCGCGACGCGTGTTTGCTTCCGCGCCGAGTGACGCCCGCGCGCGTCGATGGTTTTGCGAACGAACAACCGTGCTCAGACAAATGCAATGCCATTGAAGAAGCAATAATATCAAAACTCCTCGCCATGGCTTCTCTCAATCGGCCGCGCGAGCCCGAGCCCGCCGCCGTGCTCTCGTCGTCGCCCGCCTTTGCCACGCCCGTCGCGCCCACCCGCCCGCTGCGCACCGCGCCCATCGCCGCGCCCGCCGCTCTCAAGCCCACCGTGCTGCCCGTCCTGCTGCCGCCCGCGACTCTGCGCCCGCTCGCCTTTCGCGTCTTCACCAAGAAACACAACCTCACGCTGGGCTCGTCGGCCCTCGCTGCCCTCGCTACTTTCGTGGGACGCCACTGCGGCTCCGGATGGCGCGAGCAGGGCCTCGCCGAGCGCGTGCTCGAGGAGGTTGCAAGAGCATGGAAAAAGGGCGGCGGGCAGGTCATTGTCGACGCCGAGGGCCCGCTGCTCAAGAGCATCCTCAAGACGCTCGAGGGCTGCATGAGCGGCGGCCGCGTCGTCCAGGCCAAGCAGCCCCCCGCCCTGGGCCGCGATGCGAGCTTCAAGTTTGGCCAGCCGGAGAAGCAGGACAGCTTTGGCATGAGCGAGCTGAACGTGGCCGACGACGACGACGACGACGACGACCAAGACTTCAAGGGCAGTCGAGACCCGCGCGACTGGATCAAGGTCGTCAGCGCCTTTGAGCAGCCCAAGATGGTCTACAATGTCACCAAGAAGCACTTTGACCGGTCGACGGCCCGGCCCTCGCTGTTCCCGCCGCCCTCGCACAAGACGGACCTCTTCCGCCAGCGCTACCACATCATCCACCAACGCCTCCTGCGCAACGACGCCTTCCAGACGCCCTCGTTCGCGGGCAACCGCTCCTCGTCGCTCCACCGCACCGCCTCCATCTCCACCACCTCGACCAACAAAATCACCCCCGTGGCCAACCTGCTCGGCCGCAGCGGCTCCGACCACCTGCTGCTGGGCCTGCTGGCCGTCTCCCCGACCGGCACCCTCGTCCTCTCCGACCTCAGCGGCAGCATCTCCCTCGACCTGTCCCACGCCCGCCCCATCCCCGAGGACGGCGCCTGGTTCGCCCCCGGCATGATCGTCCTCGTCGACGGCACCTACGAGGAGGACTACAGCAACCCACAGGCGGGCTCGGCCGGCGCGCTAGGCGCCACAGGCGGCATCGGCGGCACCATCGGCGGCAAGTTTATTGGGTTCAGCGTCGGGCATCCGCCGCCGGAGCGCCGCTCCCACACGCTCGGCACGCCGGACGCTGCAGCGAGCAGTACGTCGGATGCGGGCGCCTCTATGGGCCCCGCCTTCGGCTGGACCGACTTCCTAGGCTTGGGCTCCGAGCGCGCCACCGGCGCCCGCATGCGCCGCATCGAGAGCCGCCTGCTAGGCCCGGACGCGCCCGCCCACAAGCAGACCAAGATCGCCATCGCGGCCGACGTATGCCTCGACAACCCAGCGACATTCAGCGCGCTGCGCGCCCTGCTCGGCACGTACGACGCGCTGCCGCCAGACGAGTACCCGCTCGCGGTGGTGCTGATGGGCAATTTCGTGGCCAATGCCGCCATGGCGGGCGTGCCGGGCCAGGGCAGCATCGAGTACAAGGAGCACTTCAACGCGCTGGCAGCGGTGCTGGGCGAGTTTCCGCGGCTGGTGGCGCGCACGACGCTGGTGTTTGTGCCGGGCGACAATGACGGCTGGGCGTCGGCGGCGGCGGCGGGGGCGGCCGCGCCGTTGCCGCGCTTGCCCGTGCCGGATATGTTTACTTCGCGGGTGAGGCGCGTGGTTGCGGACGCGAATAGGGATTTTGGCGGTAGTGGTGGTGCTGCTGCTGTGGGAGGGGGGCCGGGGCGCAGGCGCGAGGGCGAGGCCATCTGGACTAGCAATCCGGCTCGCTTGACGTGGTTCGGCGTCTTGGGCGAGATGGTGCTGTTCCGGGACGACGTGACGGGGCGGCTGCGGCGGACGGGGATACGGTTCAAGCAGGGGAACTCTGAAGGGGATGACGACGCAGAAGCGGAAGACGACGAAGACGAAGACGAAGTCATGCTCGACGGCGATGACGACGCAGCAGCAGCAGCAGAAGCGCGCCGCCGCCGCCGCAGCAACAGCCGCGAAGCGACCGTCGCGTCCGTCATGCCGTCGTCGCCGCCGCCTCCTCCTCCGTCCATGGACATGGACACCACCACGACCACGCCCGCACCCCCTCCCGCCGCCCAACCAGCAGCAGACCCACACACGCACACTGCGCGCGCCCTCACCCGCACCCTCCTCGACCAATCGCACCTCTCGCCCTTCGCGCTCCCGACGCGCCCAGTGCACTGGGACCACGCGCACGCGCTGGGGCTGTATCCGCTGCCTTCTGCGGTCGTGGTCGCGGACACTGGCGCCCCGGCTTTTGCGCTCAGGTATGCGGGCGTGGCGGTGTTGAATCCGGGTGGGTTGAGTGTGGGGAGGGGTGGAGGGGGTGGGGGTGCTGGGGGGAAAGGGGGAAGGGCCAGGTGGGTCGAGTATTGTGTTAGGGGGGGTGGAGGGGCGGTTAGGGAGGCGTGAGCCGGGTGTGTGGGGGCGTTTGGGGGATTGGGTTGGACTTCGATAATCGATATCATTATAGCTGATGGAGAGACTTGTTTAGAAGGAGAATAGGCTAAGATTAAGTCCTCTTTGAGATTGGGAGGCTGTTTGCTGTTTTTTCGGTGTTTACAAGTGCATCATGGTCTATCTTAGCTCCAGCCATTGCAGCAGCAGCTCCATCTTGTAACAGCCATCCGCACCTCGGCAACCCAATCAGTGTTTGTTAAAAAATAAAAAATAAAAAATAAAAAAAAAAATAAAAATAAAAAAATAAAAAAAAAAAACCTTGGGCAAACGCCGGGTCTTGGCTAGTAGTTAACCGCCATTCCAGATCGTGAGAACGGCCGCACATTCCGAGTCGTTTCCACGCACCCGGACCCGGTTCCTGGCCTATCGCATCGCCGCGACGTGGACCGTGGTGTCGGCGACGAATGTTCTTTGCTGCTGATGGCGCGCGCGGATCGTATGTGGAGTTTCCTTGGAGGCTGGAAAAGGGTGACGGTTTGCGTCTTGAGGACGGGGTGATGGGTGTGGGTGTTGATGTGTGGTGGTGATGGGTATTAACTGCCTGACGGTAGAGGGTAAGAAGGAGGCTAGCACATAGGCTGTTTGTCTCGGCTGGGGTTTTTCGGTGAGTGTGGCAGCTACGGCGGCATTCCCTCTCCAACAGGTTTGCAATATGGTGGCTTGTCTACTGCGGTGTTCGCAGTGGGAGTTGGGAGTGGGCAGTTGCTGTTCTCGTGGTGGGGTGTTTGGCTGCAGCGTGCACTCTTCTCTTCGTTTTTGACGTGTCTGTGCAGGAGACGAGACGTCTCTGCTTGATAAACTCAACCACTGTCACCGGCCCGTATTTACGCATTCGTTTCCCTGGAATTTTCCTCGGGATCTGACGAAATGGCGTCAAATGTGGCGGGAAAGCCTAGAAGTGAGCGAGAAGGACTCGACCATATTGCACAGCACAAACTACCTAGTCCCTGAAGCCCAGAACAAATAAAGCAATTCCATGAGAACAGTGCGAGGAACGCCTTACCTATCTTACCATCGACAAACCATACAGCACTCACATGTCCATCAGCAAGCAGTGCGATACTCTCCGGCGCCTGCTCTTTCACGCCAAAACTTCAGATACCAAATCATCACCCTAGCCCAAACAAACACCTCATCGTGGCCCAAAGCTCAACTCAGCCGCGGCTGCAAAGTACTGTACCTACTCTAGGTAGACGCAGCAGCACGCAACCTCTCGACGTCGAAATAAGCATCCACGGCGCACGCACCACCACCGTGGCCGACGATCCGCGATCTGCCCCGCACTAAGATTTTCCAGCAGCACTCTCAACTCACTCTTCCACTTTCCACACACACACACACACACACACAGCACAGCACAGCACACCCCACAGCAAAAATGGACGACATAACGGGCATGGACATCAACACAGACCTGACGACGCAGTCGCTGCTCCTCGCGGCCTCGAACCACGACCTCCCCGCCCTGCGCGACCTGCTGCGCAACACGAGCGCCAACGTGCAAGATAGCGAGACGGGCTTCACGCCCTTGCACGCCGCCATCGCCGCGTGCGAGCGGGACATCGACACCAACCAACAGCAAGCGCCCATCGAGCAAGCCGCAGAAGACGGCCAAAGCAAGCAGCGCACCGCCGACGACGACCTCGCCGCCGCAGCCGCAACAGTGCGCCTGCTGCTCCAAAACGGCGCCATCTGGAACGACCTGGACGCAGCAGGCGAGACGCCCGGCTGCATCGCGGCGCGCCTCGGCCTGCCAGAGCTGTACGGGCTGATCGTCGACGCCGGCGTGCGTGCCGAGCTGCTGCTGGGCCGGCTGGACGAGTACCAGATCCTGGGCGGGGGGGAAGATTCTGGCTCCGAGGAGGAAGACGAGAACGAGGACGAAGAAGTTGAGAAAGCAGAAGGCGAGGAGGACGGGTTCGAGGTGCTCGAGCACGACGGCGCGGGCGAGGGCGAGAGCGAGGACCTCGCTGCGTCGGGCGTCGTTGTTGAGGCCACCGAAGCCGCCGATGATGCCCCCGCAAACCCCGATGTCCAGAGCGCGGCGTACCTCTCCTCGGAGCTGACATTCACGGGCGACCGCCTGCTCGACAGCGACAAGAACGGCGTCATGATGGCGTGGGAGACGCAGCTGATGCGGCGTAGCGCCGAGCTGCTGCTGCCCCAGGCAGGCCTGCGCGTCCTCAACGTCGGGCACGGCATGGGCATCATCGACGGGATAATCCAGGAGCATGCGCCCGCGGCACACCACATCATCGAGGCGCACCCGGCCGTGGCGGCGCGGATGCGCGCCGAGGGCTGGGACAAGAAGCCCGGCGTCGTGGTGCACGAGGGCCGCTGGCAGGACGTCGTTGACGACTTGGCTGCGCAGGGCCTCGTCTTCGACGCCATCTACTTCGACACCTTTGCCGAGGAGTACAAGGCGCTGCGCGACTTCTTCACCGAGCACGTCATCGCGCTGCTGGACGCCGAGGGCCGCTTTGGCTTCTTCAACGGCCTGGGCGCCGACCGCAAGGTCTGCTACGACGTGTATACAAAGGTGCGTTTACCATTATTAAACAGTTTACTTGGTATCTAGTGGAAGGAAAGAAAAGTTGACAGCTCCGCAGATCGTCGAAATGGACCTCTTCGAGGCCGGCTTCGACACTGAGTGGGAGGAGATCCCCATCCCGGACCTCGACAAGGATGGCGAGTGGGAGGGCGTGCGCCGAAAGTACTGGGTCCTGGACACGTACCGGCTGCCGACGTGCAAGCTCATCGGCTGAGCGCGGCGGCAGCGCTCGTCGCCGTCATCGCCGCGGCGTGCCCCGCCGCGCTCACCACTCGTCAATCAGCTCGTTACTCGGCACGCTCTCCTCGTCGAGCACCTTCTTCGCGCTCTCAGGCAGCACAGGCAAGCGCTCGACGCCCTTCTGGCGCAGCGCGGGCGGGACAGCGGCCTTGGGGTCGAGCAAGCCGGCCTGGACCAGCACGCCAGCCTGGTCCCAGTAGACGCGCTCGGAGACGAACTTGCCGCCGCGGACGGCGACGCTGCTGACCATGGCGAACTGGAGGGGCTTGTTGGTGGGCGGGATGCCGGGCAGCAGCCAGGGCAGCTCCTGCGTGTGGCGCAGCGAGACGACGAGCTCGTCGACGACGCGGTCGACGCCGCACGTGCGCGCCACCAGGCGCATGTTCAGCGACGGCGGGATGGCGGGCAGGAAGAATTCGCGGTAGAAGCGCATGAGGTCGCCGCGCCCGATGCCGCCCGTGCCCGTGGGCACGTGGTTCACGGCCGGCGACGGGATCATCGTTGACATGGTTGCCGGGGCGTTTTTGTCGGTCCATTTGTCTGTAGACGCGCGGGGCGCGCGTGGCCATCAGCAAGTTTTGCGTGTTGCGGTTTGCGTGTGCGTGTGCGAGTGGTGTTTGTGTGTGTGCTTGTGCATGTGTGTGTATGATATGCCTGGTATGTAGCAAGACGCACTCGACGTGCACAACAACCTAGGCCAATCAGCAGGGAAGGGCCAAGAGCAAAAACTCACGCTTATTATGCTGCTCGACCAAGTCCTCCATCTCAAACTCGCTGCTGATACCAAAGCCCTTCCTCACGACCGCGAGGGTGCGGCTCCAAGCCAGCCCCGCCGCAACCTCATCCCACTCCTCGAGATCCTCCTCCGCGAACCCGGGCTCGGTGCCACGATACCAAAACGCGCGCGTGCTGCCACCCGTGCCCGCCTGTTGCGCGCCGGCCAAATGCAGCACCAGCGGCAAGCCGGACGGGTACTTGAAGCCGGGGCTAGGGAGCAAGGAAGGATAGTACGCGACGAGGGCGGCGAGCTTGTTCCAGGGTTTCTGGGCGACTTGCAGGGCGAGGGTGGCGGCGGCGCCGAAGGCCACAATGGCAAAGTACTCGCCTAGTGCGAGCGGGTCTGGCAGCGTTTTTAGCAGCGCTTTGAACGCTTTGCTGTCTTTTTCGGAGGGCGTCGGCGACGGCAGCCCGTGGTAGTGCACGCTGAATGATTCGGCGCGGTAGGCGGCGAGGAGCTGGGGCGCGATCGTCGGGTCCGTGCCGAGGATGTGGATGGTGGGCGGGCGGCGGTTGAAGGAGAGGAAGCCGGTTGTTTGCGTTGCGGAGGACATGGTGGGTGGGCGGCGCTTCAATGCGTCGTTTGTCGCGTGGTGGATGTCGGGACAGCAATGGCGGCGCGGCCAGGCGCGATGCGATGGTTAGGCAAGTAGGCAGACAGGCGGGCGGTTGGAGAAGAGAGAGTGTGTGTGTGTTTGTGTGTGTGTGAGACGCGCGTGCGAGGAGAACGCGCACTTGAAATAGCGCATGCTGACAGCGCAAAAACAAGCAAGGCAGCGCGGCGCGGCGCATCGCCTTGTCTTGCGATTGTTTTCGTTGCCGAGGGGTCGAGTTGCGGGGCTGCGCGCGCTGCCTATGGCGTCATACTGGCGCGCGAATCCGGGTCGCGTTGCCGGGAGAGCCGGCACGTGTGCGTGGTGCAGAGCGATCGAGATGAGCGGTTGGCCTTTGCGCGCTACTGCTGCTGCTCATCTCGTCTCGTCTTGTCTGCCGGTTGCTTGCTGGCTGGCTGGCTGGCTGGCCGGCGCAGGTGGTGCAGCAGCAAAACACGCACGCCCGATTGCGGCGGAAAGTCCCGCCCGCCCCAGGGCTGGCGCCGCAAGCGCGGGTGCATCCATCGCGCCGGCGCCATAAGCTTGAGCAGACGTCGCGCGGCCGCAAAGAAGAGAAGAAGAGGACAAACAGAACAGAACCGAAAGAGGCGCCAACGCAAGAAGGCAGAGAAAAGAGGAAAAGGGCCAGTCGAAGAACCGACACACACACACACGCCATGGCGACAGTATACCGCAGCAGCTCGCTGTACGACAGCGACACCGACGCGCACATCGACGCCTACGCGGCCGACGACATGGGCGGCGCGTCCGAGACGTCATCGTCGTCGTCTGAGATCGAGGTGCGTGCGGAGGAGCTGCTGGCCGGGAAGGGCGTGCTTGTGACGGCGGGGGCGACGGGCGTGGGCGCGGCCGTGGTGCGCATTGTGGCCGAGGCTGGGTATGTGCGTGTTCGGCGAGGGAGTGCCTGGTCTGAGGGGAGGGGTGCGTGGAATGTTGAAAGCCCGGCTGATGGTGCGGTACCTAGGGCGTTTGTCACGATTGCGGATAGTGCGGCGGTGGAGGGGCAGCGGTTGATGCTGGAGTTGGTAGAGCGGAATCTGCGGTGAGTTTGGCCTTTTATGTTTGTTTGTGATATGTTTCCTCTTATGCATGTCTATCTTCACTAGGATTCTTTTGGTTTTAGCAAACAAGCAGCAAACTAACTCCTCCAAGCGTCCAATTCGTCTACACGACCCTCGCCTCCTTTCCTTCCCAAGCCGAAGCCTTCCACCACTCCCGCCTCTTCTCTCCGCACCACACTCTCGACCTCGTTGTCGCGTGCGGGGCGCTACCTCCACCTCCACCACCATCAGCACGACCCCCAACAACCACACCAAGCACCCAACCCAAGCCCCTCTCCCCCTCATCACAAACGCCATCTCTCCTCACCTGGCTCACAGCCACACCCCCAACAGCCACCCACCCCGCATCATCCTTCCCCTCGCCTCCCCCCACCAGCCCCCTCGACCGCGCCATCACCGCCACGATCCACAGCGCGCACCTCGCGCTGCACCACTTCCGGTTCGCGCCCGCTTTTGACTCCGCAGAGAGCGATGCAGCAGGAGCCGACTTCGCAGACAAGCACTTCCTCCTCCTCGCGCCGCTCGCATCGTATGCGCCGCCCCCGCCACACGTTGCGCGGGATACGTCGCTCGCGGGAATTGCGGCAGCGGCAGGGGTAAGGGCGCTGTTTGGGGGCGTGAGGGACGCGCTTGGCGGACGCGGCGCCGTTGCCGATGCCGACGTGAGGGCGCGGGTGAACCTGGTCGCGGTGCCGGATGTGTTGGGTGGTGTTGCTAGCGCGGAAGGGGGAGGAGGAGATGGTGGTGGGGGGATAAGCGTCTCGGAGAGGGATTGCGCGGAGGTGGTGCTGGAGGTGGCGTGTGCGGCTGAGGTGACGGGGACGGCGTTGGCGGTTACGGCGGAGGGCGTTAGGGATGTGTCGGGTGCGTGAGGTGGAGGGAAGCTGGGAGAGTTTGTCTTGCTGCTGACTAAGGGGTGTCCCGAAACGGCAATCGCCCGCTCCAACATTGAACGTCTGGGTGCGGGCGCGCGGGGGGTTAGTAAGCTGGCGATAAAGGGTCTTATCGGGTATGTGGTTTAGGAAAGGGAAGTGGCTACGGCGTTAAAGGGATTAGGCGCCTGGTAAGACGGGTTGTCTTGGGGTGGGTGCAACTTTCACAATCGTCGCTGACGTACCCACTCATTACTCTCTTCTCTTCTGTATGCAGTCTTCGAGCTTGCCATCGGTCTTGGACCGCAGAGAATCCCAAGGAAAGCCGTATGAAAACCAATTCGGGGATGGACGTTGGTCGTTCAAGCCGAGAATTGGAAGAGATGCCAGCTGGAACACTGCCATCGTGAGTGTTGCTTTCTGCTGCTCTTCATTCGTGGGCATTTAAGACGGTAAAATCGACTGTGAATCTAACCGCTCTTCAGTTGTTCCGTCCATTTTTCCTTATCAAGCACTTCAGTCGGCGTTTCTGTTAAGCGTGCGCCACTCATGTTGCTGCTGTGGAATCCGCAGCAACTGTTCCTTTTTACTTTTGATTAGTTCGGCGGCGGCATAAATATTCGCGCGCATTAACATAAATGCCCATGCCAAGACATTTCCCTATTTAAGCCATCCACCTTCCACCTTGCTTTTCCTTTCTTCAACTCTCTCCAATCCCGACTCCAATCCCGACGCATTGAACAACCTATCGCAGCACGATGGCTTCCAAGAAGAATCGCAAGCGCAAGGCGAAGAAGAACCCGCAGAACGAAGATGACAAGACAGCCCCCGAGCAGGCCAAGATGGACCTCGAAAATGTCAAGGAGCGTGCCAGGATTAGGGTGAGAACAACATCTCTGATCATATCGAGTGCAATCTAACGTCTACTAGAACCCCGAGGGTGACGAACGCATGAGAATCCACCTCATCCTGCTCGGTCTCCCGGTCTACCCCACCGTCGATGACTACCCTCTCGAGACACTCATGGCCGTCAGCAAGCTCGCCCAACTAACCGCAGGCCCAGGCGGGTTTGGGAATGCGCTTTCCCGCGTCAGCTTGTATCGGCTCGAGCGGATCAACGCACGCGGCTTCAACCACAACAAAGGCCTCGAGACGAAGGTCGAAGACATCGAGAACGTGATCAAGTTCCTGAATGGCGAGGCGGTCCGGCAACGCGAGAGATGGCGGGGCTTCTCCGCGCCGCTCCGCGCGCTGCGCAACCGCTTCGTCGTCCTGGGCTTCCCCGAAGTCAAAGACCTTCTCGACTACGACCCGGAGTTGCTGAAGCTGTTGAGCGACCTCTCCGCCGTCTCATACAACAACTTCATCTTCGTGACCATTTACGTCGCCCGTTCGCGCTGGGCGCGCCTGCTTGATCCGGCGCGTCGGCACACTGGCCCCGCAACGACTATCGACGATATGCGCAACGCGATCAAGGAAGCGAAGGAGAACCCTGTCCTTGGCCCTGATGGCAAGCCGTACAAGCCTACGCCGATCGCGGATGAGGATGATCCCGAAACGGTCGATCTTATGGAGTTCTTAAACACCATTCGTGACAACTCGACTGATGAGGCTAGGAAGAAGGACGTAGAGCAGCAGATGGAGAGAATGCGTCAGGAGAATCTGCGTGATACCCTTCTTGCGCATGGCCCCAGTTCATTTCAAACTCTTGGGCTGCCGCCGGCTGCGGCGCAGACCTTCAGGTCTCTGATGGAGAGCAAGGAGTTCAAGGACACGACTAAGAAGCAGAAGAAGAACAAGCCCTGAGGGGCAGATTGGTGCTGGTATCTTGGTCTAACACTTGGTTTTGTTGGATGTCTAGCTATAAGCTTGCACGTTGGCACTTTCATAGCATGACGCGTCCATGTCATGGTCACTCTCGATCTGTAGGGAAGACTGCAAATTAACCTCTCCAAGCAACATGACATTCAAACCCAGAGTGGTGTAACCATGAGTAGTAATACGCCTCTCGCTCTCGCAATACATGCCCCTTAACTACCGACTCTTTCCCCATACTCATACCAACACCAACTCTCTCATAAACTCCCAGGCGCCATACATACCAACCACCTCCCCTTCCATATTTCACCATCAGCACCACAACCCTTCCTCACGTCCCACGAACAACAAAACCACTCAACCATGCCTGCACAAAACACCTCAATGCCAAACTCCTACCACTCTCGCAAGATCCCAGGAGTCAGTGGAAAAGCATTGTACTGTACCTTATGACTGTGCAGCACTACATACATCAAGCCTACGGGGCCCCTCTCCCCTTTCTCAAAGTAACCTCACACCTCTTTCGATCTCGCCAAAGCACGGTCCATTTTCTACTGCTGCTAAGTAAATGCTGATGATGGACATCACCGAGCTCTAGTGACGTAGAACTTGAGAGGCTGGAAACGATGGGGGACGGTGTACAATGTTGGTAGCGGTGGACGAAAGCGTTGATGTAGCTATGTTTGATTTGGAAGTTGGGTGGGCGTGAAGAGCTGGTGTCTTTGTTTGCTGTTGGGGGTTGTAGGTCGTGCGGGCAGCCCAGCACCGATAGTATCCTCAGCAGTCTGGTTTTCGGTTAGTGCTTCCACTAAGTTCTTCAGTGGGTCTTTTTCTCGCTAAGACGCTACTGGGAGTTTAGGCCTGCTTTTAAGGTCTTGTGCCACAGCAGGAGCAGGTTGTTCCCTTGAAGGTAACGGCTTAAGCCACGGGAATCATCCTGTATCCCCATGTTTGAGCCCAGGTGCTCTGTGTCAGATGAAGAGACTCTTCCGCGCTGTGGCAAAGCCGCCGATGCTTGTGTCTTTGTCGTTGGAGCTGTCACAGTTTGCACATCCAGATGAGTGCGGCCTACTTGTCATCTCATCAGGTCCTCGTGGCAGTCTAGACAGGGTTTTTTCTGAACGTTTGTAACGATCGCAACTCATACTTCCCCGTCACTGTTGCTAGGAGGGCTGACCGGAGTGGGTATTAAAAGCAGTGGGCGTGGAGGAGATTTATTCGGGCGCATAGGTGTGCGGGGCAGCTGTTACTTGCACTGCCGGTTTAGTCAATGGAGTGTTCGGTAGGTGGTGGTGGGCTTTTCTGAATCGTCGGTCTGGGAGTTGGTGCATGATGTCTCTACACCTAGTTCCTTGTAAGCTTAGTATGTCTGAAAACGGAAAGAGTGATATGCCGCTGGTGTCGGCGAAGAGATTACGCCTATAGGTGAACAATCTTTAACAAACCCCAAAATAGCTGTCCAACATAACCCCGTATCTTCATGACATTCAATGCACCATTTTGGTACTGCATAACTGCATGATGTCAATCACGTAGACTTTATGAGAACGTGGAAAAGACACTGTGCGGGTGAACGACGGGTGCATTGTTCCTCTCAATCTCCTTTATCCAAATGCTTATATCGAACAAACCTCAGGTACAAACAAATGGAAAACTTGACGTCGTTACCCATAAACCAAACTTCCAAACTTCATTTTCAAAATGCATTGATGCTATTAGATCTTCCCCGGCATCGCAAAGCCGCTTCAGCAGCATCTGTTTCTGCCGGGTCAGTAAGTAGTCTCTTTGAAAGTAGTTGACGGCTCGAACTCACCTCGGCATGCGTCACTCATGACGATTTCGCCATTTGGGCTGTCGATGCGACGGACTTCCTCAGCGCGGCGGATCTCCTCCATGCGGCGGATCTGGTCCCGGAGACCGTTATTCTCTTGATCCAGCTCCTGGACGCGGCGCTGAAGCTCAAGGATCTCGCTGTCCTTCTTCGCCAACATATTGTCCTTCACTTTGAAGGCCTTGGTGAGGCCATCCGGACGGCCGACCGGCCTCTCACGCTCGAGCACGACGTGGACAATTGCCAGGCGCACGTCTTCCTGAGCGATCTGGCCAACCGTGCCGGTCAGACGGCCCCCGTCGGCTTCACTCTCCATGCGGGCGATGTTGATGGCTTCTTTGGCGGCAGGGAAGTCGTTCTTGGTCAGCGCCGCGAGCTTGTGGAGCTCGGATATGAAGGTGAGGTGCTCGATGACCATTTCGGGCCATCCGTTCGACTCTAGGATGGTGTGGAATGACTCATTCCAGAGCCCTTCGATGACGGTGCGGCATTCGGCTATGCCACGGCATTTGCGGTCGGGTTTGAGGTGGAGGAGAGTCTTAATCCGCTTCAGTCTCTTTGAGAACCAAATCTGATATGTCAGTGAGATTAGGATTATGGATGAATAAGATCCGATATTACTCACTGTGGAGGAGGAGCGCCCGTCATTGTTGACGCTAGGCATGTTTGCTGGTGTAAATATGTAGTTGCGTGAAGTAGCTAGAAGGAGGGACTGGGGTTTGGTGTGATGGGAGGGACGTTGGTTGTTTATAGAGGGCACCGCGCACTACGGCGATAAACAACCCGGCGCTCCGCTTTCCGTGTCGGAAGGTTTCCTTCGCCTAGCTATTTGCTTCTAGTTCACTTCACCTTGACAAGGTGCTTCTCAGCGCAAGCAACTCAGTGTCGGCATGCGCCCGCGTCAGTGCGCCAACGGCACAATGCCCTCTCCAGCCTCTTGCCGCTGCCCTGGGTAGATCGCCATCACTGAGCTAGATGCGATCCATGTCGACATCTCAAAGCTTGAGCAGCACCTCGCCAACTCTCGTGGCGCTCTAGGCGTGCGAATTCCTCCAAAAGCTTCGCCACGAAGCTTGATACTCGCCTACTCGATCCCAACATTGTCTCCGACAGACTCGCCCTAGCACCTATGAATGGTACGGAGTCTATACCATTGCTGCTAGCCCATCTCAATAGGAAAACAAAGAAGACACATACGCGCTTCGTTACCGGGGTGCTGGTCGAAAAGCCAATCGGACGGAAATCCTGGAGCTCAACCGTCATGTTCGTGCGTCCATCAAGGTCGGCAGTGCTTCAAGAGATTATTGTCGTATCATCCGCTTCTTTCGGCAGTTCACCCAGACCTTCAGAGACCACCACCCAACCAGCGTTGCACGTGCGGTGGAAGGACTTGTTAACAAAAGCCACAAGACGAATACCATGTGTGTGCGATGACACCTAGAGGAGGTCTATGGGAAAAGGTTTGCAGGCTCCAACAAAGCGAGAAATGGTCCAAAAGACAAACAAGCAAATAAGCAATGCCATGGGATAACGAATTCCAAATCTTTTGATCCGACATAACGGAGTGTTTGCGCTTTAAGGGAATTGAGCATGGTAGCTTTATTACGTGATTGCCTCAATGATGTCAAGACAGCCATGTGTGCGAAAGACCACACCTTTCTGCGTGTCCGATTCGTCCTCGGCCTTGAGGCCTAAGCCTTATCGTTATTTGACTTACTATAGGAAAAAACATTTGAGGTTAAGAGACTCGCGCAATAATGCAGTGACCTTGATGAGCGTACACTTGGTACTTTGTACGTTTAGTAAGAATTGCCACAATGATGTGCTCCGGCTCCTGTATGCCTTCATTGCTTTGATATATAAAGGAGCTTGTTGGTAACGAAGAATTCGCAGATAGCAAATGTGGAGATGGGTAAAGTAGAGGTCGGATTTGGGTTTGTGCAGGGTCTCGGCGGCGGACCGTATTTAGATCCCCGCCTGTTCCACAGCTTGGCACGTGGTTAGGTATCGTCACTACTCTAATTCAACTGCCTCTGCTATAAGCCACAATTCTTTGGAAAGCCAGGTAAATAGCAATGCTCAAAACTGCCACGGACGAAGGTCAGTGTACACGGAAATCCATTAACTTGCCCGCATTACAAGACAATTTTTTATTATTTAGTTTCTCTCCTCAAAGCAAAGTAAATTTCTAGAGACTCCGAGAGTCAGCCTCAATAGCAATGTTGGCGGAAAAATTTCTCTGTTTAGGCAACCACTGAAATACGTTGCTGAGTGTGGCGCAGGAATTTACTGAGGGGTTGTTGTACAACATGCCCCACAGGCCCACTCTTGTACACATAGGCCCTGCCGTTCTCCAATCGAAATCTACTCTATGCCTACTGGCTGTGCTGAATCTTGGAGTTTCCATCTTGTCATGCTTCCTCACAGGCTGGGCTGATGTGAGCACAAGCATGGGGTCCGGCTTGCAGAAACACCAAACATCCAATCGGATGAAACTGCGATGCAGCTTGGCAGAGATCGCTGCCTGGCTTGGAATGGGCCAGCCACAAGGATCGATAACCCTGTATTTCATGTATCACAGCTTCCCTAGTTTGATGCCCTGCGTTTAGTGCCTGTCGTACCTGCCTTCCCCCACTTTCTACTTAAGGGCGCCTTTGTCCGCGAGAAAACCGCCTTTCGTTTGTGTCAACGTTCGCTGTCGTCTCAGCATCAATTCGGGAAATTTTTAAAGCTCAAGTAATCCTTCCCGAACACTGCCACTGTAACCATGCCATCCACGGAAGAGAGATCCGCCAATGGCGATGCAAGCTACAAGATAGAGTTCACGGTAAGCAACCACGTGCCCGGCACAGCGTTGCAACATCACACTGATAGCTCGTACAGAAGTTCTACAACACCATCAACAACGAGCTGAGCTCAACCGCCACGACGCGTCACAGCATTGACCCCGCGACACAAGGGACCCTTGCCGAAGTGCCCGTCTCGACGAAAGCCGACCTTGATGCTGCCGTCAAGCACGCCAGGGCTGCATTCCCTCCATGGGCCGCGACGCCATGGGAAGAGCGTGCTGCGAAGTTGCGCGCATTCGCCGACGCTATTGAGGTCAACAAGCACGAGATCACGCACATGGTTGTGCTTGAATCGGGCAAGGCCATCACCACGGCGAACATCGAGGTCAGCTTAGCCGTCAACCATCTCCGTGAGACGGCAAAGCTGCAGCTCCCGGAAGAGGTACTCGAAGACACCGACGAGCGCACCACCATCGTGCGATATCCCCCCATCGGCGTTGCGGCCGCCATCGTTCCCTGGAATTGGCCACTCCTTCTTTGCGTGGGTAAACTGGGACCGGCATTGCTTGCTGGAAATACGATCATCATAAAGCCGTCACCGTTCACGCCGTACACGGACTTGAAGCTCGGTGAGCTGGGCGCGAAGGTCTTCCCTCCAGGCGTCTTGCAGGTCCTGAGCGGCGATGATGACCTGGGCCCCATGATCACGGAGCACCCAGGCATCGACAAGATCAGCTTTACTGGATCCACCTTTACGGGGAAGAAGGTCATGGAGAGCTGCAGTCGGACGCTCAAGAGAGTGACACTCGAGCTCGGTGGCAACGACGCCGCGATCATATACCCAGACGTTGACCTTGACAAAGTGGTTCCCAAGGTTTTTTGCTGCTCGTTATCCGAAGGCTCAATACACATCGCTAACGCAGGTCCCTAGATCGCGATACTGGCCTTCCTAAGTACCGGCCAGGTTTGCATGCTCGTCAAGCGTATTTACGTCCACGCATCCATCTACGAGAGCTTCCGCGACGCCCTCGTCGCGTTCACGAGGAACCTTCGCACTGGTCCTGGCTCGGACCCTGAAGTCTTCTGTGGCCCCATCCAGAACAGCATGCAGTTCGCCAAAGTGCAGGACATGTACGCGAGCATCGCGAAAGAAGGCTGGACAGCCGCGCTCGGCGGCGTAGATGCGGGGCCGGAGCACCACTCTGGTGGCTACTTCATCGAGCCCGCCATTATTGACAATCCGCCTGACGACTCACGTATCGTGACCGAGGAGCCGTTTGGGCCAATTGTGCCGCTGCTGAAGTGGGAGGACGAAGAAGATGTCGTTCATCGCGCGAACGATACGAAGATGGGCTTGGGAGCGTCGGTCTGGAGTAAGGATATCCAGCGCGCGCATCGCGTTGCCAGGAAACTGGAGGCGGGGAGCGTATGGGTGAACTCGCATTTTGATGTTTCACCGAATGTTCCCTTCGGCGGACACAAGTGGTCGGGGCTTGGCATGGAGTGGGGCGTTAGAGGATTGAAGGAGTGGTGCAATACGCAGTCGTTGTGGTTGAGGAAGGACTTTTGAGAGAACGATCCTGGGACGTTCTGGAGGCTCTGGTCTTCTGAAGAAACAAAACTGAGACGTGGCGTAGAAGGGGTATAAACAGTATGGATACAAAACAGCTTACGAGATGTACCTCTAAGCACCCTGCCCTCTATACTCTTTCTGTCTTGTCTTCTTCACCCCATCATGCATCGTCTCAGTCCCGCTCAAACATATTTGTTCTCCCTCGCGAACTGCAGCCCAGCAGCCCAATGGAACAACTTCGCCGAAACCACCGTCTTCTCCTCCTTCGAATACGCAACCAAGCGCTCATACAACTCGCTCAAAGGCACAACAACGCGCTGGATATACTCGCCCTCGTCGAGACTCTGCTCAGGCAGCTCCTCTTCCTCACCCAACTTGACCTCCACCATCGCAACCTGCATATTCGCGCTCGTCATACCCGGATCACTCGCCAGCGTGGGACTAACACTAACAACGCGGCCCTCATAGCCGGTCTCCTCCTTAAGCTCGCGCAGAGCCGCCTGCTCGGGCGTCTCCGCCGCATCAATCAGCCCCGCGGGCCACTCGACCGTGTACGCGTCGAGCGGGGGCCGGTACTGCAGGACGAGGAGGGTGGAGGCGGGCTTGCGCGGGTGCAGCAGAACATTGCCGATAGCGACGGCGTCGACGCCGGCGCTGCCGCGCGTGCGGCGGGACGCGACTTCCCAGACGCGCGGCGCGCCCGTTTGGTCTTCGTAGTGGATTTGCTCAAGGTGGATCCATTTCGAGGCGTCGTTGTTGAGGGGCGTGACGCGCGTGACGCGCGGGGTTTGGGTGGGCGCGGACATGGCGAGCGTACTGCGCTGCTGGGTGCGTGGGGACGGCGCTTGTCGTGGTTTTGCGAGTGGTGGGCGGGTGCGCGGGAAAAGCCGTCGCAGCATCAACTGGGGCGCGGGATGAATGGAACGCGATGGATGGTTTGCACTGCGATGCGATGCGATGCGACGAAGGTTGAGGTGTTTTTGAGTGACGCAACTCGCACGGTTCAGGCGGGCGGAAGGGCGGGGCTGCCCGCTCCGTTAGTCTTCCCGCGCTGCAACCTCACTTCTTCAACTTCTTGACGGGACGATGGGGTTGTGTAAGTAACGCTGGGGGATTGACCTTGTGTGAGTAGTTCTCGGTGTTTTCTACGTTGGCGGCTGCTTCGGCGGTTGCTGTTTGCTTGTTGTGGGCTGCAAGGCTTCTCGTCCCTGGTTCTGTTTACCTGAAGAGCTGCGTAAATGGTGATAAGAATGTCCCGAGGGCACGACGCGGGCTGGGTAGGCAAGGGGTGTTTTATGGGAAGTGAGGGTGAAAAGGGGGATGACGACAGGTCCTTGACCTAGCTGACCAGAATGAAGTCCACGAGAATGGAGCAAAAAGAGACCAGTGGCTGGCTATGCCTGCGTAGCTTATGCTGTGGAGAAGAGCTTTGGCAAGGATGGTGGGCATTTTAAGGTTAAAAACGGTATGCCCATCCTATCTAATACTTTCAGTAATTGTCTATGTACCTATACTCTACTGTACATCATAGACGATATGATTTAATAGCAGATGCATCCGATATGCTCAATCACCATATTTTCTCAGATGTTTACCGCCCTCTACCGAACTTAACACAGAAGTGGTGGGTTGCGTACAGTCACCGGATTCATTCACCAGTCACCATCTAAGTCAACTTTGCCATACTTGTGGCTTCCAGAAGAAGTTGAAAATAGAGTTTCCAACCCTATAGCATGGCTGTCTCTTTCTTATAGTTTATTTAACTCCCGCGATTCCACTCGTGCGGTCCTCTTCGAATCGGCAAATATTATACTGTCAGCATTTTGGAAAACCCTATTCATTTGTCTGGTTTGCGTGAGTTTGTTGGGGTCGCTTTGATTTTTATAGTATCTGTCGATCCATAAATATGTGTAGTTCAGATCCAGAGTTACTTTCATAGCGTCCTTGATAGACTTTCCAAGTGATACAGGCAGTGTGTTTGAAATGATATTTTCCACAGGGTTTTAGACACCGGCAGGTACGGATAAACCCTAGACATAGCTCAACGCCATGTATTCGGGGTTTTCAGCAGCAAGTCCGATCTCTCGAGTCTTGCAGTTGATAAGTTGAAGACCACTGACTGGTATTTTTCCTTTCGAATTGCAGGTGTCTTTATAGCTCTTCATGCAGCAACAGATCTTCTTTCTTAGGATACTCATATTGATAGCCGGAGGGTCCAAAGGCCGTCTTTCCCGAACTGGTAACTTGCGGAACTGGTACTTTCCTATAACCTTTAACTCCAGTTAGTTGCCGAAGATCTCCAGGATAAAACTTTTTACAGCGGCTTTGCGAATATGTATGTCCAGGTCAACAGGCAGTTGCACACATATAAACTCAATCCTATGGAGCTTTTGCGCGCAAAGGAAGAGATTGCAGAAGGGACATGCTTGTTCAGTCGTGGACAAGTCAATACAAAATGAAGGCTCTTCCATTGTGCTTGGATTGAGGTCGAGTTGTTCGAAAACCTGGTCCAGGTTGAGGTCCGCACATCATTGACAAAGATTTGCTCTATGTACGGCCTCGTTTGCGCTTTTGGAGAGATATCCTTTCCAGTCAAAGCGATCCTTGGGATCTACATAGCAAGGTTTTCCAAGAGGTTCTACTTTGATTTGTAGTATGTCGGAATAATCCTCGAAAGCGAGGCTCCTGGCCGGTTGTTCTACTAGGGAAGAAGGGCGATACGGCTTCGGGTTTGAGTTCAAACTCCGTAACTCTCGCATTCTGAGCATTTGAATTAGAGTATAGATCGTCAAGGAAGAGACATGACGCCTGTTTTGATCGTTTCTCATTGTAGAGGAACACCCCCATGTTTTTCTGCTCAGCCACAAGAGCTGGACTTGCCAAGGGTCTGGAATTTAGTTCTTGTTGTGATTGTTTAGATATTCGGTATCTGAAAAGAGCAGCGACGGTAAGGCATCACTTCTTTCCACAACAGTTTGTCGACGCAAGCGGCTTAGTCAGCTCAGCTGCCTTATCATCTTCGCAGCTACCATGACTTCTCTCTTCAACCACCTCACATCCAGTTCAGCCTTACTAGCCCGACGCTTCATCCCAAAAAAACGCCAACTCAACCGCAAACCGGACAGCAAGCTTTGTCAAAACCATCTTCACTCCCCCTTTATCATTTACAAGCGGTCACTCGGCGGAATGGCTTCAAATATCGCTACAGGCAATACAACCGGCCAAGACAATGACAATGATGAAAACCAACAGTCGGAACCAATCAATAAAAAGGTCCCAGCAAATGAGGAATTTTTTGAGTTTTACCGTCTAGAGTGGCATGCGTTACTTGGGAATTACATTCGCAAAGGGGCTGAAATAAGGTGGCCCGACAGACGCGTCCAAAACAAATTCTTCGCATGGACTTTGAGTACGGGTAAAGGTAGGGCAACTAAGAACCTTTACACAGTAGTTCCGCATCTGGCGTATGAGGGAGATCCGACACCTCACTTTGAAGAAAAATTTGCGGATTTCTGGAGACATATTTATTATCATTCTGTCTATACTCTACAAAGGAACGTTGCGGCCGTGTGGCCCGACCCGAACGAGTCTATCATGTTCTTCGCATGGCTTAGGGATAGGAATAACGGCAAGAAACTCTCATTAACGGTACCTATGTCTTCAGTGCAAGATGAAAGTCCGGAACAGCATCTCGAGGACGACGATTCGAAACGCTCTGGCCATGATTCGTCCATAGCTTCCACCGGTTCGGTACACACTTCAGACGAGACCAATGACGGCAGAACTGAAAGAAGCATGAGAGAAATGGCCAAGGTAGTTGCGGAAGAGCGGACGGACACTGACGAGTCTACCAATACCAACAAGCCTCCACCTGCAACTCCACCACGACCAGCTTCTCCGGAACGTGCTTCTCCTGCACCAGAACCCTCCACAACCACCCGGCAAAATGTTGAAGAGGGGAACGTGCGTCCGATCGAAAGGCTTGAGTACCAGTGCCAGTGGCATATGTGGAAGTACAACGTCCTGGATGCCGCCAACCAGAGGCATGAGTGACTACCTTTTAGGTAATGTAGTATATCCCAATCCCACCACCGACGCAGCGGGACATCATCAATGCGTCGAGACCGACGACCAGGCCAAGGCATGGCTGATCCGGCAGCTGAGCAACAGACTTCGGGGTCGAGTCATCACCCGCATCAGTGAAGACAACACGTCAGCCGACGTCTGGAACCTGCTGCACACGCTGTTAGAGCCGGACAACATGCTCTACGGCATGCGGCTGAAGATTGAGTACGACAACTGCGTGCGTTCCAACTATGACTCCGTCGAGGCCTTCACTGACGACCTGCTGCTCAAATGGCACTGCTGCGGTAACGCGCACTGGACAATTCAGGCTATGGACGTGGCTATCAAGCTGGTCATGGAGATGGAAGACGAGGTCCCGATATGGTGCAGGCAAGTTCGTCAAAGGTGGCAGGAAGCCTCGTTGACGCCTGAAGCCTTCGCCGAAGTCGGCATCTATGCTCTGGTTGACCAGGTCAACGAGGAGATTCGTTATATGAGTGTGTTGGCTCAGACGCGGACACTTCGCGTCAGCTCACCCACTAGCGATGTGACTGTCGAAGAGGCGTAGTCGATGTCTTTGGTTTTATCTTTCTTTCTGGACAATGTTCGTTGTACGCTTGCATTGACTTTTTTTCTTTCATTATTTCTCAACGACCTCCATTCTCAACATCAGTATAGGCGACCCTTCCAACTCTCACCAAATAAGCACGTAACCACAGGACCCTGCGGTTTTTTCGGTCCTTTTGTTAGAATCAGGGCATTCTATTCCAGCGATCGTTTTTGGGTGGAGAACCAGCGCAAGGGAGACTCGGCGGTATGGCGATGAGATTGGAAGAGTGGCTTTATTGTTTGTTCAGTAGCGCTCTCATTGTATGCCTACTGCATGGCATCCGGGCAACAAACAAGTAGTGGTGGATACACTGGCTATGAAAACATGCAAGGCACAATCCATAGCCAATCAAGAACTTTTACAGACTGCGTGAAGTGCCACGCCCATGTTATCATCATCATCATCATCATCATCATCATCATCATCCACATCCATTACCAAGAAGCAGCGGCAACAGCGATACAGACGTCGTAAGAAGATTCGAGAGACACCTAGCGGAGCTACACCAACCACCTAACCACCAATGAATGATCAAGCGCCGGCCCCCCTCCCCCGCACAATCGCCCTCGCCCGCTGCCGCTCCGCGCGATCCACAACCCACACGACGCCGCCCTGGGCGCCGAGCACGCCCTCCTGGGCCTCGCGCTCCACCTCGTCCCACTCCTCGTCCTCCATGCCCGCGACGAGGACCAGCTGCGTGCAGCGGGCAAACGCGTCGCGCAGCGCGTAGCGGCCGCCGAGGGCGACGGCCGCGCCCACGACGCCCGCGACGTCGCGCTCGAGGCGCACGGCGCCGAGTTCGCTGACGCGGCCGTAGCACGCCCAGATGCGCTTTTCGAGGGCGCGCGCGAGGTAGGCGACGCCGGCCGCGAGGAGGCGGTCGAAGTTGCGGGGCGTGAGGATGCGTTTGAGCGGGCGGGTGAGGGCGCCCCAGGCGCGTTCGAAGCGGCGGCGCACGGCGTCGTCGGCGGCGTTGGCGGCCTCGCCCGCGGGGTTGTCCGGCGCGTCGGCCGTCTCCAGCTGCGCGGCGTATTGCGCTAGGATGTCAGCTGGCAGCGCGTAGTCGATGTCGCGGAAGGCGTCGGCGAGGATGGGCCGGATGCGTGGTTTGAGGACTTGGTGGAAGGCGACGCTCGTGCCGTCGGCGATGAGTTCGGAGGTTTTGGCTTCGATGCCGTGTTCCATTGTCTTGAGGGCGTTGGCGACGAAGGTGGCGTCGTGCCCGAAGGGGAAGAGGTCGCTGAGCTGGTGGGCGGGGGGCGCGGGGGGAGCGGTGGTTGTGGGGGAGGCGACGGAGTTCGCGTCCGCGGGCGAGGTGCCTGCGTGCGAGGCGACGATGCGCTTGATGTAGTCGGTCGCGACGTCGAGGTTGTTGAGCAGCACCGTGAACGCTATGATTTTGTCTTCCGGGGGCAGCGCGCCCGCGATCGCGGCTTTGGGATACACGTCGTCGCGCATCTTGCGCTGGATCATGCCGACAAAGTCGGAGCCCAGCACGCGCCCAATGGTCGGCACCACGCTGGACACGACGCCGCGCTGCGACGTCGCCAGCGCGCGCTGCAGCACCTGGTTGACAATGTACATGACGTCGTCGACGGCGGAGGTCACGAACGGCGGGCTGGAGCCCAGCGGCTTGTTGGGGTTCAGCGTCAGGCCCGTCGGCGCCTCGTCCAGCTGGAAGGCCTTCTCCACCGACCGCCGGAAGAAGAACGTCGTCATGATGTTGAAGGGCTCGAGCAGCGACCCCGTCACCTTCTTCGCCAGGTTGCTGGTAGCCAGGAACTCGGGCATCGTGAGCGGAGGCTCTTCCTGCCCGGGCAGCAGCTCGGGTTCGAGGGGCTATACAAGGTTATGCGCGATGAGCGGGGGCAACTTTGCCAATTGGAAAAGAAGACTTACAGCGGTCTTGGAGGCGAGGAACCTGGTGTACAACGACCAGCGCCCAAGCATGACTGCAGTCTCGCCGAGCAGGCTGTCTACTTCTTTCATATCTACACCCTCGTCCTCGCTTGCTCGCGGCAAGCCATCACGCCTGGCCGGGGACGCCGAGCGCGGCGTCCCGCCAGGAGGAGCGGGGAGAAAGCTCTGGACAAGAAAGGAAAACGCATAGGATTTGATATCTGTCAACTTCCTGTCGATGTTCCGCTCATCCCGCCAGGTGTCGAGGATTATGCCTCCCTGGACATCCGCCTCCATCTGGAGACGCTCTATGACCTTGCCCATCTGCCCCGCGCCGTAGTGGCGCTCGACGAGCGGCTCGTGCCCACCCACAATCTGCGCAATGTGCTCAAACAGCTTCGTCAAGGCATTGGCGTAGAAGAAGCCGTCCTTGGCCTGCGCGCCGCCCGCCGGGTTGAGGTTCGCGCGAGCCCGCGACGACACGCCGTGACAGACGTAGCGGCCGTAGGCATCCAGGCCGACATCAGAGCGGCCGATCAGGGGAAACAGCTTGAAGAAGCGGGTGACGCCTCCGCCGTCGCCGTCCTTGGCGGCCTTTTCAAACTCGCGCAGGAATAGCCCGCACAGCGACTCGGCAGCGTTCTCCAGCGTCACGCGGGGCGGGTCGGGCACCTCGGCCGTGGGGACGTTTTCCTCGGCGAAGCTGCCGTTGACCACATCGGCGGGGATGGCCGACGCGCGGCTGAGGTAGCTGGCCGCCGTCTCCCAGTCCTGCGGCGCGCCCATCGAGCCCGTCACGCCCAGCACGCAGGCCTTGAGCTCGGCGACCTGCTCCACCACCTCGAGCGTCGCCTTGACGTTCGACTGCTCGTTGTCCAGGCGCTTGACCGCCGTCGAGATGCGATTGGCCGTCGCGGCGGCATCGGAGAGCATGCCATTGCTGATGGCGCGAGTGTTGACGACCTGCGAGCCCAGGTGGGCGCGCAGCAGGTCGAGGCGGCCGAGTTCGCGCGAGAGGCCCTCCTGCGAGGCGATGAGGGTGTTGAGGCGGGCGGTGACGGAGGCTTCTTGGCGGTTCAGGTGCTGGAGGGTGGCCTGGATGTCGGCGACGGAACTGGCCTTGTAGATGTCATGATTGGCTTGTTGGGCGGCGTGGCCATCGCGGGGGTGGAGCGCCGCCATGTGGTGAGGTGGATTGCAATCTGGCGAGTCGTCGAGGCGATGGGCGCTGCTGCAGAAGGTGGCAGGGAACGCGCGCGCAGGCAAGCTCAACGCCCAGTCGGTGCAGGCGCCCAAGGCTGGTACTGCGCTGACTTGACGCGTGCTTGTTGTCTGGCCTCTTTTTCCCTCTTGTACACTCTACTACTTACTTTTACTTGAAACTATTCTTCTCGTATCCGTTTTTGGGCGCCATTCTCGTCCCACCAGCCAGCTCCCGTGCCCGTCACCACCTTCGCTGCGCCACGCAGCCCAGCGCCCGCCAGCCAGCCGAGTAGCTGCTGGACACACTGTCTTCCCCCCCTCCCGTGCTCTCTCCTCCCTGAACAACACCTGCGATCGACTGTATAGACTTACTCTCCTCCTCCTCCCTCCAACCTCTCTCCTCCGCGGCCGTTCCATGCCGCCGCCACGGTTATACTAGAAACAAACAACCCGTTTCCCGCTCCGCTACTACATACTGCCTGTTTGCTACTTCATGTGTGCACGCCAGCCTTGCATCTCCACCGAGCCTCCGACCTAAAAGTACCTTATCCCCGCGGCTCACTTCGGAAGCGAACCGAACCCCCGAACCACCACACCACCCATGGACGTCGTCGGTGACGTCCTGCTGAGCAGCCATGCGCTGTACGCGCGCGCCGAGGAGAAGAGCAGCGGCCGGCCCACGTACTACAAGGTGGTGGGCATCATCCTGGCCATAACCAGCGGCCTGTTCATTGGCGTGTCGTTTGTGTTGAAGAAGAAGGGCCTGCTGCGGGCCAACGAAAAGTACAACGAAGCGGCGGGCGAGGGCTATGGATACTTGCGCAACTGGATGTGGTGGACGGGCATGACGCTCATGATCGTCGGCGAGATCTGCAACTTTGTCGCTTACGCCTTTGTCGACGCCATTCTGGTCACGCCCATGGGCGCGCTTTCGGTCGTCGTGACGGCCATTCTGTCCGCCATCTTCCTCAAGGAGCGCCTGAGCTTCGTGGGCAAGATTGGCTGCTTCAACTGTATCGTCGGCTCAGTGGTTATTGCCGTGAATGCGCCCGAGCAGTCGTCCGTCGCGACCATCCAGGACATGAAGAAGCTGGTCATTACCCCGGGCTTCCTCTCCTATGCCGGCGTCATTATCCTCGCCTGTCTTTTCGTCGCGCTCTGGGTTGCGCCGCGCTGGGGCAAGAAGACGATGATGGTCTATATCAGCATCTGCAGCATGATTGGCGGACTGAGCGTCGTCGCGACCCAGGGCCTGGGAGCCGCCATTGTTGCCCAGATCAGCGGTACTCCGCAGTTTAACCAGTGGTTTCTCTATGTCCTGCTCGTTTTTGTCGTTTCAACCCTACTAACGGAGATTATCTATCTCAACGTAAGTCATGGCGTCTGAATGAGATAAAACCACCACCTAACAAACTCGCAGAAAGCCCTCAACCTTTTTAATGCCGCCCTCGTCACGCCCACCTACTATGTCTTCTTCACCTCCGCCACCATTGTGACCTCGGCCATCCTCTTCCAAGGCTTCGCAGGCGGCGCAACCACCATCATCACCGTCGTAATGGGTTTCCTGCAGATCTGCTCGGGCGTCGTGCTCCTGCAACTTTCCAAGTCCGCAAAAGACGTGCCCGACTCGGCCGTCTTCAGCGGCGACCTCGACCAGGTCCGCACCGTCGCCGAGCAAGAAGAGCCCGAGTACGAGCCGCGCGCCGACACGCTGCGCGGCGGCGCCTCACTGCTGCGCTCCTTCAGCGCGGCCCGCCAGCGCCGCGAGGCCGCCGAGGTCAAGACCTTGCATTCCGAGTCGCTGGAGCCAATCGGGGAGAACGAGTCCGTCGAGTGGGATGGTCTACGCCGGAGACGGACAGTCCACGCGCCCGGCAACAGCGCCGGCTCCATCCAGCGCCGCAAGACGCTGCATCCGCCCTTGGGCATGTCGCATATGCCTTCGGACAGCGACAGCGACGCCGACAGCGCCGACGACGTGCACCCCGGGTTCTTTAGCCGGCTATCGCGGCGCCGCAAACGGAATCACGGGCACAGCAGCCTGCCACAGCATTCAAGCACGCACCCAGTACCGCTGGAGAGCATGGGCAGCAGCGGCGCGACCAAAGCCAGCGGTCCGCCGATTCTGCCACCAATCTTCGCGCACGACTTTGCAACGGACCCGAACGGCCCGCCCTCGGAGCACGTCTACGGCCTGCCGTCGGGGCTGCGCCTGCCCAACCGCGCCTCCTCCCCCGGCGAAGACACGACGTACCGGCCACCGCACCTGCAGTGGGCGGACCGCGCGGGCGCAGACAGCTCCGCCCCACCCACGCCGCCGCCGCACGCCTCGGGCGGGGCCTCCCTCGCCTCGCCGCCCCAGAAGCGCCAGTTCAGCTTCCAGAACGTGTTCCGGCGGCCGGACAGCACAGACGGGGCAGGGTCGACGCACTCGTCGATACGGCCGGGCACGGCGCGCAGCGCGCTGAGCTTCCACGGCGCGGGCGGCAGCGGCAAGAAGGGCGGCGCCGGCGGTGGCTCAGCAGCAGACAACACGGAGGAAGAGCGCATGGGCCTCGTCAAGGGCGATAGCTACCTCGGCCAGGAAGAGAGCGAGGAGCTGTATGACGGGCCCCCGAGCCCCCCGACCTACGACTCCTTCGACGAGGACGACGACTGGGAACTCACGGGCCGGCCGGCAGTGCAGCCCGCGAGCGCGATGGGCGGGCGCTCGTACCGCGATAGCGGCGGCAGCGGGGGCGGATATGGCGTTGCGGGCGGGTATGGCGGGTATAGGGACAGCGTGGGCAGTGGAGTTGGAGTTGGGAGTGCGAGCGGTGCCGGTGGGGGCCATAGTCGCGGCCATAGCCATAGCCGCAGCCTTACGGGTGGAGGACTGTTTGCTGCGCCTGGCGATGTGAGGATTCCGGGCGCGGCGCCGGGGGGCGGGTCCGCGCTTGCGTCGTCCGCTCAACAGGGGAGTTCGACGGGGGCGGGAGCAAGGGTCAGGCGCGCGAGTGACGACTCTGTGGACTCGTATGATGAGGCTGTTGGGGCGGGGAAGCTGTAGTTGTTTTCTTTCCTTTCCCTTGTGGTGGTGGGGGTTGTGGATGGGTGTTTTGGGTTGGTATGGTTCGTTTGGTTGTGTTCGTTTTGTTCGGTTGTTTGGGTAGGGTTGATGGGTAGGGAGGGTGAGTATCAAGGTCAAGGTCAAGGTCAAGGTCAACAAACGTCAACAACAAGCCAACAACAACAGCGAGCGAGCGAGCAAGCAAGAAGAAGTGCACAACCACACCAAACACACACACACAACCAAAGTCACGAAACGAAACGTCACGAAAAGCACAGGACAAGACACGATTCGACACGATTCGATACGACTACGATCTGTACGCATGTATGTATGTACGTATGCAGGCTACTATGTAGGCAGACTACGCATTTATGTAGACAAAGTACATTATACATACTCAACATACGCACGCAACACCATACATGCCACAAACCCACAAGCACACACGAAGCACACAGCTGGCGTGACGAAGCGGAACAGGACCCTCGGACGCAGCGGGAAGCCCGGAAGCTCGGTGTGCCGGCGATCGAGGTCCATGGTCGGAGTCGGGCTCGGAATACGGCTGGCCCGGATTGGAAGAGAGGCGGGGTGTTTGGTGTGGCTGCTGTGGCTGTGGCTGTGGTGGTGGTGGTGGTGGTGGTGGTGGAGTCATTGGGTTTGTGCTTGGGTTTGGGGTTTGATCATTCAGGAGGGAGAGGGAGAAAGAGATGTGTGCCCGAATATGTGTATCAAAACAACCTAACACACATACACACAAAACCTCACTCACTCACAAACAACACAACGTGCATTAGATAGACAAACGAATAAACAACGGCACGCACACACACACTGGAATGCAGTAGACCGCTGAGGAAGCAAACATACATGTGTAGGTATTTTTATAGCTCGCAATGCTCAACACACAACACACAACACACAAACAACCAAATAAACGACGCAGCAAAAGTGTCGTCTACGCTTTTACAGCTTAACGCCTTTAACTTACGTATACGACTAACACCTACGGCTAACGCCTCCGGCTCACGCCTTCGCCTTCGCCTTCTGCCGGCCGCCAATGCTCGTGTCGATGCTGCCCAGGGCCCACGCGGCCGTGAAGACAGTGAGCATGCCGAGGAAGATGGTCAGAGGCTTGCGGAAGGCCTCGGTCCAAGGGTAGTCGTACGTGATCTGCGAAAGACGAATCAGCGGGTGATGGCTCAGAGGAGATAACTAGGAGAGAAAACGCACAATCAGGTCGCGGCCGCGCCACTCGTCGACGACGTTCAGTGCCGTCAGCTTCAGCGTCGTGCGGCCCAGCGTGTCCATGAACGTCTTGTGCAGCGAGACCTCGTGCGCGACGACGGGCACGCTGGTCTCGAACCTGACGTTGGTGGCGCCCTCGGGCAGGATGACGCGCAGCTCGACGCGCTCGTACTCGACGCCCTCGGGCATGCGCGGGCCCTCGAGGAAGGGCACCTTGAGGGCGTAGCCGTCGCCCGTCTTGAGCTTGCGCAGGAAGCGGCTGAGCTCGGCGTCCCAGCCGACGCGGAAGTTGTACTTCCACCCGCCGAAGACGGGGTAGCGCGGCTTGAGCTCGAGGTGGGCCTCGCGCGCAGAGCTGCGGAACTTGCTCGTCGACACGTTGCCAATGTCGTCGGTGAAGTAGGGGTTTGCGGCGCCCGGGTGCAGCGGCACCTGCAGCTCCTTGAGCGCAGACGTCACCGGGTTCATGTACTGCGTTATCTGCCACTGCACGCGGCTGAACTGGTTCTTGAGCTGCGCGCCCTGGTTCGTCAGCCAGTACCGCTCCTCGGTCGCCAGGTTGCCGCCCCAGTGGCTGATCTCAATGTCGCGCTCCAGGCGCGTCGCGTGCGTCAGCGGCTTGGTGAACTCGTACCGCACCGCCACCGGCTCCTCGGCGCCGGCCGGCACCTCGTTGTACGGCCCGTACGTAAAGGTGCTGCCCTGCCGCGTCGGGTCCTCGGCCTGGTCCGCGTTGCTCGCCGGCAGCACCGTGTAGTCCGGCACGTCGGCGCTGGGGAACTTGAGCTTCGTCTTCTGCTTCAGCGTCGTGTAGGCCGACGGCGCGTAGGCACTGAAGGCGTACTGGACGTATTGCTTGTCGCGCTGCTCAATCGTCGCGGGCAGCGGCCTCAGGGCCGACAGGATGGTGTAGGAGATGCTGATGGTCAGTTGCGCCGAGGGCTTGAGCGGCTCCGGCAGGCGGATCAGGTAGAACTCGGTCGTGCTGGATGCGTGTCAGCTCTGAACGAGGACGCGCGGCACCGCGGCCAGACTTCAGTCGTGCGGGATGGAGCTGTGGCCTCCAATGGGGAGATGGCCATACCTCTCGGTGTCATACTCGACGACCTCGACCTTGAAAGGCGCCTTCTGCGCGTCCTTCTTGTCCCTGACCTCCAGGCCTCCGATGCGTGAAATCAAGCCCGACTCGAAGGGCAGGTAGTACTCAGACTGCGGAGCCTTGTCGACATTCTCAATGATGACATTGATTGTTTCCCGGGGATAGCTCTTCTCCAGGTTGACATTGCGGACGAGGTTGTTGTTGCGGAAGACCTGGGGAGGCTTGAAGTTGCTGGGGAGGATCTGCTTGGAGGAGAGGGCGTCGGAGCTGTTGTAGTGCTCGACGGCGGCGGCGGCGGGGGACAGGAGAGCTGCAACGCAGCTCAGGGCGAAGGCTAACGACCTCATCTCGACCGGACTTGTGGGAAATGCAGCATTGACGGGCGCGCTGGGTTGGTGGAAGTCGGGCGGCTTGGCGGCGGGAGATAGCTTAGTGTATGCTTCTGTGGTGGATGATGCGTCGTGTTCACTTGAGCTTGGACTTCCATGCTCCGTCCCTGCTCGGCGCCCGCCCCGCCCCGCGCCCCCAGCTCCCGCCCGCCAGATAATAAATAATTATTATACATACATACATAGTACTGCTTCAACCATTGCAACATGCTGGCTATGGCTTCTGCTCGGGCGGCCCTCAGGGCTCGCTCCCCCGTCTGCCGCCGGGCCTTCAGCCTGCCCGCTAAGCCGCAAACTTCAGCGCTCAGTCGCGTACTGGAGGTGTCGGAAGAGGTGCAGGAAGCTCTCTACGGCTCCAGGAAGAAGCCCGTCGTGGCGCTGGAGACGACCATCTACACGCACGGTGCGTCGGCCCGCCCTGCCCTCGCCGCCCCAGAGCTTCGCTCATCCTCGCAGGCTTCCCGTACCCCGACAATGTCGCCCTGGCCTCGCACCTCGAGAGCGTCGTGCGCACCATGGGCGGCGTCCCCGCCACCATTGCCATCTTGGACGGCGTGGCACGTGTCGGCATGGACCCTGAGGAGCTGATCCGCATTGCCGCCTCGGCCGGCAAAGAGGGCACGCTGAAGATCTCGCGCCGCGATCTGGCGTACGCGTGTGGCCTGGTATTGTAATCCATTGGATGCGGACATGGCTGCTAGAAAGGCTGACGCGTGACAGCGCCTCACCGGTGCCGACAACGCCAAATTCACCGGCGGCACCACCATCGCCGGCACCATGATCCTGGCCCACCTCGCCGGCATCAAGGTCTTTGCTACCGGCGGCCTCGGTGGCGTCCACCGCGGTGCCGAGTCCACCATGGACATTTCGGCGGATCTTACCGAGCTTGGTAGGACGCCTGTTGCTGTCATCAGTAGCGGTTGCAAGAGCTTTTTGGACATTCCTCGCACCCTGGAGTACCTCGAGACCCAGGGCGTCCCCGTGACTACTTTTGCCGACGGGAGGAATGGACGGGTGGACTTCCCCGGCTTCTGGTCGCGGGAGAGCGGGAGCCCCAGTCCGCAGGTCCTGCAGGACGAGAAGCAGGCAGCTGCTATGATCTGTAAGTTTAAAGTTATGGGTTTCTTTCCGATCGAGTGGAATCTCAATTATCATATTAAATCTTCTCCAAATGAGCACCTGGTGGCTATGTTTCTAATACTCCGCAGATGCCCAAAACGCCTTCCCGCTGGCCACCGGCCTGCTGATGGCCAACCCGATCCCGACGTCCGCCAGCATCCCCAAATCGGAAATCGACACGATCATCAAGGACGCCGTCGAAGAAGCCAACGTGCTCGGCATCACGGGCGCCAAGAACACGCCCTTCATCCTGGCCAAGATCAAGGAGCTCACCGGCGGCAAGAGCGTCACGGCCAACCGCGCCCTCATCTCGTCCAACGTCGCCCGCGGCACCAACGTCGCCAAGGAGCTGCTGGCCCTCGAGGAGTCGCTGAAGGGGGAGTCTAAGCCGAGCAAGTCCATGTGAGAGGCTCACCGGCTATACTGCCCGGATCTGGATGATCATGTATACGGAGCTGATGGCGCGCCTGTCGATAGCAATATACCCGTAGATTCCTCGGCCGTGTCATCGTCGTCGTCGTCGTCGTCGTCTGCAGCAGCAGTCTCTGAAGCACCTCCCACCACCAAAACCACTGACGCCAAGCCCCCGCAAGCAGAGACACCCGCAGCACAAGAAAACGTCGACGTCGTCGTGGCCGGCGCCCTCGCCATCGACTTCGCCTGCAACTACGTCCCACCTCCCAACGCCGCGCCCAACACGCCCGTGGCGCTCTCCCCCAAACCCCACACGTCGAACCGGGCCTCGATCACGCAGACCCTCGGCGGCGTGGCGCACAACATCGCGCTCGCGGCGCGGCTCTCCGGCAGCGGCGTGCGGCTGGCCAGCGCCATCGGCGACGACGCCATGGGCCGCGTCGCGCTGGACCTGCTGCAGCGGGACTCCAAACTCGACGCGGGCAGCGTCGTGGTGCGCCCCGGCGCCCACACCGGCCAGTACGTCGCGGTCAACGACGCGCGGCGGGACCTCGCGCTCGGGCTGGCAGATATGGACATCATACAGGACACGCCCGCGCCTGCAGCTGGACAGGACATCGGCAGCGCGTTCAACGCCGACCTCGCGGCGCTGCGGCCCGCCTGGCTCGTCGCGGACGCGAACTGGAGCCCCGCTACGCTGCGGGCATGGCTGCGCGCGGGGCGGGCCGCGGGTGCGCGCACGCTGTTCGAGCCCGTCAGCGGCGTGAAGGCGGCGCGGCTGTTCGAGGGCCTTTCCGCTAAGCCCCAAGACCAGCACGACGTCCTGTACCCGCGCCCGCTCGCCGACCTCGCCACCCCCAACGCCCTCGAGCTCGCTGCCATGTGGGCCGCGGCGCGCGAGCGCGACCTCTTCGCCTCGCCCGCCTACTGGGCTCTCACGAACGCGTACAACCTGCCGCAAGGCGGCGCGAGCGCGCTCCTGGCGCAGGCGACGTCGGCGCAGCTGGTCGCGCAGGGCGTGCCGCAGCAGGCGCTGCAGCTGCTGCCGCTGGTGCCGTGTCTGGCCGTGACGCTGGGGGCGGAGGGCGTGCTGGTGGCGCGGATGGTGGGCGTCGAGGACGGGGACGGGCTGCGAAGTCCGCACGTGCTCTCCCGCTCGGGGTTCACGCGGGAGGATGTAAGTGCCGGCAAGGCGCCCGTCGGGGGCGTGTATTTGCGCCTGCTGAGGCCCGAGATGGTGCTCAGTGGGGAGGAGGTGGTGAGCGTGAATGGCGCGGGGGACACGTTTGCTGGGGTGTTGGTTTCGGCGTTGGCGAGGGGGGTGGGGCTGGAGGAGGGTGTGAGGGTGGCGATGGGGGCGGCGGCGCTGACGTTGAGGAGTGTGAGGGCTGTGGGGGAGGGTGTGGGTGAGTTGGGGTTGGGGCTGGGTAAAAGGTAGGTGCGTGGTGTGTAGGAGGTAAGTAGTGCTTGTATACACTTATAAAAACGTACATAGTATCACGCAACCTCTTGCCTCCAAGCTCAGCACGCTCTTCCCAACGACAAGCGCAAGCTTGCCCTTGACAGGAACAAGACTGGTAGCAGCCTTCGCGCAGCAGCATTCCAAAGGGGGCTGTCCGCCCCGCGCCTCCTACAACAAGCAAAACCCGCCCACTCACAGTAACATATGTACCCGACCAGTCACAGCGATGCACGTGCTCCGCAAGGACTCTAGATGGCGCACACTAGGGCGTGATTGTGGTGGAGGGCGCCATTGCGCGGGCGTGGTGAGCGTCAGCACAACCACCTCGCCGCGCCACGCAAGCACGCGCGTCTATTAAGTTTGTGGCGGCTCCATAGGACGGCGATGTAATAGTTAGGTCAGGTTTGACCCCGCCTGTTTGTCCATCGTGTTCGCCGATTTGCCTTTGTCTGTATAGCAAATATGTAGGTAGACATAGGGGAGATGGTGGAGGATGGGACGGGCGTGATTCTAGAAGGTGGCTTGTTGCTATGATATGCTGTATATGTGGCTTGAGAGAAGGGGAGGGGGGCTTTTGTTTGCGGTTTTTTTTTTTTGGTGCGGTTGTGGTGGTGCTTGGTTGGTTGAGGATGGTGGTGGTGGTGAAACGGCCGGGTAGCGGGGGCGTGGGAGCTGGGTAGCTTAGTGGTGATGTTTGTTGGTTGGGCCTTCAATGTGTCCATTGGAAGAAGCCACTAGGAGACAGAGAAAGTGCTGCTGTGCTTTGGCGATTTAATAGCATTGCTGGAAGATGTACATACGCATCCAGCATTCGTTTGCCTGCCTAGCTTGCCGGTGCATGCGGTACATGCACCTAGACGAACTTAACCCCCCTTCCTCTCCTCCCACACCGGCTCCCCCTCCTCATCAAACTCCGCCCACTTAAAAAATCCGCACCCATCCCCCTCCCGCCCAGCCGAATATCCCGCATGGCACATCCACATATAACGGCCCCTCGTCGCCCTCTTCCTCTGCACACAGCGCAGCACAGCCGCAACGCCGCAAGCGCAGCGCGGCGTGAACCTCGGATGCAGACTGGGCTTGTAGTGGCGATACGTGACATTGATGCGCTTGCGGCCAGCGAGCGGGTGCGGATCGATGGCCGCGGCCGGCGCAATGCTGTGTTTCCACTCCTCCTGCATGCCCGCGTGCATCACCAGCAGCGAGTTGTGCGGCAGGTGGATTGCGATCTGGCCCTCTGCGTCGGCGCGCGCGGTTGCGTCGCCGCCGCCGCCGCCGCCGCCGCCGCCGCCGTCCTCCTCGTCTCGGGCTACGATTTTGCGGACTCGGAACTCACGCGCGACGCCTAGACTGAGGCTCCCGATTACGGCGCGCGGGCCTAGGTAGGTCATCTGGTCCGAGTGGTAGCCGACGCTCTCGGCGCCGCCGTCGTAGCAGTTGACGAAGGAGGCGTTGGGCGTCCATTCGCGGGCGGACTGGTATTTCAGTCGCTCGCCGCCTTGGAAGTGCTCGATTCGCCGGAGTATCTCGCTATTGACGGTGTCTTGCACTTTGCGTGATACTTTTGCCATTTCGGGCAGTGTGCGCCGGACGTCTTCAACGTGACTGCCGTTGTACACGTACTCGGTCTTTTGCTGCTCGGCTTCGTCCCAGCTGTCGACGTAGAAGCACATCGTGTGTGGGCTCTGGACGACGTTGTCGAAGAGCTTGAAGCTCTGGCGGCCGAAGGTGGGGACTTCGTTGAGAAGTTCACGGAGCAGTGCGTCGGCCTCTTCGGAGGGGAGGAAGTTGTGAATGATGGAGCATGGGGTATGTTTTTCCACGTCTTCTGGAGAGTATAAATGCAGTGTTTTGCCTTTCTGGGTTATCCGTGGTGGTTTGGTCTGAGATTGCTCGCTTTCTTTGCGCGGGAGAGTGTATGAAGTAAAAGAAGACTGATATCTTACCGCAGCTAGCTTTTTTTGAGGACGCTTTGAGCTCTGTTCTTTTTTGAGCCAGTCCGAGGCTCTTTCCACAGAGCCATCGAAAGCTAGTAAAGCTTCAAGCAGACATGGGTGGTCAAGCTCGGGATGTAGCGATGCCAGCACGGCGAGCTTGAAGTCGGTCGATTCATCGTCGTCGACTACCAGTGGCGCGGAAATGATGTTTCGGTCGACATCCGACGGCGATGATCTGCGTCTCTTCTTAGATACAAAGGCGTCCATGCATGTAGATGCTTGGATGGTCAGAGGCAGGCCGATGTCGTCAACCTCGGCAGGGAAACTGACTCGCGGCAGCCGGCGTCAAACACCCTCGCGGCGGTGCAACCCCACCACGAACAGCTCCCGATGAGCTTACCAGCGGTGCCTGGTCGCGTCGACATGAGCACTTGGGTTCTCTCCAGCTTCGCCTTGAACATCGTCCTCGCCGGCCCGCGTCGCCCATGAAATAAGCTGCCCAAGACCCTCCATCTCGTCATTGCCGACCTCCGACCACCGCCCAGCCACCACCATGCTCGAATTCCGCACCCAGGGCTACAATGGCTACAGTGTCAAGTACTCGCCCTTCTTCGACTCGCGCATCGCCGTCGCCGCGTCCGCAAACTTTGGCCTCGTCGGAAATGGCAGGCTGTACATCCTCGGGCTGACGCCCAACGGCATCGTCGCCGAGAAATGGTCAAGCGCACCGTGCCTTGCGATCGAACGACCGCTTACCGAAGTCTGAGAGTGCAGGTTCGACACGCAAGACTCCCTCTTCGACACGGCCTGGTCCGAGGCGCACGAGAACCAGATCCTCACGGCGTCGGGCGACGGCAGCATCAAGCTGTTTGACATCACCCTCTCCGAATTCCCCATCCAAGCCTGGTCCGAACATGCGCGCGAAGTCTTCTCCGTACACTGGAATCTCGTAGCCAAAGACACGTTCCTGTCCTCGTCGTGGGACGGCACGATCAAGATCTGGAATCCCAACTCAGCCTCCTCCATCGCGACGCTGCCCACACACTCGTGCACCTACAGCGCGCAGTTCAGCCCGCATGCGCCCAGCATCCTCAGCGCAGTCAGCTCCGACAGCCACCTGCGAATCTTCGACCTCCGTACCCCCGCCTCAGCCAGCAACCACCTGACGCTCAGCATCCCGATCCACAGCCCGCCGAAGTCGCGCGTCGGCACGCCAGCGATACCGGCCGGAGGCGCACCGCCCAGTGAAGCCCTCACGCACGACTGGAACAAGTACCGCAATGGCGTTATCGCGACCGCCGGTGTGGACCGCACCATCCGCTCCTTTGACATTCGCGCCCCAGGCGCTGGTCCCATGGCCGTGCTTCCGGGCCACGAGTACGCCGTGCGCCGCATCACCTGGAGCCCGCACCTGTCAGACGTGCTGCTAAGCGCGAGCTACGACATGACGTGCCGCGTATGGACAGACGGCAGTGCCATGGGCACCGGCCAGGAGACAGTGGCAAACGACCCTCTGGTGTTTGGCGGTGGCAAGGAAATGGGCCGCATGGGGAGGCACACCGAGTTCGTGACGGGCGTGGATTGGTGTCTTTTCGGTGCTGAGGGCTGGTGTGCAAGCTGCGGGTGGGACGAGCGGTTGTTGGTCTGGGACGTTAGGGCGATTATGGGGCCTTAATGCTGCGGTAGTCATGATGTATTACGCGGCGCTATGGCCTGTTGTACAGCAGTGTCTAACGAGTATGATAGGAAGACTTCTTGGTGTGCCAAGACTTATACCTTAGAGCCACTATGAGATATGACCGAATTCGTTTTCTCAAAATGCAGTGATTGTGAGCCGCTGTACGAAGTAAGCCAAAACAGCAATGAGGTTGAAGTCAGCAAGATATGTCAGAGACGTATGTACCTCTCCCCTCCAAAGAAATCTACCATCAGCCCTAATTAGAGCAGCAAAGCACAGCTATTTTCTTCTAAATGCCAACACCTCAACCATCCCACACCCACCCTCTCCTCCGATGCGCCTCCTTAACAAACTCGACCGCCTTCGCAAACACCTCATCCCTCTCCCTCCTCCCCTCCCTCCCCAGCAAAAACCCCGGCACTACAAACCCAGTCAGCCAACCCCTCTCACACACCACCACACAAGCAACATAAAAGCAAAAAACAAAAATCACCTACCCTCAAGCCAGCCATGCGCCCTCTCCTCGCCCACCAGCACCTCCACCCGTCTCCCCTCCTCCGCATTCGCCTTCCCCTCCCCCCTCACCCTCTCCACAAAAGCAACCTGCTCCGCAGCCAACACATCCCCGCCCGCAACCACGACCATCAACTCCCGTGGCAAGGCCTCCGCCCTCGCCAACCCCGGCCGCAACGCCGCCGCCCCGTCCCCCGGCGCCGCATACGCGCGCATCAGCGGGTCTAACAGCCAGCAAAGCGCCCACTGCGCCCACGACCCTCTCCCTTCCCCCCGGCGCCAGGGCGGCGCGACCAGGTCCAGCGGCGGATAGAACGCCACCACAGCGGCAGGGCGCGCGGGCGCGTCCACCACTGATGCCGCAGCAAGCGCGAGACATCCCCCCGCAGAGAAGCCGTCCAGAGTCACGAGGCCGGCGTCCACGTCCGCGCCTAGGAGGCGGGGCAGCGCGGCCAGCGCGTCAAGCACGTCGTGGTGGGCTGCTGGGAAGGGGTGGCGTGGGGAGAGGCGGTAGGAGGGCGCTATGACGGTTGCGCCCGTGTGCGTTGCTACGCGGGTGCAGTGCGTGGTGTTTAGTTCTGGGAGGCCGGTGAGGAAGGCGCCGGCGTGGAGGGAGATGTGGAGGGGGGGTTTGGGGTTGGTTTTTGGGTGGTTGTTGGTGTTGGGGCTGTGGTTAGGGGGGTGGAAGACGAGTGCGCGCAGGGTGTGCGTGCTGCGTGTGGGGATGTAGATGGTGCTGTAGGTGGGGTGGGAGGTGGTGTGGGGGAGGAGGGCCAGGAGGGTGAGGATGAGGAGGGAGGGTTGGAGGAGGAGGAGGCGGATGCGGATGGTGAGGGGGAGGGAGAGGGTGGGGGAGAGGGCGGTTAGGGTGGGTTGGATGAGGGCTTGGAGGAGGGCGGCGGTGGTCATTGTGTAATGATTTTATAAGATAAAGAGAATGAGAGAAATTGAGAGGTACTGATGATGAAAAAGCTCCGTGCGGGTTTGAAACTGGATTCAGGTATTTTTTTTGTGCAAACGAGACGTTTATTTTCAATGGCAATATGAGAAGAAAGTATAGTGGCCTAGCAGCCTCCGGGTCGCTGTAATGCGCACCGTACTAAGACATGATGCCTCGTGGAGTCGTGCCTCGAGATCCGAAAAGCGGAGGTAATGGTGGCGATCTGCAGGGGCGGGACAAAACTCATCCTCAACGCTTCTGAAACCATCCCTCCTCACGAAACCCCCCCACTCCACGCATTCCCCGTCACCACGCCAGCAATGGCGAGCGACGAAGAGACGCAAGCGCACATTGAGCGCATCTGGGCGGGCGTCAAGCCCAAGAGCGCCATCTACGGCTTCCTGCTGTCCGACATCACGATCACGCACGCGTCCAAGGGCCTGGTGCGAGCGCGGCTGCCGCTGACACAGAACCACGTCAACTCCAAGGGCGGGCTGCACGGCTCCGTCAGCGCGACGCTGGTCGACTGGGTCGGCGGGCTGGCCATCTCGTCGTGGGACCTCCGCGAGAAAAACGGCGTCTCGACCGACATCCACGTCACGTACGTGTCCTCGGCCAAGGAAGGCGACGTGATCGAGGTCGAGGGCAGGGCCAACAAGGTCGGTGGCACGCTGGCCTTTACCAGCGTGGTCATCAGTAAGGTGGTCGACGGCGCAGCTGGCCCTGTCGTTGCGACCGGGAACCACACCAAGTTTGTCAAGGTGTGAGTGCTTGAGCACGGCCTCGGCAGGCACTGATGTTGCAGCTTTCTGGAGCACGGTTCCTCCGGTTTCTACTCAGTAGATCGCGAGGAAGTTCTGTTATTCCCCCGCAGCCAGATCTTATAGACCTGCGCAACCGCCTTCTTCTTTGAGTCTGGCATGGTGTCATTTCTTTTGAATGCCTGGACTTCACTCGGACGGCGAATATTGTATTCCAGCCCCTCTGTTCCATAGCTTTAGAAGCCAGACTCTGGCCCTTGGGCATTGAGCGTCTGGCAATTATGGAGGGGTAAATATAGACAGTTTAAATCAAACTTATAGCATTTGCGATAACTTTTTGGTGCCGACTCCATCTCTCGTGAACATGTCCTGATTTTTTGTCCCCCCTTGGGTATATGTCGATCTGCACCCTTTGCCTCAGTCTGGAGATCTGGGCCTTTGCGGTCCCCTTCAATCAGACTGAGAGCCTCTGCGGCCACCCCACCCAGACACCCCCCATCTCATGGGCCAGGTCCGCGGCGGTCATTCCTGACGCGTCCCTCAGGGTCCTGATGTCGGCCTTGCCCGTTTGATCTCCCCTCATGATTCCCAGGGCCTCGGCTTCCTGGAAGACTTGGGCAGGGAACTCCGAGAGGTCGAGATTCGAGGCCAGCAGGAGGAGCAGCCAGGCGGCTTCGCGACTGGCACCGGCAACGGCAGCGTGCAGACCCGATTGCATGTCGCCGATCGGATCCTGATATCTGAGGACATCGATCTCACGGCGCTCGTGCATGTGCTGGTCGTGTTCGTGTTCGTCGTCGTCGTCGTCATCTTCATCTTCATCATCATCATCATCCTGGAGCATGGCGACCACAGCACCGACATCGCCCTCGCGGCAGAACTCGAGGAATGCCCGGCATTTGCGCTCCTCCGGGTTGGCTTTGAGGTAGCCCTCCTCGCTGAGCAGCGGCAAGATGTCGACGTTCTCCTGCTGGCCGCCCTCGTTGTTGATGTGGCAGAGGACCTGCTGGCCGCCGTCGGGGGCGACGGAGCAGAGGTTGGCAGAGCAGTTGGAGCATTCGGGGACGGTGTAGGCGTCCAGGAGGCACTGCCTGGGCCACAGTTAGCAAGGCGGTGGAAATTGGCGAGGCTGGCTGGCACGGAAAAAAAAAAAACAGGGAATGTACGTACCAGTGAAAATGGCAGCCGCAATTCAGATGCACGTCGTCCGGGACCGTTTTTGGCGCGGCGGCGCTGCTTGAGCTCCCTCCTATGCAGACATCGTGCTCGTCGTCCGACTCGTCCAGCTCGAGCAGCAGCGGGTTCTGGCAGGCGACGCAGGCACTCATGACGGACAGTGGTGTGGGCGCCGTTTCACGCCTTGCCGCTCTGAAATTTTGGACCAGCCCGCAGTCGTCATGCCCGGGATCCCTGCCGCAAGATCGCCCGCCCCCAGCAGATCAGCGTCAGCATACCCCGTAGGAACGTACACACTTTTAGAAACAACAACCTCCCCTTTTCACCACGCCCGCCAGAGCGCTAAAGCTGCCGCCCCCAACACGCCTTGCCTCGCAAATGTCCACGCCCGCGCCCAGGTCGCCATGAGCAGCCCTAACCACTCCACCCCCGCGCCGCTCCCCGCCACTACCACCTCCACCACCACCTCAGACGACGCTAGACACGATTCTCCAGCGCCCCGCTCCGGCGCGCTCCCGAACACGTCGACGGACGCCGCTCCCGAACCTTCGAGCGCCCCCGCGCCGCCCCCGGTGAACCTCCAGGCCTTTACCGACCGCGCCCTGCGCTTCCTCTCCACCGCCACCAACGAGACGCTTGGCGCGTGCTTGGTCGGTCTGGGAGCAACCACGTACCTGGTGCTGGGCAGAGTGGGACTTGTCCTCATCGGTGTCGTCGGAGGCATAGTACTGCATGCGCAGTGGGAAGGTGGTGGCCTACACGGAGATGGCGCCAGCCGGGCCGCCGAGGAGAAGAGACGCAAGGACATCGGCCTGGACGTCGTACACAGAGTTCTGAAAGCTAGGAATTCCGCAAAGGAAGAAGAAGCTGCGGAACGGCGAAATGCAGAGGTCGATGTTCAGCTCTTCTCCGGGAAGCAGCTCGATTATTCGGCTTTCCGGCCGGAGACAGGCGCCGCGCTCAACGAGCTGACGGACGCTGTCATCAAGGAATATGTCAAGTACGTATCATTTCTCTGAGCGTTGTCCTAAATACTGATAGCGCTGTACAGGTGGTGGTATAATCCCATCATCCCCGGCGAATTCGCTTTCCCCGCCGCTTGCCGCAACACGTTGGCCGCCTTCATCATCTCAGTCTCCAACCACCTTTCCCGGAAACGACCTGCTGATCTGTTCCTTGAATTCCTGACAAACTCCTCCGCAATTGTAATCGTTTTCCTGCACGAACTTTCCGGCGCCTTAGCATCATCTCCGAACACACCGCCGGCCGAGGCGGTTCAGAATTACCTGAAACTGAAGCCGGACTGTAACCTCGCCAGTGTGTTGGACCGGAAGCATCAGGCAAAGAAGTTGGACATGGTCGCAGATGATGTCCTCGAGAACTATCTGGAATCAAAAACTTACAACTGCAAGCCTGCGAGGGTATTCCTGAGGGAGATTTTGGCAAAGGTCGTATTGGACATGACCATCACTTCCTGCTCGACACCCGAATGTATCAATGGTTGGATAGTGTACTTTTTGGAAGAAGGCGAACCGGAGTTCATGAACGCCATAGATGCGGGTGTAGAGGGTGCCACTGGCCAGCCCACGAGCAAGAGCCAGGGAGAAACCAAGCAGCAAGCGGCCGAGCGCGAAAATGCTGCTGGCTCCCCCAGCGAGGAGGGCACCGAAGACTCGAAGAAGCACAAACGCACCGTTAGCAGGGCGCAGGACGCCATGGACGATGCGATGAAAGAGGCACAGCGCCTCACGCAGATGATTGTCGAGGACGACGCTCGCAGGCTGCGTGAACAACTCGACAGGGAGGATACAGAGAAGGATAAGGGAAAGTCGAGTACGAGCTTCAACGACGACATGTCCGAAAGCACCACGCAAGGTGTAGCCACCCCCAGCTCTTCCCAGAGCGACCACAACGACGACCGCCGGGCTTCTCTGCAGGACTCCACTTTTATGAAAAGCCCCAACGATTCCATAACGAAAGCGACGAACCCATCAGAAAAGACAAGCTCAAAAGAGCCGCAAATCTCTTCCCCGTCGTCGAAGCGCCAAACCTTTACGAGCTTCGACCAAATTGTGACTGAGAAAACGCCCACCGCGTTAGGAGGAACTCCGCAGGAAATCCCCAAGCCTCCTCCATTGACCTTGCATAATGCCAACATTGCCATCTTCGACGATGCGACGCCGGGAGACAAGTCCACCATCAAGTCGAAACCGGTCGGCGATTATCTCATCCAGATCGAGCCATCGACATCGCACCATTCCGGATGGATGATTGCTAGAAAGTACGCTGACTTTGAGACCTTGCACGAAGTGCTTAAACGCATTTCGATTGTCTCGGGCGTGCCAGGCTTTACCGAAGCGCATTCCAAGCTGCCTTCTTGGAAGGGCCATACCAAGTCTTCACTGCGCGGTGAACTCGAAAGGTATCTCAATGACGCCATGTCGTGGCAGCCCCTTGCTGAGAGCGAAGGAATGAAGAGATTCCTTGAGAAGGAGCGTGGTCTGGACGGATCGCCTGTACTCACCAAACCAGGCTTCGGCTGGCCGACGCCGTCGGCGTTCGAAGCAATGGGTAAGGGCATGTTTGACGCTCTTGCCAAAGCGCCCAAGGAAGTCGCTGGAGGAGGAAAGGCCGTGTTCGGCAACATCACCGGCGCATTTGGAGCCCTGGGCCCGAAGCGGAAGACGACCATTAGCAAGTCCGCCGAAAACAGCGGACCCGAGCAATCGACGCCGACGCCGAGCTCCAGGCACAAGCGGGCAGAGAGCACCGTGTCGGAGCTACCAAATCCCACGCACATGCGCTCGGAGAGCATGCTTTCGATCGCGCCGGGCCGGCGCAGCCAGGACAGCGTGCGCTCCCCTGTCACAGCCAGCCGGCGGAGCACCGACAGCCTACGCACTTCGCCCATCATTGACCAGCAGCCCGCACCGATTGCGCAGATGGAGCGCCGCCCCAGCTACCAACCAGACTTGGACGCGGAGTACAAGATGCGGCCGACGTCATCGTCTAGGTCGTCCGTGTACGGCCGCTCGAGCGTCGAGCACAGCCGCGCGCCTAGCCGTTCCACGTCTGCTCGCGAGAGCCTAGACATCTCGCCTCTTATGGGCGGAGACCAAATCCTGAACCTGCCGCCGTTGCCGTCGGATATCACGGACGACTACGTCGGCGAGGGAGGCCCGTTGAGCCCGCCGCAGCAGCGCAAGCGGCGCAGCGAGGAGTCGAGGCGCTTGTCACGGGCGTCGACGGCCGCGGCGTCCGAGCCGGCGCATGTGAACGGCGGGAGCCCACCGAAGACGACGACGCGGTCAGCGACGACGAGCACGACGGCGACGGCGACGGAGAAAGACCGGTCATCCGTGGTGCCGAAGACGCAGCAGCCGCTGAACGAGCAGGAGACGCAGATGGCGGTGGAGCTGTTCTTCGCCATCATCAACGAGCTGTACACGATGTCGTCGGTATGGCAGATCCGCAAGTCGCTCCTCACGGCGGCAAAGACGTTCCTCCTGCGGCCCGGGAACCCGCAGCTCGAGAGCATCCGCGTGCTCCTGCAAGACACGGTGCTCGAGGCGAATAGCTCGGACACGGGCATTGCGGGACACCTGCTCAAGCTGCGCATGAACGCGCTGCCCAGCGACGAGGAGCGCAGTAAATGGCCGGGGCCGATGAGCCCGGAGGATAAGGAGCGGTTGCGGGTTAAGGCACGGAAGCTGCTGGTTGAGCGGGGCATGCCGCAGGCGCTGACGAGCGTGATGGGCCAGGCGGCGAGTGGCGAGGCGTTGGGCCGAGTGTTTGATTGCTTGCAGGTCGAGAGCGTGGCGAGGGGGTTTGTGTTCGGGCTGTTGTTGCAGGGCGTGCGGGCCGTGACGGCGTAGGGGTTTGCGTCGCTTTTTTGCGCGAGCTTTCTTTTCTGCTTCTGCTTCTGCTTCTTCTTCCTTTTCTTCAACCCCTTCGTCTGCTTCTGCATGGATGGCCGTCACGTCACCACGTCACGCCTTTGTCCGCATCCCCCATTCCGCATTCCCCGTTTCCAGCTTCGTTTCGCTTCGCTTCGCTTCGCTTCTTCCTGAGGTTAGGGCTCTCTCTCTCTGGGTTTCAGTTCAGTTCAATTCGGTCCGCGGTTTTGCTGGCCTTCTGTCGTTTTTTTTTTTTTTTTTCTTCATTCGACTTTTTCCGTCGTCTTAGCATATCCCCCGCCCTGCCTGCTATCCCGCGCTTGGCAGTGTGTGCGCCTGGTCCTGTACTGTACTTCCTCCGTCTTATCGTACCCTCCTCCTATCGTCTGGAGTGGAGGTTTCGCTTCATTCAACTTCGCTTCGCTTCGCTTCGGCTTGCTGCATCCGACCGCCATACCTGTGGTCGCGCTTGGGCGTCTGTTTTTTGCTTCTTCTGCTTTTCTTCTTCTTCTTCGTCGTCGTTGTCGTCATTTTCTTGACTTCTTGGCTTCTTCTTCTTCTTCTTCTTCTTCTTCTTCTTCTTCTTCGCACTAGAAAGCGAGAACGCGAGAACGCATGATCCACATGTTTGCTTGCTTGCTTGCAAATATGCAAGCGGCTGGCTAGAGAGCTAGAGCGCTAGAGAGCTTGCTAGAGATTCTGGCGCTTGTTGACTTGGCTTGCCTTGGCTTTACTTGGCTTAGCTTTGACTTGGTTTGCAGTGACGGGGTTGTTTAGGCTGGCTCGCTTTCGCTTTTGCTTTCGACTTTTTGGGGTGCTTTATTAGCTGTGGCTGTGGGTTTGGTGGGTTTGCTGCGGGAGAGAGGGGTGAGCAGGAAAATGCAACGCAAAAAGCAAAAAGCAAAAAGCAAAATTCAAAATTCAGAGGGTTGGGGTTGGGATTGGGATGAAGGATGGGATGCTGGGCTGGGATCAAGTATACTCGTACGCACTACACTCTTCGGCATAGTACGTTACAGTACACTACACTACACTACATGGCATACACAACACAACACTACGCACAGATAGGTACGAATTGTACGATAGGGTTTGTAAGTTTGGTTGGTTGGTTTGTCTTTCTCTGCCTGTCTCTGTCTCTGCCAGTCTTGTTTGTCTGTCACTCTGTCAGCGCATCTGTCCGGTCCATCGCACTATCTTAGAATTGCCCAACGCACGTCAGCGGGACAAAACGAAAAGAGATGATTCGGAAGGAGAGGAGAGGCGAAGAGAGCACGTCATGTACTCTGTCTAGCTTAAAAGGGCTGGGCTGGGCTGGGCTGGGCTGGTAACTTAGCTGTTTGGCGATGGAGAGGGAGGGGGAGAGGGAGGTATGTAATGTAATAGGCTGTGTACTGTGGGTTGAGTGGGGGGTGTATGATCTACCGCTGCTGCTGCTGCTGCTGTTGTTGTTGTTGTACTTTTACGGCTCGTGGATGGTGGTGTGTAGTTGTAGTTCGTCGTGGTTGTACATACGTTGGATTAGGTACGTGTTACGTACCACGACGAACTAGAACTACAGCGTCAATTGTACTGCATATGTAAACGAAGCAAAATAAAGCGAACAACAAAATCCATACGCTGCACCCCGCTCAAACTTGCGTCAATACTTGTTCTGTATAGATATATGTAACCGCCCGCTAAAAAAAAACCATCAATTTTAACCGCACAACACTTCCTCTCCTCCCCTTCCTCGCTTTGCCTTTCCTCCCCCAAAAGAACTCACCCTACAGCACACACCACCCCCCCTTCACCCACTTCACCCCCACCCCCGCAAACCACACCACTCCTACCCCTTCAGCCCCCCATCCCACCCCCCTTTCCCAAGCCTAAGCCCAAAGCTCACCGCCACAGCAGCCAACAGCCCGACACACAGCGCCGTCGGGCCGTACTTGTCATGGTAGCGCACAGCGCGGCGGTTGCGGATCTTGTCGACGCGCCACAGGTACAGCCCCATGCTGTAGAAGAGGCTGGCGCAGGCGAGGAGCGTGAAGGCCCAGGCGGAGGTGAGGGCGATGGCGTCGCCTGTTGGGGGAGTGGGGGTTAGTTTGTGTTTTTGAAAGAGTGAGGGAGAAGGAGAGGAAAAGGGAAGGGGTAAGGGTGAGAAAACATACCGAAATTCAGCAACGTGGCCGCGATCGAGCTCAGGATAATCGAAAACTCCAACCAGCTGAGGAACGTGCGCTCGGCAGCAAAATACACCTTCGGCTCCACGCGCACAGGCACGTGGATGCGCTTGCCCTTCGGCGCCTTGAAGCGGCGCACCTCGCCGCTGTACTTGGGCACACCCAGCGTCGCGGCCGCGCCACCATTGCCATTGCCCTCGGGCATAGCGGTCGCGTGGGGCACCGGCCGCGCCGCCTTCAGCGCTGCCCACGCCCGCGCCCCCGCTGCACTGGCATAGTGCTCCAGCAGCTTGCGCCGGTAGTGCCACCCGCCGACGCGGCGCGCCTCATCCAGGGCGTCGTCCTCGTCGTCCGAGTCGTACAGGGGGTAGTCGTCGTCGGGCTGGGGCAGGGGGCGCGCCGCAATGCGCTCTTCGATGTCGAGCTCGTTGGGCCCGCCCGGCCGCGTCGTGTTCCCGTTGCCGTAGTCTCGCTGCTGCTGCATGTCGTGCTGCTCCATGGCGTCGCGGGCTTCGCGCAGCCGCCGCAGGTCCTCCGTGTCCGACGCGTCGTTGCTGGGCAGCGGCAGGTTGTCGTGCTCGTCGTCTGTGTCGTCGTCGTAGGGGCCGCTGGTCGAGATGTCGGCGCTTTGCCCTGGTCGCTCGATCCCGAAGCGGTGGCTGATGGGCTTGCGGATGTCGACGTCCATTTGCGGCATCCAGAAGGGGAGCAGGTGGATGCGCGACGGGTTCAGCGTCGCTGTGCCGTGGATGAACTTGCTGAACTTCGGCACTGCCTCGACGAGGTGGCTGGCTGTGAGTTCGCGAATCCACTGTGGCGGCTCCTGTCCGGCTTGCGTCTGGAGCTTGACTTCGAGGACGGCGTACGGGAAGCGCTCGACGTCCTCGGGCGGCAGCTGGGAGAACGGATAGTCGATGCCGATGTCCATCCGTCGCCAGTTGTCGCCCGTCCTCTTCCGGCCATCCAAATTGTCCTCGCGGGTCATGGTCAACTCGGTATCGAGGGAGATACGCACACGTGCGTCGCCCGGGAGCTGGAAGGCAGTGCGGTTGTAGAAAGATCGCGTCACGGGAACCAGCTTGCGGGTGATGACGCGGTACTGGATCTCGCGGGCAAGTTGCTCGAGGTCCGCAATCTCCTTCTCGCCCTTCTTGCCCTCTTTCCGCATCTTGTCAAAGACTTGGTCGACGGTCATCTTCCCCGACAGGAAGGCGTTGACGTTCTTCTCCTTCAGCGCGAAACGCGCCTTGACCGACTTCTCGCCGGTCCAGTCCTCGCGATGCGTCTTCCGCTCCACGAAGATGGTGTCGTTCTCCATGCCTCCGTACCAGCGGAGACGGATGGCCTCGGCACCTTCAGTCTTCTTCAGGCGGCCCGTGTACAGCTCCCAGGTGTCCGTGTTGTCATAGTAGATGGACGAGATGGCCGAGTCCTTGGGGTCGAATTCCTTGCTCGCGTTAAAGACCAAGACGGGCAGGTGCTTCAGGATTATGAGCTTGAGCTCGGTGATGTTGTCCGGGTGCACCCAGTACTTGGTGGTCTGGCGGACGAAGTTTTGCTGGCCACCGCCCGCGGCAGCGTCGCCCTTGGTGGGGTTACCACGCGTCCGCACCAGGTCGTAAAGCTTCGACAGCTTGACGATGAAGGCGTCGTAGTTGTCCTTGAAAAAGGGCTTGGCTCGCAGCCGCGCGGCGAAAACTGGCTTCAGGTGCCATTGGGTTTGTTTCTGCAATATCAATCAGCATGGACGGTAGGCAGTCGGCCCGGACAACGCACATCGTGCTTCTTGATAATCTTCTGGAAGCCCGTGTAGTTGAGCTGGGTGAACTTGGCGAGGTCGTGCACGTCGGCGATGATGTCGCTCAGGTCCTCCTCGAGCAGCATAAAGTCCTCCTCGGAGGGCTCGTCGTCGTTGTGCTGTTCGGCGCGGGCGATGACGTCGTTGACCTCCTTCTCCGAGGCCTTGATGCGGCGCACGATTTCCTGGCTCTTGACCTGCTGGAAGGTGTGGACCTTGTCCAATTCCTGCTCGAGCTCCCGCACGAAGCGCTGCTCGTCGGCCTCGGTCCAGGCGCCGTGCTTGGGCGGGCGGGAGCGGTCGGTGGTCGTGGCATCGCCCTCGCCCGACTTGCTCAGGCTCTCCTTGAGGCCGTCGTAGTCGATGTAGTAGTAGTACCAGTCCTTGATGAGCGAGGTGCGGAGCTGCTGGCCGAACCTGAGCATGGTCAGCCGAGGCGCATGATTGGAAGAGAGGTGCAGGCGGATTGCAGGGGAGTGGATAAGCACCTCATCTTGGCTTGCGGGCTGGCTTAAGCTGTACGACGGCTGACAATTCGTGCAACGCGTGTTGAAGAGGGCGACTTAGCAGTAAGTTAGGTTGTGGCAGTCGTTAATGTCCGGACAGAAAGTACGAATTGACCAGCGACACGATTGACGTCGAATGGCGCACTGGGCGAATGAGGGCTGCGCTAGAGCGCACGTTTTCCTCGCGGCTCCTCCGCTCCACAATCTCCCGTCGCCGCGGTGCACCCGTACCCACGACGTACTTCGTCTCCTCGCGGCTCTGGCATACTTAAGGCTCCCCGCCCGCACTGCCGGATACCTGAAGTTCCGCGCCCGCGCTCCCGCTTTTCTTTGTCCGCGCACCGTCGTTCGCGTGTTCATTGCGTGCTGGCCGAGCTTGAAGACGCGCCATGTCGCAACCGCAACTTTGGATTTCCAAGCTGCTTGCCCCACCTTCGATTTCTAATGCTCCATAACCTACTCCTAGCTATATAAATTCTTTGTCCAGCCATTACATAGGTACTCTCTTACTTCCAAAACACACACATACACACCGTCCCCACCTGCCCATCATGTCTCCCATCCGTGTTGGCTTCATCGGCCTCAGCGCCTCCAGCAGCTGGGGCGTAACCGCGCACCTGCCCTACCTCAAAGACAGTTCGAAATACGAAATCGTCGCCTTGTGCAACACGTCAATCGAAAGCGCGCAGGCGGCCATCGCCGCGCACAAGCTGCCCGCGAGCACCAAAGCCTACGACTCGCCCGCCGCCATCGCCGCGGACCCGGACATCGACCTCGTCGTCTGCTCCATCCGCGTCGACCGCCACTACCCCTTCCTCAAGCCCATCCTCGAGGCCGGCGGCAAGGACGTCTACTGCGAGTGGCCGCTGGGCAGGAACCTCGCTGAGGGCGAGGAGCTCGCCGCCCTGGCTAAGGCCCAGGGCGTCCGCACCATGGTCGGCTTGCAGGGACGGCGCGGGCCCGGCGCCCGCAAGGTCAAGGACCTGATTGATGCGGGCCGCATTGGCGACGTGCTTAGCGTGTCGGTCGTCGCGGATGCAGTCAACCTGGGCGCCGAGGAGCTGCCCAGCCTGGCGTATCTCCAGGACCGTGAGGTTGGCGGAAACATGGTGGCGATCCACTTGTCGCACAGTGAGTAGTACCTAGCATCCCGCTATATCTCAAGCCTCTTCCAGCGCACATGTAGGCTAACGCGTACACACACCAGCGCTCGACACGATCAGCCAGGCCGTCGGGCAGCTGAAATCCTACAACTCGATCCTGGCCGTCAAGCGGCCCAGCGTGCGGCTGCACGACCCCGCCACCAACAAGACCGTCGACACGATACCGCGCAGCTCGCACGACCACGCGCTGATCCAAGGGCGCCTCGAGTCGGGCGCGCTCTTCTCGGTGCACATGCGCGGCGGGCCCCCCGTCCCCGGCTCCCCCGGCATCACGTGGCGCGTCTACGGCACGCAGGGCGAAATCGTCTTCACGGCCGCCATCGCCATGCTGAACCTGACGTCTCCGGACGAGCGCATCCAGCTGCACGACCACAGCGCCGGCACCGTCGAGGACGTCGCTGTCCCGCCGGACGCGCTTGATGAGGCGAATTTGCCCCTGCAGGCCAGGAATGTTGGCCGCTTGTACGAGGCGTTTGCTGAGCGCCGCACGGCGGAGTATCCAGACTGGGCGGATGCCGTCGTCAGGCATCGCCTTGTGGACGAGCTGTATGAGCGCGAAAAGACGGGCGCCGGCGATGGCGAGCCTGCGAAGTATCTAAGCGGGACGTATGGTGCGAGTTTGGAGCTGTAGGAGGTGGGGTAGCAAGCGTATTGACAGGCGAGAAGCGGGATCGTATGGCTCGGTCCTGGATTGCTTTAGCAAAGAAAACTAAACCACATAACTAGCATCCTTAACCAAGAAAAAAATAACAAAAGGCTCGAAAATAATTATCTTTAATATACATATATGTATATATGTACCTCTACCACGCACCACCCAGTTCCCACACCCCTTCCCCCCCCCAAAAAAAAAAAAAAAAGGTCCTAGACACTAAACCCTAACGCCCCAAGCCCAGCCCCCCAGCCTCACCCTCGCCGCCGCAATAAACCCCGTCCCCACCACCTGAACAACACCACAAAAGACCTTCATGTACGCAAACCCATTTCCTCCCCCAACAATCGCGCCCCCAATCGGGCTCCCCGCCAGCGCCGCCAGCGCCACAACCGCGAAGAACGCCCCGCTGCGCACCCCGATGGCGCGCACGTCGGAGATCTGCGCCACCAGCGCAGGCGCGAGACTCACGACTGCGCCGGAGCCGAAGCCGTAGAGGATGGCGAATGCCAACAACGCTGACGTATTCGCAGTCTCCCTTGCCCCTCCAGCTCCGCTCCCCGCTCCAGCTGCGCTGCCCGCTCCTTCGGAGCGAGCCACCCCGCCCGCCGGAATCCACAGCGCCAGCACCGTCACAGCACTAAACGCGCAAACGACAACAGCGACATTAAACCTCCCGACCTTGTCCGCCGCCCAGCCCGGCAGCAGGCGCCCGAACAGCGACGCCGCGTTCAGCGCGGGCAGTAGGGCGCGGATGAGGGCGGGGCTGGCGGCGGCGGCGCGGGCTTCAGCGGGGAGGAAGGTGAAGGGGAGGAAGAGGCCGAGGAAGAAGATGAAGGCGCCGGTTGTGAGGAGGGAGAAGGGCGGGTAGGTGAAGGGGTGGATGTATTCGGTTATTGTGAGGGATTTGGGGGAGGGGGGGAGGCGGGACGTTATGGTTGCGTTGGCTATGATCTGGTGGTGGGGGTGGGGTGTTAGTGAGGTCTGAGACGGGTTGGGTAGGGGAAGGGGTTAGCTGGGTAGGTATGGGCGGACGTACCAGCAGGCCGAGGATGAGAAAGGCGGCGCCGCGCATCGCCCACGCAAACCCCACCGTCCGCACCAGTTCGTCTACCATCAGCGGGAAGACGACGCCGCCAAGCGACGACCCCGCCGTCATGATGCCGAAGGCCAGGGCGCGGCGGCGGAAGAACCACGTGCTGAGGGCGGACATGGACGGGTAGAAGACCATGCTCGCGCCGATGGGCGAGCACACGCCCTGCGCGAGCAGGAACTGGTAGTAGCGCGTTGCGAGCGAGGCCATCATCAGGCCAAGGACGTGCAGGATGCTGCCGACGAGGAGCAGATACCGCGGGCCGTGGTTGTCGTAGAGCTTGCCTACTATGGGGCCCTGTATACCCATCAACAATCAGTCAGTCAGTCAGTCGGTCAGTTCGCCATCGACCTAAACCCGCGTCCACGAAACCCGCGTCCACGCCTATATCTGGTGCAGGTGGGGCACACTCACCCCGAAAAACATCATAAACGTCTCGAGCGACGGGATCCACGCTATCGTGCTGGCTGGGTACCCCGCCAGCTGGTGCGTGCCATAGTAGTCCTGAAAGACGCCGATGGCGTTGATCCACCCGAACGAGCAGAAGAGGGCGCAGAAGCTGCCAAGCGCGCAGAGCCACGCCGCGCGGCCGCCGTCCGGGAAGCTGGCGGGGTCGAAGCCCAGCGGGGCAGTGGAAGATGCGGGCGCGGATGGGACCGCGACGCCTTTCTCGTTGGCCTCGCTGCTGGGCGAGACGTCGATGTGAGTGGTGGTGCTGTTGGTTGCGGACTCAGCTGCTGTGCTCTGTATTCTTTCCTTCTCTGGTGCCATCTCCGTTTGCTGTTTCTGGCCGTCTGGCTCCCGTGTCTGACCCATGGCTTTGAGTGACCAGCCCGAGGATTCTGACAGCGAGACCGAAGACATGGAGGGAATGCGTTTGTCGTGGTAATAAGAGCTGGGTCAGCACACCGAAAACGAAAACAACTCCGAGTATACAAGTCTGGAGGGAAGCCTAAACCGCGCAGGCAACCAAAGGCAAACGAAGAAAAAGCGTTGTTTGTCCAGACCACCTGACCCTCGCAGAGGCCGCACCCGGGAAGGCTGGACGGTTATATAGACGCATTATGTTTATTGTGTGCTCTTGAGTGGAGCCCCACGACGCCCTCTCCGCTGTTCTGGGAACACGATGCTGTGTCGTCGAGAGGTCTATGGCCGGCTGACACGCTCGCGCCTTTCCTGATGCGGCAATGCGGTAGCAGGTGGGCGTGGTGCAGCAGAGTGCGTTGGGGACGCCCCCCACGCGCCGCATTCGTTCAGTGGGGCGCCCTGCCTTGCCCTGCCCTGCATCCCTACCTGTCCACCACCAGCACATGCATAGATAGATGGACCGACAGATGAGCGGGCGCTGCCGTCCCGCAGTCCCGGTTGTAGAAGAGGATCGATGCACGCAGCGCCCCAGATCACTGCTGCGCTCCTGACACGGCACGGCTCGATGCGCTCCTGCCATTGTGCCTTTCAGGCCTCCTCCCTGGCCAGCCCCACGCCACTGTGCGACCCGGCGCGCGCTACAGCTCGCCCGCAACCGCGCGCCTTGCAGCAATCGTGACGCCTCGAACTCGGGTCGGGAACCATTCTGGCGGGCCGCTGCAGGTCGAGGGCACGTCAGCCGCGGGCAGTGCCGCCTGTTGCTTGGCTATTTGTCCACCGCTCACCCACCCTTTATTTGGAAGTTTATGACTTCTTTTTCTTGTTTGGCCGGCTGTGCGCTGCCACCCAAGTACAAGCGCTGCTCGCCCGTTCTCGTCCCTCGCTCTTTTGCGCCGCTCGAGCTACAGTGGAGATTCTTTGGGAGGATACTCACTGGTGCATTCCGCGAAGGCTGCCTCTCGCGCCGCTTGGTTCTGCGTGGGATGTTGAGCTACGATGAAAAGCTCCGAACGCAATTGTTAACGTCACATCTACATACGAGGCTTGTCAGCATTCTCTGGACACGGGTGTTTTCGCTGCATCCGGTGCGCATCGAAAATCGTATGTTGCGTGCGTATATCAAATACAATGCTCTGCGTAGCGACGTCGTCGATGGAAAAACAATGCCTCAGCCTGACGCACGAGCTATTTCGATCCAAGCTGCATGCGGAGCATTGGCCGAGCATGCAAGACAAGGCACGATGAGCCGGGTTGAGGTATGCACGATTAATTGAAGGTAGAATCATTCCTTTTTCCTGCTTACTCTGTACAGTTAGCTCCACGGCGAGCAAAAAGCATTCAACTCCCGTCACACACATAACGCCACACCGCGGAATCCAATCCCTAATTATGTAGAAGAACAACGCACCAATAAACTAGCCCTCATAAGCAAGCACGCTCCCAATCTCCTGCCCATTCGTCGATCAGCATTCTCGCTCTTCTGACTCCATTGATCACGAGCCCTTCCTGGTCTGACCGCTTTTACCGCTGCCCCCCTCGACGTTCGTCCTGCCGCCAAAGCCCGTATCCCTGGTAGGCTGTGCCTGCGGATCAGGCTGCTTGGCGGGGTGGTCGGCATCACTCCCTTCGGTGCTGGCCTTGCCCTTTGTTGATGCCGAAGACTGCGCATCGAATGCCGGAGACTGTTGGTCATTGGGACGAGACGGCGGGTTGTAGGCGCCGGGGTCTTTGAAATGGGGACGAGTGGTAGTGAGGGGGCGGACGGAGGACGTCGTAGTGATGGGAGCGCGGAGGCCGGGATTGCGGAGCGTGTAACGCAGCATGTTCATTACTGAGTCGATTAAATCGAAGATGGCGGCCTTGATGTAGGCAGATATAGAGTATCAAGAGGTTAGGAGTAAGGCTTCATTGGCGGACCTCTCAGCCGCAATGAAGACTTTATATATGGAGGGGTTTCCCAAGGGGATCATTGTGACCTCATCGATGAAGGAAGGCATCATCTTCCGCGAATCTGACGGATTTGGCAGCGAATGGCCGAAATGAAGGAAAAGCAGCCGGTGAGGATGAAGGTCGTGATCGAGGAGCATCACGACAATGACGAGCAGCATTTGCTCCAGCAATCGAAGTAGCTGCGGTGGGTCTCGTCGTGCAAGAATGGAGCTCACGCGAGTCATGAGATGGCTGGCGCGAAACGCGAAATCGCGTCGCGTACCCCAGCTTTTGATCTCGACTGCTCAACGCCACGGCTTCCGTCACTTCTCCATTGGCGTTTTGACACCACTTCGGGCGGCCACACAACCTCACTGCCAACATGTCTTCTCGTCCAGAGCTCAAGGTTGATGACGAGCCTGGCTTCATCAAGTTCTTCCGCAACCTGCCAGAGAAGAGCACCGATACCGTTCGCATTTTCAACCGCGGCGATTTCTACACCGCTCATGGCGAGGACGCCACGTTTATTGCCCGCACGGTACAAAGACCAAATCAACTGAGACAGGTGGCCATCGCTGACACTGTTTCAGGTCTACAGAACCACTTCCGTCCTTCGCCAGCTCGGCCGCGAACCCGGCCTCGAATCCGTAACGCTCTCCGTAACCGTCTTCCGCAACTTCCTTCGCGAAGCCCTCTTCCGACTCAGCAAGCGCATCGAGATATGGGAGTCGTCAGGGCGCATGGGCTGGAAGGTCGCCAAGCAGGCTTCTCCGGGTAACCTGCAAGACGTAGAGGAAGACCTGGGTGGCCAGCTCGAGTCTGCTCCCATTATTCTCGCAGTTAAGGTGTCGGCCAAGGCATCCGAGGCACGGAATGTCGGTGTTTGCTTCGCGGATGCCAGCGTGCGCGAGCTCGGCGTTAGCGAGTTCCTCGACAACGACCTCTACTCAAACTTCGAGTCGCTGCTCATCCAACTCGGTGTTAAGGAGTGCTTGATTCAGGCAGATGGACAGAGGAAAGATGTCGAGCTATCAAAGCTGAGGACTATTGCCGACAACTGCGGCTGTGCCGTCTCCGAGAGAAGTGTGGCCGACTTTGGCGCCAAAGACATCGAGCAGGATCTCTCGCGGTTACTTCGCGATGAGCGTGCGGCAAGCACGCTTCCTCAAACGGATCTTAAACTCGCCATGGGCTCTGCGGCGGCCTTGATCAGATATCTTGGCGCAATGAGTGACCCCTCTAACTTTGGTCAGTACCAGTTGTATCAGCATGATCTGTCGGATTACATGAAGCTGGATGCTGCAGCGCTAAAGGCCTTGAACCTGATGCCTGGTCCTCGTGACGGCTCCAAGACGATGAGTTTGTATGGTCTGCTCAACCACTGTAAAACTCCGGTTGGCAGCCGGTTGCTCGCGCAGTGGCTCAAGCAGCCTCTGATGGGTGTTGAGGAGATTGAGAAGAGGCAGCAGCTTGTTGAAGCATTCGTCAATGATACCGAACTCCGCCAAATCATGCAGGAAGAGCACCTCCGCTCTATTCCTGATCTGTACAGATTGGCGAAGAAGTTCCAGCGTAAGATGGCGAACTTGGAGGATGTTGTCAGGGCATATCAAGTCGCCATTCGTCTCCCTGGATTCTTGGGCACCCTCGAGGGCGTCATGGACGAGCAGTACAAGGATCCGCTGGATTCCGAGTACACCAGCAAGCTGCGCGATTACTCTGACAGTCTTGCCAGACTACAAGAAATGGTAGAGACGACCGTCGACCTCCAGGCACTCGACAACCATGAGTTTATCATCAAGCCCGAATTCGATGACAACCTCCGCAGTATCCATAAGCGGCTCGATAAGCTCAGATACGAGATGGATGTTGAGCACACTCGGGTCGGCAAAGACCTCAATCAAGACACGGAGAAGAAGCTTTTCTTGGAAAACCACAAGGTCCATGGCTGGTGCTTCAGGTTAACGAGAAACGAAGCTGGTTGCATCCGTAACAAGAAGCAGTACCAGGAATGTTCGACGCAGAAGAATGGTGTTTATTTCACTACTTCTTCTCTCCAGCAGCTGCGCCGTGAGTTCGACCAACTGTCGGACAACTACAACCGGACCCAGAGCGGGTTGGTTAACGAGGTGGTCAACGTAGCTGGTAAGTCCAACCCTGTGTTTGCCATCGCATAATCTGACCTAAAGTAGCATCTTACTGTCCCATCTTGGAAAAGCTTGCCGGCACATTGGGTCACCTCGATGTCATTGTCTCTTTCGCACATGTATCAGTCCACGCCCCGACGGCGTATGTCCGGCCAAAGATGCACGCTAGAGGAACTGGTAACACTATTCTGAAGGAGGCCCGTCACCCCTGCATGGAAATGCAAGATGATATAAACTTCATCACAAACGACGTTTCGCTGGTCCGCGGAGATTCAGAGTTCCTGCTCATCACCGGCCCCAACATGGGTGGTAAATCGACCTACATCCGGCAAATCGGCGTGATAGCACTGATGGCACAGGTCGGGTGCTTCGTGCCGTGCACGGAAGCTGAGCTCTCCATCTTCGACAGCATTCTCGCACGCGTCGGCGCCAGCGACAGTACGCTCAAGGGCGTGTCGACGTTCATGGCGGAGATGCTGGAAACAGCCAACATCCTCAAGTCGGCGACGCGCGAGAGCCTGATCATCATCGATGAGCTGGGACGCGGCACGAGCACATACGACGGCTTCGGCCTCGCGTGGGCCATCTCAGAGCACATTGTGCGCGAGATTGGGGCTTTTGCCGCTTTCGCGACGCATTTCCACGAGCTGACGGCGCTGGTGGACACGCATCCGCAGGTGCAGAACCTGCACGTGGTGGCGCACATAGGGGAGCAAGACCAACAGCAGCAACAACAAAGCAGCAAGGCGGAAGTGACGCTGCTGTACAAAGTCGAGCCTGGGGTGTGCGACCAGTCATTCGGTATCCACGTTGCCGAGCTCGTGCGTTTCCCGCCCAAGGTGGTGGCGATGGCGAAGCGCAAGGCGGATGAGCTGGAGGACTTTTCCGGGAAGCATGAGCTCGGGATGGAGGAGGCGTCGAAAGAGCAGGTGGAGGAGGGGTCGCTGCTGCTGAAGGAGGTGTTGGTACGGTGGAAGGAGGAGGTGGCGCGCGATGGGCTGGAGTCGAAGGAGGCGCAGGTGGCGCGGATGCGCGAGCTAGTGAGGGAGAACGAGGCCTTGATGCGGAATCCTTTTTTTAAGCGCGTGAAGACGCTGTAGGGCTCGGCTGGGTGTTGCTTTTTGTTCGGATTGCTTGTTTGGAGAGAGCTTTTTTTCTTTGGCTGGGGTGCTGAGGGTCGTCCTCTTGATTGCTGGTTTGTTTGTTTGTTTGTTAGTTTGTTTTTGTGCTTACCTGTCTGACGGGTTTCTGGTCTGAGTGGCTGATGTTTGTGAGGCTGTCTTCAGGACTGGAGACAAAATATGGGTGCTGTGATGGCTCTGGCGTTTGGGAAAGAGAGGGTTTGTTCTGTTAGAGACGTTATACTGTTTATGGCTGTTGGGTATGTATATCTATCTATGCGCTGCTTGCTTACAAACTGCTGGTTCACGCTCGTTCGTGTTTGTATCTGTCACGTGGTTCTGCTCTCTTTGCGCTTGCTGGATTTGGATATTCGTGATGTAGAGTGATGATCTGTAGGTAGATTCGGTTGTTGTTTGTGCGACATATAGTTATACTTGTAGCTGTAGGATGTTTTGAGGTCATTTGATATCCTTACAGTCGATAGAAGCGGAGATTAGAGGTTCTTCTATGTTTTCCGAAGTTCTAGAATGTGGCATATGGAACTGATGTCTTTTTTATCATTTGACGTAACTATATCATTTGACGTAACTATATCATTTGACGTAACTATATCATTTGACGTAACTATGTCATTTAGTTATGATACGTCTGCGAAAGTTTACGAAGAAGCAGATTTATTTATACTTCACTTGAAAAGTATAGACTTTACTGATAGGTTGATGTGAGCGTAGAGTATAGAGGATGGGCATTGGAGTAAAATTCGGTAGCTGTTTGTATTTAAGTTGCTTCTCTGTATAGCTCAGTTTTCAGTAGCCAATCAGATCTGTTGGTCAGAATGACTAAGGTCCGGATCAATCGGGTGGGGGTCATGCAGTGAGAGAACGAGGCTGAGCTGAATCCCACACTCTTCAACAACACTTGATCTCTCTTCCAACACTTTCATCTAAAATTGGCCCTCCCTACTAAATCACCGTACGCTACTATGCCACCTTTGAGACGCAGCAAGAGCCTTTGTCTGGATAGCGATGAAACCGATCCCAACGTTGACGGATATGAGTCGGACGCTACAACAAACACTTATGCCTACCAGTCTGACGAGGATCCGGACGACCTATCCGATTCAGAATTGGAGGATCCGCCTACGACAACAAATATAAAGCGGAGCAAAAGCTTTGCCGAGGAATCGCTGATCAGCTAGCAACTACTTCGTGAAAGCGCCGATGAAGAGCACAAGGAAAGACGAGAGGTACTAGTTTTGAAGTACAGCGATATGCTCCAGTGGGAAAAATGTGTCTATTGTCTTGCTACAAGTCAACATGTATGATAACTCTGCGAGACTCTGAACGTCATTTCGCTAATAGCTTTCAGTGCATGACGCCGAATACTGGTCGGCGCACTCAGAGATGTGATAGATGTGTCCGGCTAAAGCACGGTTGCTCGAGGAGGTACTGTGCTGGTGAGGCCATCTCTCTCGTAAAATATTGCTCCTTTGCTGTAAAACTTTTTAGGCTATCTGATCGAAAACCTGTCTGTCCTATTTGCGACAACCTAGACCCTACTCAGAACTGGGGATATGATCCTAACATACGCTTGCCCATCGAAGTATCAGTGACTTTCATGGACATTGCGACGTCAGCTTTGTGTGGTTGCCGCTCTTGCTTTCTGTTGTGGCAGGGACTATGTCAATTAGTGGAAGATGTGTTGGTCGACTCCGATATCTGTTTTTCGTTACAAAAAGGATTGCCTCTCTTGCTAGAGTACTTCAATCCCGGTGAAAAATCTCTCTCAAGTTGCGGGAGGGCACAAGTACTAGAGTTTTACACCGAGCTCCGTACGTATATTCCACACATTGGCACATCAACTCATGGGATTTACATATGAGTTAGATGTAGATCGCCCATCCATATGGTCATCGATTGGCGCAGCTAGGTCACCGATTTGGTCTATGCCATCTGCCTCTGCAATCAGACTGGCAAAGTCTTGGTTGGAAGATTGCATGACCAACCATTCCAAGTGTGAAAGTCCACGGAGCCGGTTGCCAAATCGGATTATCCACGTCGGTGGAGATGAAGACGACCCACATCTATCTGGTTCCCACCAAGAGTATGCGCACTATATTGCGCTAAGCCATTGCTGGGGAGACTACGAAGCCCACAAACCTTTGACAACAACCACGAAAACCTTGAAAGACCGTCAGCGAGCCATTCCTTTGGATTCACTGCCTCAAACATTCAAAGACGCTATCCTAGTAGCTCGTTGGCTCGGAATCGAATATCTTTGGATTGATTCGCTCTGCATTATACAGGACGATGCCAATGACTGGGCTAGGGAATCAGCCCAAATGCACGACATTTATGCTCGTGCAACTCTGACAATTAACGCCCATGTATCCACCCACTGCGATGGTGGGCTTTTTGCTCCAATCAATCGGTCCCGGGCTAAACACACTACCTTGTATCCTCACTCTCCTAGTCTATCATATCCCATTCACGCACATTTGACGGATATTTATGAAGACAATCGGGGTGTACGATATCATTTCTCAATCCGGACAAGCCCATTATCGACAAGATGCTGGACACTCCAAGAACATATTCTAGCTCGCAGGACACTCCACTTCTCGAACGGCGAAATGATATGGGAATGCAAAACACGATGCAATTGCGAGAGTCAAGCATCCGAGACTCCATTTGACGAGAGAACCACATCCATCAGTACGCCTGCGCGTTACTACCGCGAATGGAACGAGCCGCTACTGTCAAAGTGGATACCGTTGGTGGAACTCTACACTAAGCTAAACCTCACCTATGAACGGGATCGGCTTCACGCGCTTTCTGGCCTTGCACAATACATGACCGAAAATACCGCCGAGCATTATGTCTGTGGACATTGGAAGCAAGATCTTGCTGCCTCTCTACTGTGGGAAGCAGATAACTCTTCAGGGACCGCGCTTAGGCCCAAAAGACACAAAGATTATTATGTCCCGACTTGGTCATGGGCCTCCCTCAGTAGGGGTATGATACGTTGGCCCCGCCTGCTTGCGCCAATCCTGGATGAGTTAAAGATAATCGAGATTCAAAATACTCCCGCAACCAACAATCCGTTCGGAAGGTCGAGTTTTGGATACCTTAAGGTTGCCGGTCTGGTCAAAGATATCAGAGTCATCCGCAAGGAAGGTGATACGATAGACATTTTCAGAGATGATTGTCGAAGACCTCCTTCTCAATATAACCTTGAAAGATTTCATCCAGATACTGTGGATGATAATCGTCTAAACACTGTTGATGGTATAAGTATTAGGGCGAGTCTAGATCTCTGGAGACCTGTGGTTGAGATTTTTCCTGGAGACGACCTTGTTATTCTTCTAGTAACAGACTGCCAGGCGATAATTCTCAAGGAAACAACGGCAGACAGCAACCGTTACCAACGTGTTGGTATCGGTGTCTTGAGGTACATAGACTGGTATGGATGGAAAGAATGGCTGGCAATATTTTCTAAACGTACCATTTACATTGTCTAAAGTCCAAATATTCAACAATCTTTCTTTATTTTTTCTTTCCCTTAGCCAGTCCTTGTCTTTTAACTCGGCTTCTTCTTCTTTTTTTTTTTTTTTTTTTTTTACTCGCAAAGGGACAATCACTCTGGGGTTGTTTCTCAACCCGCGCTACCTGAGGCATTCAGAATACCTAGATCGCATGTCGACTCTTATACAAACAATTCAAAGGCAGAATATTGGTAGCGAGTGGCTAGACGAGTATACTCGCGTATCCAATGATGTTTTCAGATCACACCGATGGCTCGCGTAGTATAACACCATCTTGTGTTGGAAAGCGACATATTTTGATGATGCGGTGGGCCGGCTTGGCCACCAAGTCAATGATGCAGATATAGACATCAGGGTAATCACCCACTGATTATAAGTAGCCAGCAGATCACTCGCTTAGAAATGATCAGACCCGAAGGTTCTTCTCTCGTTTCTTGCCCAGAACCATGCATTTCAAATATCTTGCGAGAAGCATTATCCTCACCAGATCTCGGCCCAAGCGAGACAGCAAAGTCCCATTTCAGACAGAGTGCGGAACAGCCTCCCGAAATGTAGATTTGGATCAGTGAACCACTCGGCTCGTTGCAGACCTGGTCGAGGACTGTCGCTACCCAAGGATTTGCGCTTAGACGATCTAAACTGCTACGTGATTTGACAGTGAACCGTAGGTTGATATCGTGAGAATCAGCGGGACTGTAATGTGGCCTGTAGGTAGTTCTATGGTAGAGGGACTCCGGTACCGATCAACGAGCAGCGCATCGTGTATAAAAGAGTCCGCAGTCCTTCTCCATTTCTCTTCTTCTTCATCCAACTCTCCACAACCAATTTTCGACTGCACCAAAAACATTTTCAACTCTACCAATCATCAGCGAACCCACATCAACCAACTCGTAATTCTCCACGCTGTTTTCTCACCATGCCGCTGCTAACAAGCCTTCCAAGATCTCAAAACTACATCAACGAAGACACATCAACGAATCTTCACCATGCGCTTCAACATCATCTCCGCGCTCCTCCTTCTCAGTATCGGCGTCGAAGCCGGTTGCAAAAAGGGCATTTTCTGTGGTGTAAGTCTTTCTCCTGCAGCTCATTTTCAAAGACCCTCACTAACACACTTCTTCCAGAAATGCAATGGCAGTTCGTGCAAAGTCGGAGGAATCAACTACCACTGCAAATTCGGCGATGTAAGTCTTCTCCAGCCTTAACTCAATGCAAAAATCCAACGTTTACTAACACCCTCATGCAGTGCGATGGCGAAGAAGGCGGCGACGGCAAATATTGCTTCTCCAAGTTCAACGTCGACGGCCCGTATATCTGTCCGGGCGCCCCCATGTACGGTCTAAGGGTTGCGCAGTCATAAAGCAATCTGGGGGGTTGCGAAGTCTGGTTTTTAGCGGATTAACACATTCATTCCGCGAGTAACAATACACTCGTTCAACCAGCCACAAAACTGATCTGCCGTGATGACCTTTATCTTCTTGCGAAATAACAATGCCTGTCTAGATTGAAATCAAAGCCTTGTCGTGATTTTTGTGGTATAAGTATGCTCTAAGACCTGCTAACTCATATCTAGGACTCGGACTTACAGCTGGGCAAGGAGTGCTTCATAGGGACTGCTTGTATCGGTCACTATCTCGCTGGAAGGTGGATTCGCTCGGCACCAGATAGTTTACCCATCCCCTCTAGATATTTCGCCTACCCCACGCGATGATATACCTGTAAAACTTTACGATATACTTTCTACTCTTGCATAGCTACATCTTTATATCCTTAGAAGTGCCTTCAAACCCCTCGAATATTATATTTTTGTACCCTCTTAGAATCCCCTAGTACTTCTAATATATCTATTTTTATATCTTTTTAAATAAAATTATACCTTGTATCCTTTTACTTCTATATAGTCGCCTAGTACCTACTAACCGTAGCGTAATAGTCTATTTCAATTACCTAAGGAGTACGGCTTCTTCACGTATATACTAGATCATTAACTTATCTAAACACCTAAAACAGTTGCAATAGCATTCCTCGTAAACGAGCCGAATCGAAGAAACAAGCACTAACTACCCCAGCCTAAGGTGTACTGTATACTATTACTACTACCGAGACGACGAAACAGGCCAAGCCGTCCACATATTCTCTGCACTGGTGCCAGAGCTTCTTGACTAGCTTCCCGGCCTGAACGAAACATTCTTCAGTAGTACAAGAACAACCAAGCTCCGGGGTCCTTGTGCCAGCAACGAGCACAGGAAACCTGAAGAGTTCCTAGAAATGGTGCTGAAGACACCCAATCGCCCCCTGTTTATCGTTACCAATAGTCTAGACGAGTACTCTAGAGCATCACAGAAAACTCTTCTCGAACTACTAAGATCTTTATCGCAGAAGACTTCGCACTTCGCAATTCAAAATTGGAGCAGGGTAGTCCCAGCTTCCAATGTGGAGTTTTTCCGCCTCTTCGTCGGACGGTACGTCGATTTTAGTACTTCGTTATGACGAGGAGTAGGTATTGAAGATCAAGTCTTGGATGAATGAGGAGGTTAGGTTCCTATACTGCATGTGCTACGAAAGCATGCCACTGCGTTGGCTGTTAGCCGCGTAGAAGCTGAAGAGCTCACTAAAGCTTCATCTTTCATGGTTTCGGCAAGACCATAATGCTATGCTAGACAACACAACTAGCTCCGCGAAAGAAAGAAAGAAAGCATTTTCAAGCACCCTTTTAAGTTCATTCTATTTGATAGCAAACAAATAAACTCCACACCATATTAAACTACCACCACCGCACCAAAACCAAACCCAAGCACACACACGTACATACCTATATACACACACACACACCCAAACCACCCCCCTCACCACCCCAAAGTGCTCTAGACCCTACCCCACAACCCACGACCCCCAGCACCAAGCAGCCACAACCGTCCACCCGGCGAGCAAAACCCCCAGCGCCACTAAAACCGCCGTACCAACCCGGGATCCTGCACCTCTAAACCCCAGTACCACGACGCCGACATCAGCTCCCGTTCCCCCGCCCACCCCGCCACCCACCCCACCCGCACTCACAGACCCATGCCCGACCTCGCTCGGCCCCAGCACAACCCAGAGCACGACAGCGGCAGCTGCAAGCGCCAGCACCGCCGCCAGCGCGCCCACGACCCGGCCAGCCGCCCACGCCTCGACGAACTCGAGCGCCGCGACGCTGCGGCGAGCAGAAGCTGCTGCTCCTTCGCTGGCTCCGTCGCCTCTCTCTGTATCTGCGTCCGCATCCCCACTGCCCCCGTCCTTCACCCCCACCCCCAGTCCCAACCCAACAACACTATTCCTGACCGGACAGCCCCCCTCGCGCGCATGCGGCAGCCCCTGCATCGCCAGCCGCTGCGCCCAGTGCACCCACGCGAAGCGGCGCCGCCCCGCCCTCGGCCCGCGGTAGAGGCGCCACAAACTCTCCTCCGAGAACTGCTCCGCCAAGCCACGGGAGGTCAGGAAGCGCGGGGGCGGGGGGCAGAGGCATGCCCCCCCGCTGCCGCCCGAACACTGCGCCAGCGCCTCGGCGCGCTGCACGGGGCACGTTGTTATGTTTGCGACACCACCGCTGCCGCAGATGCCGCCGACGCCGCCGCAGCTGCTGGCGGCCGTGGTGGTCGTGTTGGTCGTTGTGTTGCTGAGGTTGTTGGTGTTGTGGGTGCTGTTGTGCGCGTAATAGTTGCCAAGCACATTATAGTGGTCATGGTTATGACTATGGTGCAAGCACGCGGAGCCCGCCCACGCGCTCGCATGCCCGACCGTGATGCGCGCGAGGCGGCGGGCGCTGAAGCGGCGCCAGGGCCCCGCGAGGCGGGCGTACTCGCTGCGCAGGGCGGCGAAGAAGCGCGCGTCGTCAAAGTCTGCTGCTGCCGCCGCTGCTACAGCTCCGCCTTTTTCGCCGCTGAGCGGACTCGGCGCCGCGCTGCTTCTGCTTCTGCTTCTGCTACTGCTGCTGGTCCGGGTGCTGCTGGTGCGCAGGTCGGCCGGGATGGTTATGCTTCCCATGCGGGGGGAGATGTGGTCGGGGCGGCGGCGCAGCGTGAGCGTCAGGATTGTGGGGTGGGAGGTTGGGGTCGTGGTGATGGAGAGGGGGGAGGGTTTGGGAGATGATGGCTTGCGCGGCTGTGGCTGTTGCTGTTGCTGCTGCTTCTGCTGTTGTTGTTGTTGGTAGGGGGAAGACTGATGTTGCCAGGGCTGGTGCCATGTTTGCTGTTGCTGCTGCTGCGAGAAGGGGTAAGGCGTGCGGAGGACCTTGTGCTCCTCACTGCGAGGGGGCCGCAAATAAGCATCTATAGGGGGCGGCGGCAGGGCGAGTGAGATCTTCTTGGGAGGAGCAGGCACCGGTATAGGCGGAGGCGAGGAAGAGTCGGGCTCGCGCTCGTTCCGGGAGCGCCGGTCTGACGACATGGACTTGCGCCGCGTGGTGCTGGCGTGCAGACCCTCTCCGTCGCGCAGCAGCGCCTGCAGCGTTATGGCGTGCACGCCCAGGATGTTCTCGTCCGTCCGGCTGTAGCTCGAGTGCGTCTCATCGTCTTCAAAGGCGTCTGGTATCCGCAGCGACGTCGCATATGGGCCTCGCAACGTCGTGCTTGATTGCGTTCGCTTGTCTTTTTGTTTGCTGCCGTGTAGGTCTTCCGTAGACCCGTCGTACGAAGACTCTGGAAACGCTCCGGGAGCATATGCTGGCTGTCTGTTATCCCCACCGCAGACAAACGAGTATTCAGAAGGCCTTGCTCCAAGGTAATTGGCTTCTTTGCGTTCTGCGAGGGACAAAGGCCGCTTGCCCGTGCTAGGATCTCGCGGTACTCTCTGGCCAAATCCGAGCTCGTCTGCCGTTTCCACTTCATCCTCAGAGCTGTCGTCGAAAAAGTTCCTCCGCCGCGGATCGTAGTCCCTTGCAATCGGTGTAGCGTCGTCCATGTCTAGGTAAACGCTCTTTGTCGGGCTCGATGGCCCATGGACGATTGTCGGCGTTCCTGCCGGCGATACAGACAGACGTATAGTGCCTTCGACGTCCATCAACTAGAGTCAGGTTTGTGATTCAAATATTCGCAGTGGAATTGGCTGGAGATAGCCGTGAAACAAAGAAACGACGACTTGGCCAGAGACACGGCAGTTTTCGGCGGCGAGCGATGCAGCAGGTTCCTGATTGCATGCAGGATACAACCATCATTTACCCAAAACAAAGTCTACGGGCCATGCTAGCTTGGCAGCTGGTGGTGTTATTTTGAGCTACTGCAAGGGGCACGAGTCAATGGCGGAATGGGCCGCATTCCTTGCTACCGTTCCCGGGGAGAGCGTTACACCAGCCTAACCCACGAACTTTCCTCCGCAGTAGATGCAGACATCGCAAGCGGAAAAAAGCAAGCCTGTTAACGTACTAGATTGCTGTTCTGCTGCTGCATCTGGAAGCCCTTGCTTAGCCGTTGTTATCAACATACATGGTCCATATCAATCTCACCTTTGGAGCCCGCGGATGCATCGGGCATCTCAATGTCTTGGGCATGTTGTTGTGAGGGCGCTGGTGAAGAAAGCTCCGGCAGCTTATCATTCCGAGCTATGTGTTGCTCGTCCAGATACTGCCTGCCACAGACACCACAGAATTTGGAGATACCGGGGGCTTGGATAGCGAGGAATGTCAACGCGCAGCGGACTGTTCTCCGTCAGCTCGATCTAGACGACGTTCGATGAGCTTCCTTACCGAATTGGTGGCCTTGAACGCATCTTGCCCACAAAAAGTCTTCAAACTCAATAATGTCGTCACAAATCTCGCACTGCTCCACGTGCTTCGCCGCAGCCATCTCAACAGTGCTGTCGTGATCATCTAACTCAAACTTTTTTAGCCGTGGCAACATAGCCAAATACGCGGAGTGAATCTTTTGACCGCTTTTGCTGTCATTGTAGTATGACGGAGGTATCCTTGCCACGGCATTCACGAGGCCCCAAATAGTCCGTAAAGCGTTTGGCTTGGCCACTTGGTCAGGGAAAAGAAGGGAAAGGAGTCGTTCGCATCTTTCTTTTAGGCAATCCCGATCCCACACGACGCGCCGCTTGATGTATTGTGAGAGTATACGTTTACCATGCAAGGTTGGATCGCGAGCAGAGGCTTCAGGGGGGCTGTTTGGCAAGGATTAGCTCCCAAAATTCAGTGGGCCCCGTTCAATAGTGAGGTACTCACCTTACTTCCTGCCTTTCCCCTTCATGGTCTTCTATGCTGAAGAGCCCGAAAGCTTTCCAGAACTGTTCGCGGACAACTTCGCATAAGCCTTCTTCATCAATATCCTCAATACTAGCCTCCATCCATTTCTTTGCGCTATACAGCACAGTCTCAGCGCAGACGTCTGTTGGGAGTTAGACATATGTCCGTCACAAGATAGATGATTCTTACCTGCTACAGGACAGTTACCACCACTTGGGGGTAAGATGAATTCAGGATTGTCCTCAACTTGGTGTATACCCACATTAGTGCGGGACGCAGCCGCGATCGTATAGTCCACCATATCGCCGGGATGCAGAGTGTGAGCGGACGCAATCAAATCACCCATAGGCGAAGAAGTCAGTCCCCATGTTTTCGGTAATACATGCCCTCCAAGCTCGTTTTCGGCGCTGAAGACGGTTTCGCTCTCTCGGATGCTATTCTGCCAAAGTGGGCTCTCTCGCGGCTCTAGTGGTTGGATTGGTAATTTTAAAGCTGTGACTGTCGATTTACTAGCAAACAGATGAGGAGCAAAGTGGACTTCAAGTTGACCAGCGTCATCAGTGGAAATTGCACACCCTGTAAATATGTCAGTCTGAACTTACAGTCGGATCATACGAGCACCATCATCGCCTTGTATATTTACCTGAAACGGAATCCCATCTACCATATAGATAGCAATTAGAAAGCTTGAAACTTGAGAGGTTATTCATGTTCATCTCATAGCATCGTGCTTCCGCCGGAGTAAAAGCAACGAGATATAGAAGATGGTCGGATATTTTCGGCGCCCAGCGAAGAAGGCTTATGTCTCTTGTGCCAACTGACTCCTCTAACACAATATCGGATTTGTCGAAATCAATAGCAGACGTTTCAGGAAGCCCTGGGATGCGTATACGTCGTACGAGTAGCTTTTCATTAGTAGTGTATGCCAACACAGCTTGAGGAGTGCCGTCTTCGCTCAGGCTCCAAGGACTCCAAGCAAGGTTGCTGATGAAGCGCTGCTCTTCCATGTGCTCATTAAAGAGAGTGATGGGCGGTGCGTTTTGACTTGAAGAGATTTTTGGCTGAACAGAAAAGCATACTACTACCCGGGCTGACCATTCGCTTGCAACAGGACTGAAGAAATCAAACGGGGATTGTATCCGCAAGACCACAATGTCATTGTCATCGTTAGACACCGCAATGAAACAGCCGTTTACGGGGATCTGGCTGTCTTCAATGTTTGAAGGCGTAGACGGATATATTTGAGGGCTCCAGCAAAAGGAGCGTATACGTCTCTTCATTCTGCGTCGACTTTCACGGTCCAGCTCCGACAAGCTTTCATCAACACCCGGCTCTTCAAAGTAAGCTTCTACAGCATGGTTGACGACCAGAGCCCGCTTCCAGCTTGCTGCCACGCCTGGTTTGGAGTCGCACGCCCAAAGAGATAATACAAGGTTGGTCGTTAGTACTGCAAGTGCGCATCTCCGGTGTTTCGCAAGGCCAGGTGGCGACCATGCTATGAGAGCAGTAGTACTGGTAGAGATTTCCTCTCCAATCGAGTTGCTCCGGAAGCCAAGAGGATTGATGATTGGAACCTCGGCGTTGTTGAAGAGATTGGTACGCAGATGCAGGTTTTCCCATTGCCGGTCACGATCTGGTGATGTCACTTCTGTTTCGCCTTTTGCGTGAAGTTGTGGAAGCTGGGAAGGTACATCAGACTCTACTACTTACAATCCTGACGCACAATCACTTACCAGCAGCTCCAGTGTCTCGCCGGCTGCCACCGCGAGAATGCCGTCTTGCGACCAGCTAACGCAGTCAAGCGATGTTGGCCAACAGACCAATGTCGTCGCTCCATACATTGTTCGTGACGATAGGTGTGATGTTTGAACGAAGCTGAACCGTGGACGGAAGGTCTGCGTGCGCCGGTCTCCGAGGAATTGCCGGAACAAACCGTGAGGACCTTCATCTTCCATCCCACCTTCCCCGCGCTCCCATGCATTTCTTTTCATCTTTCACCTTTCACTTTAGAAGGAAATGCGACTGTTTCGCAATGTGTTCGCTCAATTCTCATTAATTACTTCATGAATGTCTAGCATTGGTTCTTTGTTCTAAAATCTAGAAGCGACCAGCCCGCTCCCGCCGCATCTCTCGACTCAAATTCAGAAATGATACTGAGCGTGCGATTTTATGTCTGTCTTTATAAACAAATTTAGTTTCATCACTCTTTATCAATGACTAATCGTCATCAGCAGCAGCTTTAGCTCACTTGGGAGAGCGCCAGACTGAAGTCCAACTTCGGTTATAAGCCTGTGCGGTATCTGGAGGTACTGTGTTCGATCCACAGAAGCTGCATTTTTTGCTCAGCGGATAGCCGGCGATTTCTTTTGATGGCGGATGTTGGGTTGTGGGGCTCTGTCTTTTTGCGTCGTGGTGTTGAGGCTGCGGGCCGATTGTTCGGCGCATGCACGCATTGTGGCGGGATTTAGAGAAGAGTGTGAGACATGGCGGAGATGGTTCGGTTAGTGGGATATTTTTTTCCAAGTAATTGTACTCGGTACGCGTAAGTAGTCGAGGTCATTTGCCATTATCCAAGTTATGGCAGAGGAGACTTGGCGCGGATGAGCGGGCCTAGGATCCATGCGAACAGGACGGGACCTGTTCATCGGGCGGAGCGGGCACTTGGCACCGGAGCGTGCGGAGGAAGGAAGCACGGGGGAGGAACCACCTACGTCAAGGCGGGCATGTGTTTGCGGGCGTTGAAACAAGCTGGCCAAGTGGGAGCCAGACCGTCGCGGCAGCCGTGGTTCGCGCGGTGACGGCGCGAGAGACCGGTTGCCTCCCTGGCACCCTGGACTTGACAGGGACCCGGCACAAAGACCCCTGGCTGCCTCCATCTATATCCTTGTGGCCTCCTTTCGGTGCAGCGCATCGTACGGTCCCTGCTCGCGCGACTTCTCCACAGAGGCGCTGCTTCTCCAACCTCAGCAAACAAGGTCAACCTCGCCATTGCCTGCGTGAATGGCCTCCACATACGCCCTTCCCCTCGACAGCACCCTCCGCTCCCACTCTCAGCATGGCCACGGCCACGCTCATTCCCCCCATACCTACGCGCGTTCTCTGCTGCCAGACCGGTCCTCGTCCTGGGCCACCGATTCCGGCCTGAAGATGCACGACAGTCCCCGCTCCCACTCTCTGTCGCCGCATGTCGACTACTCGGCCTACAGCATCATGAAAGGCCGCCCCAAGATTCGCCCCCGCGGTGAATCCGACCTTGGCCGCCCGGCGCCCAAACCGCACCCCCATGTTGCTTCAAGTTACGGCTTTCCCGCACCACTCGAACATCCTGAAAATCATTCGTACGTTGCGACCCTAGACTCCAATCCCCAATGCAGCAAATGCTAAAAGCTTCACAGCCACGGCCACAAGCTCCAGGACGCTCTCACGGGGCTCCTGGTCCCCCTTCCCTACATTCTTGCCTCCCTGGCTTTCGCGACCTCAGCTACGTCAACCTCGTCCGCCGCCGCGGCTTCCGCTTCTCCACTCGAGCGCCTCCAGGCCTCGGTTTCGACCGAACAATTGGTCACTACCATAGTTCAGGAGCCGCACAGTGCGGCGCTTTTGGAAGCATGCTTGCTTTCGTCTGGTACGCTCATGCTGGTAGCCAGCATGGCGAAATTAAGGCCCTCTGCGCAGGTGCTCAATCGTAGAAAGAGTCTTGGCACTCCTATCTTAAAGAGCGAGCCACTTCTCACTTTTTCGCGCCTTCGGGAGGCCGTGGGTAGGATTGTCCGTGTCAGCCTACCGTTTTATGCTGCTGCGCAATTGGGTGGCATCCGGACGGGTCTCATCTTCCTGGGCGCATTGGCTTGCGGCTTAGGTGTCCCAGATGTGAATTCAGGAAAGCGGAAGCTCCTGGATCCTTTCCGACGTGCTTTTCGGGAGAAGAAATACTTCTGTCTTTACCTCGCTCTGAGCTTGGTGTGCGACATGCTAGGGTTTACCTCAACCCGGAGTCTGCATCACACGATGGCGGGATATTTCACCCTTCTTGTTTCTCTCTTTTTGATGCCACCGCCTTTCTCTACTTCCCACAAGCCTCTTGCAACGTCTCCACCTAACGCGTTGAATCCGTCGGTATCAAGCTTTCTTTCGCCTCTGATCGAGAGCCCTCTAAAGACGCCTTCAGCCACTCAAGATGTCAAACCGTACATCACAGCATCTTCGTTGATAGCTTCATCGGAAGACACTTCCACGACTTTCCTTGCAGGCGCAGTTCTGAGCGCCTTCACGATTTTAACCCTATTTTTTGCATCGACGACACCTTCTTTTACGACCTTTTCTACGTTTTTCTCGGTCTTGTCTATGTTCTCGGCGGCTGCTGTCTACTTTTCTGCGCATCCTCCTACTTTGCAATCATCGCAAAGTCCCGGTACCGTGACGGGCTGCGGTCTGACAGCTATTGCTGGATCGTTGCTCCACCCAGGGGCTTGGGCGTATACTCTTATTGATTTCCTTATGTCCGTTTTCACATACGCAATTGTTCGCTATGAGCTTGGATCAGCTTCTGCTACCGCTGACCATGACCATGATCATCATGATCACCACAACCACAAGGGTCACGATCATAGCCATGCTCATTCTCATGCGCATGATCGTCAATCCAGGATCACACGCCACCTTCTGTCGAAGTGTGATCCCGATTCCATCACTTACAGTATTCTCTTAGAGAAAGACTCTCGTCGCATCGCTTATTTCACATGGTTAGTCTCCCGCTTATTAGTCCAAGGCATGGCCTTGTAGCTAACGCTTTTCGAAATAGCCTTAACCTCTTCTTCATGCTGGTTCAGTTTTTCTACGGCTACGTCAGCGGATCTCTAGGACTTTTATCCGATAGTATCCACATGCTCTTTGACTGTGCTGGTCTAGCAGTTGGTTTAGCTGCCGCTGTCATGGCCAAGTGGCCCGCGAGCGCTCGGTTTCCCTATGGTTACGGAAAAGTGGAACTGCTGTCCGGCTTTTCCAACGGAATCTTCCTTCTGTATGTTTATCGCCCATTCAAGGTTGACTTGAGATATCTAACGTTTAAGCTAGGCTTGTGAGCATCGAGATATGCCTTGACGCGTTCGAACGATTCTGGGAGGGCCATGAGTTACGGCGCCTCAACGAGCTTCTCGTTGTTAGTGTGCTGGGCTTCCTCGTCAACATGGTTGGTCTCGCAGCCATGGGCGGCCACGCGCACCACGGCCATGGCCACGATCACCATCACCATGGCGACGAGAACATGCATGGCATCTTCCTGCATGTTATGGCGGATGCTCTTGGTTCTGTGGCCGTCATTGTCTCCACCATTCTGACTCAATGGAACGGCTGGAACGGTTGGGATCCCCTCGCGTCATGCGCCATTTCGGTCATGATCTTCATCTCGGCTCTGCCCTTGACGTACGGTGCTGCTATGCGGCTGATTCTATGCGTGCCCGAAAACAAAGAGGACATGCTGAAGGATACGTTGCGCGATATCAACTCGATCCGAGGAGTGGTCAATTATAGCGCGCCGAGATTCTGGATGGAGGACGTGGGGACGGCTCATCAGCGTGAGCATGAGCACTCCCACGGCCACGACCATAGCCATGACCATGGCAACGATCATGGCCACAATCATAGTCACGACCATAGTCACGACCACAAGCACGGCCATGAACACTCCCATGACCACAGTCACGATCACAGCCACGGAGACGGGTGCGCGCATGGACACGATCATAGCCATTCGCATGATCACGGCCATACCCACTCGCACTCCAACGATCATGGTCACAGCCATTCTCACTCACATGATCATGACCACGACCATGACCACCATGAGGCAGAGCCGAGGGTTCTGGGCGTGATCCATATCATCGCGGCCAAGACGGCGGATGCTGAAGATGTGCGACAGAGGACCACGACGTTCTTGAAGGAGCGCAAGTTGGACGTACTTGTACATGTGGAAAAGGAGGGCGACAGATGCTGGTGCGGCGGTGGTGCGAACTTCCAGTGAGAGGAAGCATTGTTCTGCGGCGATTTTCTTTCTTGTACCATATTTATTGTGGCATCGGCATTGCAGATGCGGGTGCTGTATAAACTCTGAGCGTTCTCGCAAACACGAGATTGAGTCGTTTTATGCGATACTTGGGTGGAGGCAATTGCTAGGTGTTCTGGCCCGCCCACATCACGCTAGTGCGCGCATGCCCGTGATCGCCGCCGACCGGGCCAAATGTCCATGTCTAAGGCCAGGTTGCCCGTAAAGCCTCCAACTCCTCTCCCATCGCCAGCTTCGCAGTCGCCCGAGGACATGTTTACGCCGTCTATAACGCTCGCTTGACTTCCTCCGTCGCCGTAATTTCCACGCATACGGCCACCCCGTCGTCTGACTACCGCCCGCCGCAAACCACTTCTACTATCACCCTCCACAATGTCCGACTTTAGCATGTACCACGCCCTGGGAGACCATGCTCCAAACAGGTCCAATCCGAATACCTCCCAGCAACAACAGTTCCGTCCGCCTGTCGCACCGAGTCCCGGCGGATACCAGCAGACTGGCCCCGCCTACGGCCAAGCTCCCCCGAACACATATGGCACTCCACAACAAGGCGCCGTGGGATATGGCACACCGCAGCAAGACCAGGGCTACTTCCCTCCAAATGCAGGCGCTCAGGGCGACGTCGCGGGTTTGACGTCGCAAATGGGAGGGATGGGCTTGGGTGTGGATACCGCTGGCCAACCTGTTGCTCAAGCGCCGCATAGGAAGAAGAAGGATAGACACGCATACCATCAGATTGAGACGGCTGGCAGCTCACAGGCGTTCAACGGTGTTCCAGCGCCCGGAACCCCGTCGCAATTCCTCAACCAGGTCGACCCCTATACCGGCCAGGCGATTACGCCGGCCATGTCGCAGTTCCCTGCGCCCTCGAATTCATTCGTTCCCGCGAACGCAACTACACCAATGCAGTTTGCGGCACGCGGAGCTGGGACGAATGGATCTGTAGCTTCGTCTTCGCAAGGCAGAGTCGATCCGGAGCAGATTCCTAGCGTACCCAGATCTCGGGACGTCCCCGCGCAATTCTACCTGGAGCATGTGTACCCCACGATGGACCAGCATCTTCCTCCTCCGGCTGCCGTGCCATTCGTAGCTTTTGACCAGGGTAACGCTGCGCCGAAGTTTGCCCGACTCACTCTAAACAGCATACCATCGACCACCGAGGCATTGACCGCAACTGCGCTTCCGTTGGGTATGGTGCTGCAGCCTTTGGCGGCACCTCAGGAGGGCGAGACGCCGATACCAGTGCTCGATTTTGGCGAAACTGGCCCGCCAAGGTGTAGAAGATGCAGGGCATACATCAACCCCTTCATGACGTTCAGGTCCGGGGGCAACAAGTTTGTTTGCAACATGTGCTCGTTCCCCAACGATGTGCCTCCCGAGTACTATGCGCCTACCGATCCCTCCGGCGCGCGCGTCGACCGGCTGCAGCGGCCGGAGCTTAGCATTGGCACGGTTGAATTCATGGTCCCGAAGGAGTACTGGTCGAAGGAGCCTGTAGGCCTCCGCTGGCTCTTCCTTATCGACGTCAGCGCGGAGGCAGTGAACAAGGGTTTCCTTGATGGGTTCTGCGAAGGCATAATGAATGCGCTTTACGGAAGTTCTGACCCGGAAAAGACTGACGAGGCTAACCAGAGGAGGATACCACCCAACTCCAAGGTCGGAATCGTCACATACGACAGAGAAATTCACTTCTACAACCTCAGTCCTGGCCTTGATAAGGCGCAGATGATGGTTATGCCCGACATTGAAGATCCGTTCGTTCCTCTTAGCGAGGGCCTCTTCGTCGATCCGATCGAGTCAAAGTCGGTGATTACTTCATTGCTCACTCAGTTGCCGAACATGTTTGTCCAGATCAAGAACCCTGAACCAGCATTGCTTCCGGCGCTGCACTCGGCACTCGACGCGCTCAAGGCCACTGGAGGCAAGATTGTGGCCTCTCTCGCATCACTACCCACCTGGGGACCCGGCAGCCTGTTCCTGCGCGATGACGGCAAGGTACTTGACTCGGATTCTGAGAAGAAGCTCTTCGTCGCAGAGCACCCCTCTTACAAAAAGATCGCCGGACTGTTGTGTGAGCACGGTATCGGTGCGGATTTCTTCATGGCTGCTCCCAGTGGAGGTTATCTCGACATTGCGACGGTTGGCCATGTCTCCTCGCTCACTGGTGGTGAAATCTTCTACTACCCCAACTTCCACTCGCCGCGCGATACACTCAAGCTGTCGAAGGAAGTCAAACGCACTGTCACCCGCGAGACAGGTTACCAAGCACTAATGAAGGTGCGTTGCTCGAACGGTTTGCAGGTGTCGGCGTACCACGGAAACTTTTATCATCACACTTTTGGTGCGGATCTCGAGTTTGGTACCATAGACTCGGACAAGGCCATTGGCGTCATGTTCAGCTATGACGGCAAGTTGGACCCGAAGTTGGATGCTCATTTCCAGTCCGCCCTGCTGTACACGACGGCATCGGGAGAACGGCGTGTGCGTTGCAGCAACCTGGTGGCTAGCGTCAGCGAAAACCTTATGGACACGATGAAGTTCATTGATCAGGACGCCGTCGTCAACATAATCGCCAAGGAAGCCGCGACTCGCATGACCGAACGCTCGTTGAAGGATATCCGTGGTGCAATCACCGAAAAGACCGTCGACATCCTGGCGGCGTACCGCAAGAACTTTTCGGACGGCCACCCGCCAGGGCAGTTGGTGCTGCCGGAGCATCTGAAGGAGTTCAGCATGTACACGCTGTCGCTGATCAAGAGCCGAGCGTTCAAGGGCGGCAGGGAGCCGACGGACCGCCGCGTGTACGACATGCGCATGATCAAGAGCATGAACTCGCTGGAGCTGTCGCTCTACCTCTACCCGCGCATCATCTCACTGCACAACCTCGACCCAGCCGAAGGCTTCGCAAACGAAAACGGGCACCTGCGCATGCCGCCCAGCATCCGGGCATCATTCTCGAAGATCGAAGAAGGCGGCGCCTACATTGTCGACAACGGACAGCAAGTGCTGCTGTGGATGCACGCGGCCGTGTCGCCGAACCTGCTAGAAGACCTGTTCGGGCCGGGCTTCAACGACCTGCGCGCGCTCGATCCCTTCACGAATGCGCTGCCGGTGCTGGAGACGCATCTGAATGCCCAGGCGCGCAATATCCTGCAGTACCTGGAGCAGAGCCGGGGCAGCAAGGCGCAGACGCTGCAGCTGGCGCGGCAGGGCCTCGACGGCGCGGAGTACGAGTTTGCGCGGCTGCTGCTGGAGGACCGCAACGGCGAGGCGCAGAGCTATGTCGACTGGTTGGTGCATGTGCACCGCCATATCCAGCTCGAGGTACGTCGATAGTTTGCTGCTGGTGTGGTTGCTTTTTTTTCTTTCTACCCTTTTTGGTTTCGTTTGGTTTGGGTGCGGAGAGCGTGTGGGCAGATGCTGCTGCTCTCCGCTGGTTTCGGGGGATAGTGGCGTCACTGCTGCTACTGCTGCTGCCGGCTTGGTCTTCGTTGCTAACGCTGGTTTTTTTGCCCCAGTTGGCTGGTCATCGCAAGAAGGAGGATCCGGGCGACTCGAGCAGCATCTCGTCGACGTTTACGGGGCTGCGGACGCCGTACTGGGGCTGAGGCGGGGGATATAAGGGAGAAGGGGGTACGTCGGAGTCGTAGTCATGGTAGTGGTGGTCGTGGTACTTAGCAGGTATGGGGTGTGCAGTCCATGGCCCGGATTTGCGCTCAAATAGAACGGAGTGCGGAAGAGGCGGTGTGAAATCGCCCGCGAGGAGATGGTAACAGGACGGTTGCAGGGTTCGTGGTGGTGGGGGGGCGGATTGCCTCTCTCTATACAGAAGCGAGAGGAGACCCTGCGGAAATGGAGGGGAAAAATCAAGACGGGTTGAGGGGAGGCTCTGGTGGGGCGTTGCTGCTGTTGATATTGCTGCTACTGCTGCTGCTGTTTTTTGGTTGCGCTGCCGGCCTAGGTAGTGAATACTCGTACCTATTTGTTATTGTTCTGATCTGGTATTGTTTAGGGAGCTGGGAGGTTGGTGTGTGTGTGTGTGTTTGTTGTTGATGTTATTGTTGTTGGCGTTTTTGGTGTCGTTGTAAGAGGTGTGTGTGTGTGTGTGTGGGCTGAGGAGCTGGGCGGAATGGTGTATTGTTTGCACGGTACGTCAAATATTTTACCAGGCTTGTAAGATGGCCGGGGTTGGGGTAGGCAAGTGTTATACTGTATGGGTGCCATGTGTTATCTACACTCGGTGTCACATTGCGACGTTTACTTCTACTGTCATAGTGACTGAATGAGTGTTCACGTTTCGCGTGGTGAGGCCGTTCGTTCTCGCACTTGCCATCTCATGTTTAAGCCATAGCTGCAACCTAACCACCTCATCCAACCCCCAGTCCCCCTTCAGTGCTACTAGCCTACCTACAGGTACGTACAGCACCTCTACTCACGGACTCTGGTGCCGTGTCCCTGCTGCTTTGTTAGCCTGGCAGCAGTCGCATCCGTGGAGACCACATGTGGCATGCCAGGTTAGGCCGGAGGCGGAGCTGTCTTGCGTGTTCAGTAGGTATGGAGTTTTGGCAGCTGGTGAGAGAGCTGGGGGATAGGTTGTGGTGAGGTTTGTGTGCAGGTTAGGAATGGGAAGGCAGGCGGATCACGCTCGTGGCGGGGAGGTTGCTGGATGCGAGTTGCGCCTGGGAAGGGTTTGGTGAGGTACAGGTATGGTAGGGATTGGGCGGTCTAAAGCGAAGAACCGAGTACACATGCAGACTCATTCTTGGGTGTTGGATTGGTGAGCTAGAGGAAGAATGGAGCATGTAGTTGTAAAGCAATATACATATATAGCTCGATTCCAGACACCGAAAACGGGATCCGCTGATGCGCAACCATACATAGCTCTTGTTGTTGCTTTCCCAAAGACTGTCGAGGCCATCGCAAGCACCATTGCCTAACAACGATGTGTCTATCTCGCTTGTCGGCAACACCAAACAGCCACGCATCCCGTAGCCGATATTGACATGGATGCAGGCAGCGCGGTTAATTTGCCGGTGGCGTGAGACACATAGACTCCCATCGCCAACAGGCTAAGCTGTTTCCCAACGTCCTCGTACCCGCAACAATTCATGTCGGCTAACCTACCACTGCCCGTACTATCGAAACGGCCGCTCGTGTTGCGGCAGTTTGTTGCTATCTAGTTGGCATGGCCTCCGGCCTCGGGCCGCCGCGGATCTGCTTGTTTGGGTTTTAGTTTCTTGGACACCGTGAGAAGGGATTCGCGATGGGGAGGAAGAGCGGTCCTGTTGTCATAGGGTTGAAGGTTCAAGCATGGGAGACTGTTTGGCAAACCATGATGAAGCGTTCGAGACACTTCGCGTAATCATAAGGAGCAGGCGTGGTGAGGAGAAAGCGACGAGGGGGTAGGGTGACTTACTGCTGCCATGTGCTAAAGAAGAGTGAGGTGGGACGTTGGTTGTTGGCCAGAGTTGCAAGAGCGAGCGAGCCGTCTTGAAATATGCCGGCGTGCGGGGTTGGCGTGGGCCGGGGTAACTCCAGGGTCGCACATGCATGGATGCAGGGGATGGCTGTCCTGCCGATGTCAAGGGAGGAAAATTTCGTAGACAGAGTAATGGAGTTTTTGCATATAAACAAACATAAACATAAAGAAGCGACATCAAATACATTCAATTAGAGTGTACTACCCGGTTCCCACTTCCAGAGCTATAGTAATCAAGGGGATGACTCCTCGAATACTAGTCCAGGAGAGACGACCGATGAGGTAAATTTTTAAGTTTGAAAATCTCGAATACAGATCGAGAAACGTACACCTGTTGGCTGTCGATTTCCTGCTCCATACTGGGTGCCGGGATATTCAAGGGTTGAGAGAGACCATTGTGTTTTATAATTCTGGGATCCTTGCACCCACGGATTTAAACTTCGTGAATTCGTCTTGTTGTTGCTTTATGTTGAGTTGGTATGCACATCGACTGTAGATTTCTCATCCAGCCGGCTGGACCTGGAAGACGCGAAGAAAAGCTATAGTCATCTCATAAGTAGTCTCTATCAGCAGGCTTGCCATCATGGAACAAGACAAACAGTGCAGCCAGATACTTCGTCATGTCAATCGCTTTTCATGGCTGCGGGAAATTGGTTTCTCTCTTGGACATTAGCCCCTGGAATAGCCGGATTTGAGAAATTTCTCTATAACGTTTTTCGAGACGAACAACGGAAGGCAAGAAACATCGAGAAGACACAGAGTTGATATAGAAATGTTTTGAATTTAGACTTTAAAAGAGCTTTTTTCATCACTTGCTACTATTTCGACATCTGGATTTGAGATTCTCTTGAGAGACTTTTCCCTCACAATGCTCTGGAATCTGACGTGGTGTAATGACCACTTAAGAAATGGAATCTGGAGTATTGCCTGGGCACGGTAGCGGTACTTTCAGGTTGTGGCCTTGCGTTATGACAAGGAGTGTTTGATCGTTCCTAGGAGTCCTCTATCCTGTGAAATAGAAGGCGGGCCTAGACGGACTTCTCCGCGCGGGAGTATTAAAGATGAATTGCTTGGTTAATTGAAAGTCTTTCCGGCGGAAAAATGAGAGGTGCTGATTTGGGCGAGCGAGGAGGTCCGGCACAGCGCGGAAGCGCCAGGCCCTTTATTGCGGACAGCTGGGCTGATGACAGCAGCCGAAACACCAAGGGTAAGATTATGGGGAAATGAAGTCATCAGGCATTGATTTGAGGACAACACGTGTGAGGTTGCGACACGATGCCAAAGGCTTTGACTGCGAGGTGGCTCATGTAGCGGCTCCTTGCGGGAGGGGATCGGCGGGTGCCGGAGATTGTGGCGGTGGTGAGAGAGATGTCAAAGATGATGGGTGGTGTACGAGTACGGATGAAGTGTATTGGTGGCGCAGGCCGGGCTCGGAGACAAGTTTTGGCCCCTTGGCGATCCTCATTCTGCCCCGCGGTACGTCAGCACCAAGAGTCCCCTACGTCTCGTCTTGCCCAACGCGCATGCCCAACTCATCTATCCACTTGCGCCGCGCCTGCTCTGTCTTTTCCGCGCGCCTCTAGGCAGCTACTTTGCTCTTATATCCTTTTTTTCTCGCCCGATACCCCCCTCCCACACTCAACCTCTCCTGACAATCCCCGCACCATGAACGTCCTCAAGCTTCAGAGGTAGGCCGCCGCTCCGGCGCATCGCGTCGCCAATGTCTCTGATCAGGTGCCCAGGAAATATCCTCAGTTCGAACAGGCCGACATCTTCGGTCTTACCGATGCATTCCGCAAGCTCGACGTCGACGACAAGGGCTACCTCGACGAGGCCACCGTCATCAAGGCGACCCAGACCTCGGAGCGCCAGCCCTACGATGTCGTCCGTCAAGCGCTGAAGGAGGTCGAGCTGGACAGCTCGAGGAGAGTAGAACTCGACGACTATGTCGACGTGGGTGCTCCTCTTAGGCTTCCGCGCTGAAGCGCCCGCTAACCCGCTCGTTCCACAGCTCATCGCCAAATTGCGCCTCTCTTCGCCCGCCCAGCAGCGCATGTCGACGGGTCCCACGCGTCCGCGAGGCCTCAGTGGCGCCGCTGGTAACATTCCGCAATCTCCCGTTCACGCTCGTGGAGGCAGCCAGGGTGGTGGAAGGATACAGGTCCAGGGCTCCTCCTCCAACGTCACACACACCATCAACGAGGATGAACGTACCGAATTCACGCGCCACATCAACGCTGTCCTTGCCGGCGATGAGGACATTGGCAACCGTCTTCCCTTCCCCACCGACACCTTCGAAATGTTCGACGAGTGCAAGGACGGCCTGGTTCTTGCCAAGCTCATCAACGACAGCGTTCCAGACACCATCGATGAACGTGTGCTGAACAGGCCCGGCAAGAAGATCAAGCAGCTCAATGCCTTCCACATGACCGAGAACAACAACATTGTCATCGAATCCGCCAAGGGTATCGGCTGCTCCGTTGTCAACATTGGCAGTGGTGACATTAAGGAGGTGCGCGAGCATTTGATCCTCGGTCTGATTTGGCAGATTATTCGCAGAGGTCTTTTGGGCAAGATTGATATCAGACTTCATCCCGAGCTTTACAGGCTGCTGGAGGAAGATGAGACCCTTGAGCAGTTCCTTCGCTTGCCTGCCGAGCAGATCCTTCTCCGCTGGTTCAACTACCACCTGAAGAACGCCAAGTGGCACAGAACGTAAGACTTGGAATATGGATATCTATACGTTGATTTCTAACTGCTTCGTAGCGTTTCCAACTTCTCAACCGACGTCAAGGATGGCGAAAACTACACCGTCCTCCTCAACCAACTGAAGCCAGAGATCTGCTCTCGCGCCCCGCTTCAGACCTCGGACTTGATGACCCGTGCTGAGCAGGTCCTCGACAACGCCGATAAGCTGGATTGCCGCAAGTTCCTGACGCCCAAGGCCCTCTGTGCCGGAAACCCCAAGCTCAACCTTGCTTTCGTTGCCAACCTGTTCAACACGCACCCCTGCCTCGACCCCATCACCGAGGAGGAGAAGGCCGACATTGATGATTTCGATGCAGAGGGCGAGCGCGAGGCTCGTGTCTTTACTCTTTGGCTCAACTCGCTCGATGTCCAGCCGGCTGTCCAGAGCTTCTTCGAGGACCTCCGCGATGGCCGCATCTTGCTGCAGGCTTACGACAAGGTTATTCCTGGCAGTGTCAACTGGCGTCACGTCAACAAACTGCCTCCTAGCGGCGGTGAGATGATGCGCTTCAAGGCGATCGAGAACACCAACTACGCGATCGAGCTCGGCAAGCAGAACAGCTTCTCCTTGGTCGGAGTTCAGGGCGCCGACATTACTGATGGTCAGCGCACCCTGACGCTGGGCATGGTCTGGCAACTTATGCGCAAGGACATTGTCAACACTCTCATCTCTCTCGCTCAACGCCTCGGCAAGCGCGAAGTTACGGATGCCGACATGGTTAAGTGGGCCAACGACATGTCGCGCCAGGGCGGCAAGACCAGCGCCATCCGCTCTTTCAAGGATCAATCCCTCGCGAACGGTGTCTTCCTGCTTGATGTGCTGAACGGCATGAAGAGCTCGTACGTCGACTACGATCTTGTCGCCACCGGCCGCAGCGACGAGGACGCATATGCCAACGCCAAGCTGGCCATTTCCATTGCCCGTAAGCTGGGTGCCACGATCTGGCTGGTGCCAGAGGATATCTGCACTGTCCGCAGCCGTCTTATCACCACTTTCATTGGTAGCTTGATGGCTACGCACGAGAAGATGTCTTAGATTGTCGGCATTTGCAGATTTGAAAGAGGCGCGCTTTCTTTTGAAGGTTGATCAGTTTACGAAAAGTCAACATGAGATAGGTTTTGTGGTTTCCCTTATCGAGTACCCGTAGTAGCGTTCAGATAGCAAGTCAAAATGAAGATATGATTTAGCTTAACGAGATCGGACTCGATTGCAGTCCACACTTATGACCTACTAACTGAATGCATCAACTCTAGCCAAATCCTGTTTGTCGACATTGTGATGTGTAACGATGCATTGTCCGGATTGGCAGCTGCGACGCTAAAAATAGATCATCTGGCAAGCGAGAGGAGCAACTTGGCAACGATATCTTAACCGCAGCCTCAGCAGCAACAACAACCACTTTCACCAAAAAACAACATCAAGACTGAGGTAAGTACATTTCAGGAGACGCCGAAAGTTCATGTCTAATAGGTTTCCTCTAGTTTTCTTCAACAGCAAAGCCAGGACCTGACATTGACTCCTTGAACCATACATCATCGTCAAGAGCTAGGAAAGACAGTTACAAACGCCGGGGGGTTCTATTCGACTGTTTCCTCACCTTATCCAAGCCAGTGCCTTGTCTAGCACACGCATCACAGTAGAACCTTTTGTTCCGAAAAATGGCTCCTGAACCCCCTACTACCGTGCACCTGACCAGCTACGATGATCTGAGCGGCGCCTCCTTAACCTCCTTCACCAACCCCTACGATGCGCTGCTGACCGTCTCAAAAAATGATCCAGTAAGCCAGCCATTAAGGATATTTCCCTGTTTTCCTGTTTTACAAGTTTTTCCTCTTCAATCTCTCAACTCAGTCCAAGATGTTCGATAACTGATTTGAGATGCTTCTTGCCTGAAATAGAAACAACTGCAAGTCCACTATGAGAAACACCGCGTCTCGCGGAACGAGCAGCAGAAGGCGAAGCTCCTGGCCCCGGAGTTTGAGGGCGTGGTCGTCGACCCGATTTTGAAGCGCCTGGAGGACCCGACGATCGAGCCCGGGTTCGTCGATCCTCGCCATTGCTTGGTGTTCTGGGCGAGGCCACCGCAGAAGGTCAGGACGCTGGCAGCGGAGGTGCAGAAGAAGCTAAGTGAGGTTGTGCCGAGTATGTTGTTTGTTTTTGTTTGCGTTGGTTTATTTCTGAACCATCACCTACCCTTTTGGGCACAAGCTCAAGCTCAAGCTCAAGCCCAAGCCCAGAGCACTTTCCAACCTCCCACCACACACAGTAGGTACTAACAGTCTCGCAGACCTCTGGCTCATGCCGCAGTCCTCACTGCACATGACCGCGCTCGAAGTAACGCACTCGCAAACGCCGGCGACAATCGAAGCGCTGGTCGCGCAGATGCAGCCCGCCATCCCGAGCATAGCGAACCACACGCACGCGCACCACGCCCGCCTCATCAAGCCGCAACTCGGCTTCGACGCGTCGGCGATCGCGCTGTCCTTCGTCCCCGCCACCGGGCCCACCGACACTTACTCCTACCACCACCTGCGCCGCGACCTGTACGCGCGGGTGCGCGGGACCGGCGTCGACGTCGCCAGCCGCTACGTCGTGCCGAGCGCGCACTTGACGCTCGCGCGGTTCATCTGCGCCGAGGACTTTTTGACTGCGGAAGCGGACGGAACGGGGGTCGGTGCCGGCGATGTGAGCGTGGGCGCGGGCGCAGATGGCGCAGGCGAGCTCTCGACGACGGCGGCGCTGACCCCGAGCGGCGCCGCGAGGGGCACGCCCGTTGTGGATCGCGCCAAGGTGCGCAAGCTGGTCGAGCGCATTGACGAGGTTAATCGCTGGCTGGAGAGGGAGTTTTGGCCGAGGCAGGGCGAGGAGACCAGGGAGGGCGGCGAGTGGGTCGTTGGTGAGGAGCGTGGGCTCGAGTGCCGGAAGGGCGCGCTGTGGTATGGCGCTGGCGGCGAAACGGTCATGCTTGGGGAGGGGTTTTAGTGCGTTGAGGTGTGGGGAGGGAATTGCTGGTGCTTTCATATGACCACCACCGCCGCCGTGTAGCAATGTACTTTGGACCCAACTAGGTACTTACTTCATGGCACATACGAGGAGAATTGACTAGGTATCTTCTCGTCAGCTCCATACGCAGCCACTGATATTCTGGAGCCGTGGTCCGGACCTCGCCTCTGCGCTTTCCCGTTTCCTTGGATTCCATGCTGGGGTTTACCTACTGCTCCGTTTTATTCATCTTCCTTCACACTACTCCTACAGTCCCGAAGATTCATGACTAGACAGACGCAAAGCGGCCAGCAGGTCCTCCCTTGGGAAGTTTCACAAACGGCATCCACAGGGTACTTACTGTACGTTCACTCTCGATCCGTGCAGCTGCGCGACTAGAATCCTAGGTATCAAGCAAGCTGCGCACCCAGCTCTCCTCCTTGAAACATCTGCTCGGAAACTCCACGTCAAGAAGCGCGAGCGCTTCTTTCTTCTTCTTCTTCTTCTTCTTCTTCTTCTTCTTCTTCTTCAGTCCCATTAACGCCCGTCTGCCCTTCTACCGCTCCCGTCCCGCCCGTCTAGTCAGCAGAGCTGTTCTCCGCCCATGGCGCCGTGTGTACACACGCGTCCTGACTTCTATGCCCGCGCCAGCGCGTCGTGCACGGCGCGGCGGATATGCAGGATCTCTGCTTCAGAGAGCTTGCACTCGGAGTCTGCGTCGGCGTTTGCTGTCTCTACTGCTGCTGGGAGAGCAGGCGAGCAGTCCCGCCAGATGGCGGCGTGGATGGCGCGGCGGATGGCGCGGCGGTCTGCTATGCTGGGCACGTAGGCATATTCACTAGCTTCTTGTCCTTGTTGTTGTTGTTCTTTTTCTATGGCGATTGTTTCGGCGATGTGTACTTTTGCGGACATAGCATCGTCTTTGGTGTTCTTGCTCTTGGTCTTGGTTTTAGTCTTGGGCTTGGTCTTGCTGCGCGCGCAAATTCCTGCTTTGGCTCTGCTGGTGCCGTAAGTGGCGAGGTGGATGAAGCTTGCGAGTATGATGTAGACGAAGCAGTAGGTGAGGTGGGTGAGTGAGAGGATGAAAGTGAAGGCTATGGCCGAGAAGATGACGTGGATCATTGTGTTTGGCTGATAGGGTAAGGCAGGGCTGTTGGCGCTTTGAGATGGGTATGGTGCTGTGCTGTGCTGTGCTGTGCTGCTGGCTTCGGTCGGTTGTGGAGGTTGTGTTTGGTGCGATAAGGAGGAGAAAAAAGAAGAGATGGATATGGGAGGCTTGTGTGTAAGAATTGTAATGTGTGAATGGATTCCCTTCACTAAGAATTCACTCGTGAGAAACTTCTGGTGGTGTCGATAGTAAGACCCCATAAAGAAAATAAGCTTGAAATCATGTTCGAAATCACATTCACACGATGACAAAGAGCGGGAGCGAACGCAAAGGGCATCCAAGTTACCCTATGTAGCATGAAGAATACTCTAGATGCCGCTCATTTTCCAATTGTTGGACCTACCGCCATAAAGTCTGTGAGAGCAGGGGAAGATGATAATACTCGCTCACCTTCTTTCGAGCTCCATGGGCACTCAAATGTGCTTGCAGATAGACAAGGAGTATTTCATAGGAACTAGTCATGTCATCTCGATACACGGTGCATCTCTCTTGACGGTGAAGGACGTTACACAGTCTTACGCTTGTAATTCTCCGTGGCACCAGCACCAGTGAGAAGTCCACGCGAGAAGCGCTCTCTTGACCCCGACGTCCAACTCATTCCGTCCCATGGCATCCTCTCCCGCCAACCCACCATCCCTCTCACGCACTACTCACTCGCAAAAGCACAGTTTCCCAAATCCCTCTTCTGCGCTGGCAACTCCGGCCTGACATCAAAGTCAAAAATATCCATCGGCAGGCCCAACGTCGTGCACGCATTCGGAATATCCACCATGCCAGCCACATGGCCCTGGACGGGGGCGCAGCTCAGCAGCAAATAGACCTGATAATCGCTGTAGCCATAGCGCCTTAAATACTCGATGCAGCGCAGGATCGTCTGGCGATACGCGACCGTCGCATCCATGTAGTGCTGGACGCCGTGCTCGTCGACGCTGAAGCCCTCGAAGTAGATGTAGCGCCCGGGCCCGAAGTGCGGCTCTACGGGCCCCGGCTGGTAGATGGGCGAGACCATGTTGAGCGTCTGCATGCCGCGCTTCATGACGCTGAGGTTCAGCGTTATTACGCCGGCCATTTCGATCGCGCCGCAGAAGGAGATTTCGCCGTCGCCCTCTGCGTGAGCGTTAGTGCCGTTGCGTTTACTTGAAGCTGAGTTCTGGGGAGGAAAAAACGCAGTGTCTTACGAGAGAAATGCAAATCGCCCACACTGAACCCTGCGCCCTTAACATGCACCGGCAAAAAGACCTTGCTCCCCCTTGACAAGTTCTTGATATCGCAGTTCCCGCCATGCTCCGGCCGGCCAGGGATAGTGCGCGCGCCCTCACGCCCAACCTTCTCTTTAAGCTCCTCGCCCGCCGCGCCCGCATGCACGTTCGCCGGCTGCGGCGGCTGCGCGACCACGCGCCCGCACCCCTTCATCGCCTGGATCAGCTTGCCCTCGCGCTCGTTCCACTTGGCCAGGATCTCGGCTGACGGCGCGCACCCCAGAATCCCCGGGTGGATCAGCCCCGGGAACCGCACCCCGGGGATGTGCCGCGAGCTGCAGAAGATGCCTTCGAAGTCCCAGATGGCTTTGGCGCTGCGCGTCGCGTGTTAGCGCTGCTTGACTGATTGACTGCCTGACTGCCGTGGCTTGTAAGGGGGCAGGTATGTGGCAAGATTGCACTCACGCTTTCGGATACAGCTCGTCCAAAAACCCGCCTCCGTTCTCGCGCGCAAACACGCCTGTGAACCCCCATGGCTGCTGCTCCAGGGGCTGGACATCGACAATCTCAACTTTTAGCACGTCACCCGGCTCCGCGCCCTCGACCTCGAACGGCCCGCTCAGGTAGTGGATCTTGGTGAGATCGACGTTCTTGATGTCGTCGGCGCTGTCGTTGTTCTTGATCTGCCCGCCCGTCCAGTCGACGCATTCGATCTTGACTGTTTCGCCGTCTTTGATCGTGCTTGTGAGGGGGACTGCCGGGCGTGTGAGTGAGGGGTTTGCTGCTGTGGTTGGTGTTACGTACTGTCTGGGTGCCAGCGGTTCTGGGGGCTGTTAGTTTGATTTGTGTGGGTATGGTGGGTGCGTGTTGTTTGCTTGCTGGCTTACGTGCAGTTGAGGCTGCGAGGCCGCGTCCTTGTCTAGGTCGACCTTGGCGGCGTATCTGATCGGCTCCCTGCCCATTGTTGCTAGATATCACTGTTGCGCAGATTCAGAGAGGTGTGGTTTCAGAGGACAGACAAGAGCGAAGCTAGAGAAAAGTAGGAGGGGAATGGAGATATGAGAGAGAGCCCTGCCGGCTGCGGGGTCCAGTCAGATAAAGCAACCAACGCGCCGCCGATAACCGCAGGAGACCAAAGTCCATATGACATATTGCTGGCACGTCCGATGGGCCAACGGAAATAAAGCCAGGCGGCGCTGGATCCGGCAGTGAGAAGAGGGCGATAAGCATGGGAGAGCTCGACGCGCATGGGCCCAAAGCGGGGTAGCTTTCCCCAAGCTCCCCCTGCTCGCGCGTGTCATATCGTCACGATCGTCCAACACCAACAGAAAACTGCCGAGAGGCCGAGATACGCCTGTCAGGCTGTACCTAATGCCATTTACGCAAGCTACAACTAACCTGCAGTAACACAATCTCCGTGTTTCTACGATAATGCCCCTCCGGCAGCCGGGCCATTGGCGCCTCGTTTATCTCCGTCGTCGCAACTTCGCAAACACGTTGCCCGGCTCAAGTAAATCTCTTGCTTGGCGGACTCGCGAACATAGGGTTCTGCTGCGGCGGCTCCGTCTGGACATTATGCGCATCAATATTCGCGAGCGGCGTCGACAAGAACGTGTGCTTGTTCTCCCACCGGATCTGGCTCTCTGGGAACTGCTTGGCCTGCGGCTGCTCGGGCGACGGCGGAGGATCCGTGATCTTGGTCACTAGGTACGCGGTTGATGCTTCGGCAATGCCGTAGATGAGCACGCCCAGCAGGGGGATCTTGAGGAAGACGAAGAACCCGACCCCGAAGCCGAACAGCACGCCTTCGCGGTCGCGGAACCAAGCTTTCTTCTGTTCTTTCGTGTAGTGGATGCGGGCAAAGTAGGGTTCGAGCTAAAGAGTACATTAACGGCTGAGCATGTAAGTACTGCTTCAAGAGACTTACAAGTTCGCGCATCAAGCTCCTGGACGAAAAGTACGATTGCAGGAAACGCACGATATACCGCTTCGGCAGGAAGATGGAGCTTCCGAACACGACCAACGCGGGCTCAATCCCGGCACCCTTGTTAAAGGTGTAGAAACTAGCAGCCGGAAGCACAAAGCGACCCACGTGCGGTAGGTACGACAAGGCATACACAGCCAGAGAGATACCAGCTTTCCGACCGTACCGCATCAAGAACGCGATCACGGCGTCCATTGGCTTCTTCTTCTCGCTTGTATCGCCCTGCTTCGAGTACATGCGCATGTTCGGGTAGTATAGGGCGCGCAGCGTGTGCGGGTCTTCGGACTTGTGCTTCTGGATGTACGTCTGGTCGACCCATTGGAGGGAGTCCATGAACCTGCAGCTCCTCATCAGCAATTGCGCACTCGAGGCATCCTCTCTCTCCACTTACATGTCATCCAGCGTGGGCGTGACGTAGCGCATCAAGGACATGAGGAAGAACGGGACCTGCAGGACAGAGTTCTCCAAGAAATGCAGGCCATCGATAATATCGTTGTCCCAAGTGACGCCCTCCATATCCATGAACGCGCTCGCAATCATTATTATAATCCGCACTGCGATTGTCTGTAGCCAGCGCCGTCAGTCGAGCCCAGCATGATTCGAGCGGATCTCAACGCACGGGAATAGAGATGATGAGGCGAATAGCAAGGCCCGCAACAACAGCCAAAGCAGCTTGGCGATAGTGCTTCGAAGTAAACAGGCCCGGGTTCTGGAGTGCGCGATTTGCTGCGAGGCGTTAGCTTCAAAGCGCTCAAGAATGCACATATGTAGGTGGGCGAGAGACAAACCGCCGACCAGCGTGAGCTGGGCCCCGCGGACGATGGCGGCGGGCTCGAAATTGGGCATTGTGGAAACGCTCCTGGAGGGTGTGAAGGGCGCTCTCCTACGAGCAGGTGGGCTTCTTGAAGAAGGCGTGCGGCGGAGCCCGCGGAATATGAATGACAGTTAGCGGAGCTGTGCTCGTCCGCGTTCGTTCGTCCCACATGCACGCACTGACGTACATCGTTGACGTTGACGCCGGCAGGATTCTTGCTCCCGCCTGCCGCACCACGCTTCGACAGCTCTAGACAGTTCGATATTTGATAGCTGTCGCTTGTCGCCGTCTCAAATGTCAACCTTCACTAGGCCGTATAGACAATTACCGCTCCGACCGTCCCTCACACCCGCCGCACAAAACCTCACACCACGCACAAATGCACCTCCCACTGACACGTCTTCCGCCTCTCCCGGCCGAGCGCCGCCAGCCGCTGCACAGCATCCGCTCTATCCGTGGCTTTACGCACTAGGAGCGCTTTCATTTGTCAGAAGCTCGCGGGGCGCGCGTCCACAGCCACGCTGGCGCAGCATCTAGACAACCTACGTAATCGGGTGCGCGCGAGGTGGTGGCCATGCCGCCGTGCTGGTTTGGGAGGGTGGAACCTGTTTAGCTATAGTTGTCTCCGAGGCTAGGTAAATTTGCTTTTGTAGTCTTATTATGTGGTGATTATACTGTGTCAAATATACATGGCGCTAGGCAGTCACCATAGATGCACGAATTGGCTCTTCACTATACTTACTGTAGGCCGGATCTCATATGTGCCTGAGTTCATCTGTCCGTATGTGCCTAGTCTTCGTATGCAAAGGCAAGCCTATGTTGAGGGATCAAGTCACATCCGCATCAATGCTACAGAAACTCATGGCTATTTTCTTGCTATAAAAAAATGATAATCGGATAAACAAACTCGGAATCCAGCACACCGCTAGCGTATCATCCCTAATAGCCTACCTCATCCATATGTTTGCTACTCAACCACGCTCGTTTAACGCCAGACTCCCGATTCAATAATCTCCACCCTTTCCAGCCAGTTGTGTGAGCCAAAGAAGCCATCGCTGCCCTTAAGCCAATTTCATCCTGCCTAAACCATGCCAGTTTAGTTGACAAAGAGGCTGTTGTCCTCCAGGCTGTACTGCTTGATCATCTCCGTCAACGTCGTGCACTCGGACTTGAAGTCGAGTGGCCTGCAGCTGGAAACTTGATAGCGGACCCTGCAGCACCGTTAGTTCGAGGTCATGCAATCCACACGTTTGACGAAACGACATACCTCTGCTGATCCTGGAAAGTGTCCATCTTGGCCTTGACCCTGAAGACGAAAGACTTGCACGTTGCGTCCACAAACACGCTGTCCGCCTCTGCCGTCCTGTCTTCGCTGTCCTTCATCTCAACCAGTTCGTCGGCGCTCCTGTCCATGATAATGCGGCCGGTCTCGTCGAAGCAACTGAGCCACAGCTGGCCCGTATGGTCGCTGACGTTGCAGCTCATGATGTAGCGATACTGCGGGTTCGGGTGTGTCGTGTTGCACTTCTCGCAACGCCATTCGCCGGGGTTGACCTCAACCACTTTCTTGTTGCATCCCTCGCTAGCACAGGCCGGATAGGCGAAGTTTTCGTGCTTCACATAAATGATAGTGGCCTTAAGGTTGAAGAACTGTGCTTCATCGGACATGCCAATCTGCTCCTCGTGCACCTGAGCAATAGTCTTGTACTCCTGGCGCTTGTTGCTAGTTGTGCCGACCGCTTGTTGGTGCGTCGTGAACTCGTCGTTGCGGCCCTGTGCGTCATACCAGCCCTTCAGTTTATGGGCTTCGTCGATGTCGGGGTCGACGTTCATGGAGCCAGCGCTCAGTAAGCTCAAACTGCGGCCACCAAAGTCTGAGACTTTGACACCCTTAAAAGCAAGAACAGATTCCACGGGCACCTCAAAGTTCATAGCGGAATCTCCCCATATCGTCAGGCGTACTGAGTGCATGGTATCGTCGACGAGAGTAAGTTCACGCTTCCTGTAAGGCTTGCCCGTAGACTTAGAGATGATCTCTCCCGCCTCGCCAGCATCCTTGAGGATTCCGATGGTGTCGATCGTGTTGTTAGGCTCAACAGACTGCAGATCGCCAATGCTGGTGAAGTTGTAGCGCACCTGGGGCACACTGTCGGGGTCTTCAGCCTTCTCCACTATGGAGTCGTTCTGGAAGGTCAGTTCATAGTCGTTGTTGACATTGGAAAACTGCTTCTTCGCCAATTTGACCTGACAGTTGGAGATGTAATAGACGTCACCCTCCTGGAAGACGTCGTACAGCTGGTCGCAATGGTCCTTGAACCCTGTAGCTCTGATCTCACCACTCTCGTCCAGTAAATTCACACTGAACAATTTGCCGCTTCCGTTCTTGTTGTGCCACTCTTTGATACCGCTCTTGTTCGTGCATCGTGCCTTGATGGTCCACTTGTGAGTGTATGGCGACAGTGCTTCGATGGGGTAGAGGGTGGCAAGACCCGGGGGAGCGCCGGTCGGCGCATTACGCGAAGGCAAAGAAGACTGTTGCTGTTTAATGGGCTTGTTGGTGCCGTAGAAGTTGTTGCCTCCAATATCAGCGGGCTGTTGCGCTTGCGGCTGCGCCTGTGGTTGCGCTTCAGGTTGCGGCGTCTGTCCAGCTTCAGGCTTGATAGAGGTTTCCAGCCCAATAGGCTGTCCAATCTTATCAAGCTCTCCGTAGTCTGTCAGCACATCGAGGGCGAGAACGACCAGAATCCTAATCGTCCGTTAGCTTCGCTCACTAAAGAAGAGAGAACCTGGTCTCTTACTTCCTGTTCTTGATGTCCTGGGGGTGGAATTGCTTCAAGCGAACTATGGAGCCTCTCTTGAGCGTTCCGTTTTTAATGAGGTGGTTGCTCTCTGGATCGGACGGGAATGGTCAGCAACGGTTGTAGCGGATGGCACAGAGAAAAGTAAACGAGTGCCTACGATGCGCCAGCATGCTCTGGATAAAGTGATCAACGTCGCTCAGCACTATGCGAAACCTATCCTCGCCACCCTTGGACTCCATAGCCTTGATCTGCACGCATTGCAGGATGGGGTTTTGGACCGACTCGGGCCCGGTGGTGTAGATGGCCCGCAGAGTTCCTCTGGAAATTGCCTCTTCGGCCATGATACGCGGTTCTGACTTTGGACTTGCCTGGCAGGCGTTGGGCGGTAGAGTGATGTAGTGTGGGTGGTGGCGGCAGAGGTTCGATCGTTCGCAAAAGTGTGGGCAAAGATGAAGACGCGCCTGCACGCGTCAAGCTAAAGTGATTTCGCGAAGCAGGCAGCAGCGGCGCCGCCAAGCCCGAGCCAACCCCGCTCTTGGCTCCGCCCCGCCGATGGACCCTTGCCGTCCGCGCGCGTCATCGTCCGACGGATGGAATTTAGTCTTTGCAACCTCACCACCTACCCAGCTATTTCGACATGGCAGACCAAGACATAGCAACCAAAGCGCCGGAGAGCGATGCGCAGGAGGACACTGAGCAGGCGCCCACCATGACGGTGAGTCCCGCTACGCACCCGCCGCCGATCATGGTCGATGTGCTAACAATGCGCAGGAGCACTGCACCAGCGATCGACCTGCCCGTATGTACCGAGACCCTGGATTGACCATTTAAACCATTGCTGACCCTGTTCAAGCTTCGGGAGAGGTCCCAACCGGCGTCAGTCTCTACTCGATTAGGTATTATCCGGGACCATAGCTAAAATAAACCAGGAAATCACCAAGCTTAACGATGTCGAAGTACGCTCGCACGTAAACATGTGTACCTGAAGCAAGTCTAAAAGGGATCTAGGTCTATATTGCCAAGCCAGCCGATTACCCTCACACGTCGGCAAAGCTCCTCTTGCTTCTCACTGGCGGCACTGGCATCAAATCTACGAACAACCAGCTACAGGCCGATAAATTCGCCCAAGAAGGCTTTGTTGTAGTCATGCCGGACCAGTCAGTCACACAATTTTGAAGCCGAAAAAAGTACTAAATTGTATCAGGTTCGGAGGCGAAGCAGCGCCCAACGCAACCATGCCTGCCCCCAGCCAACCGAATTGGATCGACTCCGTCAAAGCCACTCTCGCCGAAGCAGCCAAATCTTTCGCAATTGACATGTGGCTAGCACGCCACACACCTGAGAAGGTCCTTCCGCTCCTGCATAAAGCGATTGATGGCGCCAAGGAGGAATTTGCGGACGCCATTGCATACGGCGGCGGAATTTATGGCGCGGGTTACTGCTTTGGCGCAAAGTACATCCTGATCCTGGCCGGCGAGCACGCAGACGCTGCCATCCATGGGCAGGAGAGCAAGAGCGAGGATGTCGAGAAGGGCGCTGCGGCAAAGGAACCCTTGCTCAAGGTTGGCGCTGTGGCGCATCCCACTATGGTCGCCAAAGAAGACATAACAGCAGTCAAAGCTCCTATCACGATGGCGCTGGTGCAAAACGATCCCGTCTTCTCCGAAGAAGTCGGCAAGGCAGGTCAGGAGGCCTTGGAGAAGAACGGCGTCGAGCACGAGATCAAGACGTACTCGGGCGTGCCTCATGGTAGGTTGCTGGCGAGACATATCCAATCCGATAGCTGCTGACAATCATGCAGGTTTTGCTGTGTTGGGCGACTACGAAGAGTCCAATATCATGGAGCAACAGAGACTGGCATACGATCAAATGCTTGGATGGCTTCAAGCACACTGATAGAACTGAGACATCTGTTTGCAGACTGTACACGAAGACACGACTCTCGGTATCTTTGTTCTTGGATATGCGCGCTCAGAACCAACATTGCAGCAGCAAGAAGTGCTCACCTTGATCTCACAGCATCGTTTGCGAGCGTGATGGTAATGCGCTCTGGCACAAGCCGGGCCAGAATCATGACAGAAAATAGCACCTTCCTGGTGAAGACGCACGAATACCGCAAAGCGTCCCACCATGTCTCAAAACCACACGTCCTTTTATGTTTTCGTTGACCATGCAAAACCCACTCTAAGCCAGGAGGCCCCACCGTCCCACGAAACCAATACCCCCATATACTCCGCCCAATGCATCCATCTAAGCCCCGTATTTTTTCAAATAAGCTCAATATCGCCCGCTAGCACGTGTTCCCTTATAACCTTCCACCGAACAACAAAAACATCGCCCCTCTTCATATCAGCCATAGTATCGCGCTCGACGCCGCCACAGCTCACGACGCCCACGTCCCTCAAGACGCGACAGAAGACGGCGGCGTCGAGGTCGGGGGCGTCAACCATGCTGATGCCGCCGGCCTTGTCGTCGAGGCGCTGCAGCTGCGCCGGGAACTGCGACAGGAAGGAGGCGGCGTAGTGGGAGGAGAGGAGGGCCTGGTGCGCGTGCAGGTACTGCGACTCGCTGGCGGAAAGGGTGCCGGCGGGCGCGGTGGCGAGGATGTGGAGCGGGTACTTGTCTATCTGTTGGTGTTGGGAAGAAAGCGTCAGAGGGAGCGTGGGTTCAAGGGATCGCGATCGATTGAGTGTGTATGTGTGTGGTGATGGCGGCGGCGAGAAGAGCGGGGACGAGGGATGGGAAGGGCCGAGAGCGGGGCGGGTACGAGTAGGTGGTGGCGAAGCGGGCGGAGATGAGAGAGATGACGGCGGCGAGGTCTCGACTGTGGAGTATGTGGGGAGGGAAGAGTAGTAGGGTGGCAGGCAGTGATGGTGGTGGCGGACAATTCAGGGTACAAAAAGGTAAACAAACAAAAGTAAACAAACCATAAAAATTGACGTACCTTTGCGATCCTGGCGCGCAGGAACGAGCGCACCAGGAACTTGAACCGCTCCAGTTCCGTCTGGTACAGGATGAGGCGGAAATTTGTCTTGGGGTCCATGTTGCCCGTCTGCTCTTCGACGAGCTCGATCTGCATGCATAAAACCAGCACGTCAGCCATTGATCCGTTTGCCCATTCTGTTTGCCCAAGAATTCGTTTCTTCTTCCTCATCTGCTCGTATCATGTCTGCATGCATATGCAGGCAGGCGGACGACAATCTGCTGCTGCTCATCCGACAACAGCAAATGAGGCCCCCATCAATCAGCCCACGCCATCTCCTCTCCCTCTGCAAGTCCCCTCCTGCCTCTTTTTTTCGCCGACGCCGCCGCGCTGATCCGCCACCAAAGCCAAAGCCGCCGTCGCCACAGCCTGCCGCCAGGGCCGCGCACATCTTGACGCCACCCCACAGCGGAGCAGAGCCGGGCCGAGACCGCAAAGCCAAAATCCCAAGTCGAAAAGACTAGAAAAAAAGGAGGAGGATGAATAGGGAGAGAGCGAGAGAGGGGAGAGACGATATAGTAGGGTGATGAAATCGTGGAGCTACACAGGAAAAACGTACCTGAGCCCGCACCCGCGCAAGCACACTCTCCATCAGCCCCTCCGGGTACGGCAGTACCTCAGGCGCAACTCGCTCCGCGACCCACAGTCGAGTAAGCTCCTGCAGGTCCGCGGCCTCGCGCGGCGCGGCGGCGCGTGTCACGTCGGCGAGGATGTCGTCGATGTCCATGCTGGACGAATGGCTAAAGGCGGACAAAGTGTTAGAGGCGCTGCTGTCCGTGGCCCGTCATGTGCGTACTAGTTAGTCGGCGTCGTGGTGTATGCGTGCGTGCCCTCGTGTGTGCCGCGCGCGTGAGCGCGTTGGGATGTGCGGTGTGTGGCAAGATCGCGGGGTAGGGCTAGGGGAATTCGCGTCGCGACCTGGTCTGTGGGTGGGGCGACCTGGTCGCCGTGAGGAGACGTGACGATTGCTGACGCGTGCTGGGCCAGCTGTTTTCGGGCCTCACCACCACCACCACACCTCCTGCACTTTTGCCAATGTTTTTTGACTTTTGCTTCTTGCTATGGATAATGACAATTCGGCCTACTCTCTCTCACTTTCTCTACTTCCGCCTCTAATTATGCCGACTGGTCCTGGGTATAGCCTCCGCCTTCCTGCCCATTCAATCAACTTTTTGCTCTCCTCCAACTGACCCTGGTTTGTTCCAACCATATGTACAATTTCTGGGTCGCTCTCCGCCTCTCATTCACAGTCCCGCGGAGCTGGGACAAAGGTGAAACTAAACCAATCGGTCTAGCAGCGACACCAATGCAGTCATAAGTACAGCGAAAAGGTGATTGTTTCCTGACAGCCACTTCTGGACTTGCCATCATGTGAGGATTAATGGGTGCGGACGTTTACCCGCGTCCCGCCGGCTAATCGTGTGCGGATTGGTGATTTTGTTTTGAAATGCGGGCGTGAGATTTCAATCTGCGCGCGTGTTTGGATGGAGAGGGTTTACCTCCCAAAATGTCGAAGAGTTGCCGAATGATGAAGCTTTTGTATGCAAGGAAAAGAGGACTGGCTAGTCCCAAGTGAATATCGCTGACTGTACAGCCCAAGTTGGATGGTGACCATAGTCCAAATCAATGGATAGGCCAATGCGTGTCGTAATCTTTTTGGGGGACAAAGGAAATGCATCGCAGGTGGTTGGGTATGGACCGTCATTGCGCCAACACACCAGCGCAGGATGAAAGGATGTGAAAAAAAGCCATCCCGAAAAAAAGACCGTATCCTGTAAGCAAAAAAGGTTGACCGAAGTCAAGAAGGTGCAGCTCAAAACGTTCATCGTCGAGAAGAGAAAAAAGTGGCCGTCTCAGAATGGTAATCGCATGAACGCCGAAGAGAGATAATAAAACGACCCGTAGAGTCTGTCGCTATGCGGGAGGAAAGAAGAAAGTAATCCGGATGGTTAGTCAGTGACGCCGTAAGTTCTGAGTCGCCGTAACGTCCAATGTCATTAGTATGAAGCCATCCTACGCGCATGCGTGCGGCTCCCATGATTGTTCAAGTCATCAGACGAGTCCATGTGGACGAAGCCAGTGGACTTTGACCTGGTTGGCGCAGTGGGACTGTCCTCCATCTGGACATCTTGCCCAAATGCAAAAGTCTGGGCTCTGCTCAACTTGGCGCGTTGTTTGAGTTTGTGCAAACCCGCTTCACAGGCTTGCTCATGTTCTTCAGACTCCATACGGAGATAGTCTTGCGGATAGCAACGGCATTTGTACTGGTCGAAGAAAGAGGAATAACCTCCGTGAAGAATATACACCTCGGGGTAGGTCAGCCTTGGGTAGTGGTCCTCATTAACCGTGCGGTCGCGGCTCCGAATGAACTCGGCCCTAGATGACTGTGAGCAAAGACCACTTCTGTGTTCATGATGTTGAAGAGCTTACATTCGAGGAGCGCGAAGCTCTGAATACTCGCAGTGGAAAACCAACAATGTCTTCTTGGTCGAGGACGGGTCTATGTCGGTATAGGGGTCGAACAACTTATCCGCAAGCGACTCACGCTCACAGTAGTTCACGGCACCATCGATATGACCACCTTCATACTCATACTCAAAACGGCAGTCAATGATCACAGTGTCATCGTAGATGTGAGCATAGTCACCGTTGAGAACATCAACCAGGGTGCCGCTGTCAATGCGGGGTAAGCTGTTAGGCTCGCCGTTGGAAGGCAGAGTGGGGAGATGAAGCTGAGGAGTTTCCTCAACATCCACAATCGCAGCCAGCCCACTGGGAGCATGCTTCTTTGAGTCAGATTTCATGAAGTCCTCAGTGTTCTCGAACATGCTCATAGCTCTTCTGAACTGCTTCCGAGGGCGAACGGCTGAAGTTTTCCTCACACCGGGAACAGGGGAACCGTTGCAGCGGTTGTTGTTGTTGCTGTTGTTGAACAAGGGTATGTTGGCAGACCGGGGGCGCAACCCACCCTGCAAGCTGGCAAACTTACGGTCCTGGACGGGAGATTGCTTGAAGCACTTGCCCAATGCATCCTGATCCGTCGAATCCTTGCCATTGCTTGTGTTAAACTTGAATGGCACCTGGTTCTCTTTCGACTGCATGTTAAGCGTGTTGGAAGAGAAGGCTTTGTGACGGTTAAGGGAGGGACGGCCAGGGAACGGCAACTTCTTGCGGCTAGGAACAGGCGTCAGCATAGGTTGAGAATGAGGTGGGAGGGGCATATCTACTCTGGCGGGGGCATTGGGCTGTCAAGGAGCGGATTGGATGTAGGAGAGCATCCCATCCTGCTCTCAGGTGGCTCAGGCGTCGGCGACTGCACCGTGACCCGGGTTGACGCGCCTCCGAAGGCAGGCTTGTGGGGAAGAGGCGAGATGTCCATGTTATCGCCGAAGCCTGGCGAGGACGAGTTGATCGGCGGGGTGGTTATTCTTTCCCACATCGGAGGGGTGGTAGCGCCTTCTAGTTAGACTGCGATAAGCGGATATCTCAGACCCAAAAAAAGTGACATCGCCTCTTACCCTTGTCCTCTGCCCGCTGGAAGATGTTTGACGTGAACAGCGATCGGCGAGGGGTGGGCAGCTGGGGACTGGAGATGCGCAACTGTGTGAGCCAGCCGTATCGCGAAGAGCCGCCGAGAACAGCACGTACCTCTGATCAATGGTGAAGTTTTGGGCCAAGTCAGCTGCCAGACTGACTGTCGGCGACGAGCCCCTTGCAGCCTTGGTCCCAAAGTAATCCGAACCCGATTTCTTCATGCTCAAATCCTTGAAATTAAAGCTATTCGGATTAAGGGAGTTATACCGGGGCCGTGTCGAAGCAAGGTCGCGTCTGTAACCCCAGAGCCCAGGCGAGGGCGGCGGCTGCATGACGGCAAGCGGCGAGGACTCCATGGCTGTCGTGTGCGAGTGTGTCCAGGTGGAATTGAGGTGGTCGACGGGCCGGTGGAGGGCGGAGGAGGGCGGAGTCGAGTGAGGGTCGGCGTCGGGCAGGACAGGACGGGCGGCGGCGTCGACTAGAGCATACAAGAGACGACTAGAATCAATTGGACCTGAGATGTCTGCTGCAGTATTCCCCAAGTTGCTGGACTAAAGGATGAGGACGGGCGACGAGGGTGCTTGCCGGGAGCGGTGCATTAGAGCTCTCGAGGGTGCGGCAGAGAGGTCCGGCGTCCAGCAGAAGAGAGAAGTCTTGGGGAAGCCTTCTTGGGGACGGAGAAGGGCAGGTGCGAGGATGGAAAGGAAGAGGAAGAGGGCACGAGGAGGTCAAGAGGTGGTTGAAGCCGAAGCTTTGCAGCTCCCAAGCGTTACCAGGGAGATGCTGCTGCGGGGGCTACTGGGCTGGTCGCTTGATCGCTTGCGCTGTAGAAGCCGCTCAGGAACACTGGAATTATGCCACGCTCAACCCCCCCGGGCGGTTAGCTCCCCAGCCCGCCGATCACGCTACATATTGAATATTCCGCTCTCGATCCCACGCAGGCCAAGTTTTGCTTAAGACGGTGCGCGTCGGAGCTCCTTGCCGCAGGCGCTGCGGCCGGACAAAGAACCAGCACGCCCGTATCTCTCTCGACGTTGCCAGGGCAGGTTTGCCCAGACCAGCTGCTGCACTCGGACGCTGTGACCACTCGCCACGGGAGCAACCTACGTAGTACGCGCACAACTCCACACTTATCATTATCTACAATACACCCGTATGCACCGCGAGCTTTGACGATGCTTTCAGACGCCTGGGTCCCCGCATTCCTGGCTTACAAGTTGCACTTTGAGGCCTCCCCCAATCACCGAAACCAGGCACCGCCGTGTGTGATTTGTCGTCATCGGCCGCTCTCAGGCGGATGAGCAGGGGATCCCCCGTGATGTCAGCTTGCCGGCGCCGGATCCTGCTTGAGTTGCCGGGGCAAACCCAGCGCGAGGGAGAAACGGCTCTTAAGCTCAATTGGATCGGCCGGGGATTGGACCTGGCTTGGCTCGCACAGCATTGCCGATATGGACGCGAGACCTTCCACGAACAGCTTCCCGTCCCGTCCCTTCCCCTTCCCTCGCACAACCATCGGTATAGTAAAGACCTGTCACCGCGACTTTCAGCTCTCAGCCTTGCGTGTTGACAATTATAATGATCGTCTCTGCCAGCCACTTTGCTCTTGTGCTTAGACGTCATACGCACCGACGGCGTTGCATAAGATCTTCAGATTCTCCGTGGCGTTTGCTTCCGAAACCTACTCGATGATTGTCTCGCCATGTCAACGCCCGCAAGCCCGTATGAGCCCAGGATGCAGCCCATTGACACCAAAAAGCAACCAGGACGACCTTTTTCCCGGAACCGGGGCAGCAGCAAGCCTCCGCGTCTCAACCTGGGCTGACCGGTTGCAAGCTGGCTCACGGTCGAGACCAGATGAATGGCTTACTCTCCGCCCCCGCCCCACAAGGGACGGCGACGGTCCTGTCGCAAGCTGACAGGCTGCCGTCGCGCCTGTGTCAGAGAACTTGCAGGGTTCTCGGGCCAGCAACACCAATTACTGTCCACATGGTGCGAATGGTGCAGCGGGTGAACGCACCGGGCAAACGTAAACAATCATAAGTTGCCCTTGATCCTCGTCGCGTGCACAACCGAGTCGCTCCGGCCTTCGCCGTCCACCGACTCCAGCCACTGAGCAAATCGCTTGATGCTGATTGCTCTCCGCTTGCAAGAAACTTGGAAGCCGGAGGCTGGGTGGAGGGGCAGGAACCCTTGGCTATGATATCAAAACCTCTCTACCATACGAGCTGATATTCGGTCTTCTGTCGTCAGATCGGATCGTTCGATGACGCTCAACAAGAAGATACGGTCAGCTTGCGAGGACACATCACCAGAGTCCCTTCATCTCAACCTTTACACGTCGAAGATGTGCTTCTCTATGCTGAGTTTACATATTTCCTATTTAGGAAATATTAGTGCCCCTCGCTCGTGCACATTTATGCCACTCTCCACTATCAGCACACGGTATCACGAGACGGTCGACGCTCGGCCGTTTGTCGCACATTACAGAAAACATGTTTCCCCAAGCGGTAGCGAGTGGAGGCACATGGGGCCTCTTCTAGAATTTTGAACAGAATTTGCAAGCCGTGCCCGAGTCCTAGCCACGTTTAAGATCTACAGACGGTCCCTCCTCACGAGCGACGCATTTCGCGAGGCCACTTGGACCCTGATATTTTGATGGCGGCTTGCTTTAAATGAAAATATCACATAATGTGTTATAATTCCCTCCTTTCACCCGCACAAAAGACCGAGAGTGAGGCTTGCTGCTACTGCTAGGCCCGTTGCTTCGGAGACCATGTGTATACCTCGGCATAACGTAGGTCCGGCGCCGAGACCGGCATCTGGACGATCTCCGATAATTTTTGAGACGGCTAGGTTGAGCAAGCTCCCGAGCTCACGAGACACCTTCAGCCTGCATATTAGCAGATCAGCTCAGCTCCCAGAATGTCGCGCAAGAGGCAATTTGACAATGCGCCCCAAGAAGCGCCTTCTGATCCGGCAACGCGCAAGCGCCGTAGACAATTCACCGAGGAAGATGCAAAGCTGGCGAAGATCTATGATGGCCTCGCCGATGAAGCCAGAGACATTCGTCTGGATGCCGCAAAGGAACTCGTGCTGAAACTGTCGCCAGAAAATGCTCCCTCCGCCGAGGTTGCCAACAAAGTCCTTGTACGACTAATCAAAGGCTTATGCAGCGGACGCAAAGCAGCTCGATTTGGATTCTTCATAGCCCTTACGGAAGTGTTGCGCCAGCTCTACAGCCCAAATGCCCCCGAGATTTCTGGATTGGAGCCAAACATCCACGGTCTGGTCAAACTTGTCGCCGAGCTCACACAAGCTGATGGCAAGGTTAGCGGTCAAGTATGAGACTCGAGAGCGTGCTCTTTACCAACAAATGCTGATAAACTCTCAGGAGAAGAGAGATCACCTCCTAGGCCGCGTTTTCGGGTACAAAGCGATCATTCAATCCGACATCCTCGTGCAACCGGCGTCCCCTAAAGAATGCTGGGCGAACGTCCTCGAACAACTGTATAATTTGGCCAGGGAGAAAGGATGGTTGCGCGAAGAGTGCGGGCTCATTTTGTGCGAAGCTGTTCGGACTTTGGCCAAGGAGAAAAGTGACCGCAAGCTCGTACAGGACATTGTGGATGGATTGTGCTCCAATAACTTGGCAAAGACTCCGGAGGGTGTAGCAATTTGGTTGACGGTGAGCTCGTTATTCCCGAAATTTGAGCTTCCCCAAAGCACATGGCACAAGCAAGACCCGCTCTGCTCAAAAGAGCGGCAGACGCTAGCAAATGTGATGAGGGAGAACTTCGCCAACAGTTCAAGCGGAGCTGCGGAGAATGGCAAGAAGGTCAAGGCCGGAACCTCTCAGCCGACCTTGAACTTTGCGTGGGAGATTGTCATAACAACTTTCATGCAAAAGAATGCCGAGAAAGAGTCAGACTTTTCCAAGTTCTGGACTGACCTTGTAGACAGTAAGTTTACCCATCAGCCGATGTTTGAACGCTTCTAATCGGTGGACAGACAATCTCTTTTCGGCATCTGCCTCGCCGGAACAAAAGTCCAAAGGATTCCAGCTTTTCTCAAAGATGCTGTCGAGTGCGCCGACGTGGGCTCTCCCTGCAATCTTCAGTCCAAACCTCATGAGGTGCCTGATAAACCAGCGCAACGATGCCGAGAGATACCTCCACAATGCTGCAAAGGCTCCGCTAGATGAAATTCGCGCTCGGGTCAAGAAATCTCCTGATGCTGCTGCTCCTATACTGGAAGGGCTTATCACTAAGCATGGCTCACTCAACTTTGATCAGATCACTAAGACCAAGACTGTTGAAGGCGCATTGAGCCAAGCTAATGACGCAGCCTTTGAGAAGCTTTTGCCGCTGTTCAAGCGCTTGATTTACCGCCCTGAAGAAGAAGATGAGAAGGTTGTAGAGTCCAGACGACGCACTGTCGCCGATATGCTGGTTTCTGCGGTTAGGAGTCGCAACAAGGAAAACCCTGTGGGCGACTCGGAGTCATGGCTGCAGCAGCTCCTCGTCCTACTTACCGAGCTCGCATACTTCACCCCTACCTCCTCCACGTCCCCAGACGATTTGCCTCTGCCATCCATCTCGGAGGGCTCCAGAAGCGTGTTCCAAGGAAGGTTATCATCATGCCTTGCGCATCTTCTTACCACGAAGCTTGACATTGAGATGAAGTATCCCTACGCCGTTGTGTCGGCCACTCGATCTAAGGACAAGTCTTCAAAATCTCTGTCGCTTGTTTTCAAAGCCGATAAAGCAGTTTCAAAGGCTGTTAAACAAGCCCATAAGCAGCTTGAGGAGATCGCAACAAAGGTTCGTTGTGAAAACAATGGTTTGGTGAAGTGTCTGCTAACAGCATTTTAGGAGGCTAAGACGAAAGAAAAAAAGAAGCCGGCCCTGCGAGCTTTCAAGTTGCTCTTCTCCTTGACCATTCTCCAGGTCTACAACGGAGACGCCGAAGCCGTCGCCATCCTCGAAGAACTCGAAACATGTTACAATTCGGCATTCCAGAAAGGCGAGAAAGGCTCGGATGCGTTCCAAATGCTCATTGAAGTTCTGCTTGGTTTCGCGGCAAAACCTTCAATCCTTTTCCGGAAACTGTCAGAGCAGGTCTTTACCACATTCGCCTCTGAGTTATCTGCAGAGGGATTGCAATCCATGATTGATATTCTGAGCAAAAAGGAGAGCATTGCTGGCCAGCAGGACCTCTTTGACCAAGACGCTAGCGATGTCGAAGAGGTTGAATCTGAGGATGACGATGTCGAGGAAGCTTCAGATGTGGAGATGCTTGATGACGATGCGGAGGGTGAGGGAGAAGAGTCTGATGAGGAAGAGGAGGATGAGTCGGAGTCGGGTGGAGAAGCGGATCAGGAGGAGCTGGAGAAGTTTGATGCGCTACTTGCTCAGACTCTCAAGACCTCCGCACCCAATGGTGAGGGAGAAGATGAAGAAGGGTCAGACGAGGACATGGATGATGAAGAGATGATGGCTTTGGAGCCTCAATTGGCGAAGATCTTCAAGGAGAGACAGAAGACTTCGGGAAAGAAGAAGGAGAACAAGGATGCCAAGGAGACGATGATTAACTTCAAGAACAGGGTCCTGGATCTCCTTTTGATCTACGTCAAGCAGCAACACAACAACATCCTCGCCATGGATCTCATACTTCCTCTGCTGGAGCTCATCCGCTCAACTACAAGCAAGCAGATTGCTGAGAAGAGCTTCAACTTGCTCAAGCAGTACTTTGACTCTGCCAAGAAGGGGCTGCCTACGCCATCAGAGGACGCAGACGTTTGGGCGCTGCTGAAAGACGTCCACACTGAAGTGACAAAAGACGCTTCTAAGCTTCATGCCGGAGCATGCAGCAGATCCAGTCTCTTTATTGCCAAGGTGCTCATCACCCTTGACGGGTCAAATTACGAGAAGCTCGTGGACCTGTATGCCGAGACGCAGAAGCAGTGGTACAAGGACCCGAAATCGCAGGTACACCCTTCGTTCTTCAACGAGTGGATGAACTGGTCGATTGCCACGAAGAAGCAGAAGTGAGCGGAGGTGACAGCGGGCTGGGTCGCGAGGAATGAGCACGAGCATGAACCCAATATTGATGGGGGCCGTTCCCGGTAGATAATTTAAAAGTAGGAATTCTTCATGATTGCATTCCTGCGGCAATGATAACGAACTGGAAGCTTCTGAGACATTGCCCGAAATAACGCCCGTTACCGTAAAGCGAGGTTTATCGTGAAGCGAGATGGCGATACTTGTGTAGAGTCTATGTGTGCTCTAAGATCTTTTCACCTATACCCGGGACTCGGGCTAGGAGCTAGGCAAGGAGTACTCTATATGGACTACTTATAGCGTCCCCTATCTCACTAAACGGTGGATCTCGGTTTGCGGTGATGGACGTTATCGTAAGTCCCAATCGGCGCGCTAACCTGTCGCACGGTCCCTGCACGACACGCGATCGTCATCATCGCGGGGCAAGCAAGCGCGGCTCGCGATTTCGGAAGGCAACTGCGCAAACAATCCACCAACCAGCTTCAACCGTGTCGCTTTCCTCTCTACACCTTCCAAGCAACCGGACAAGTGCTGAGAACATCATGGCTTGCAAGCACGTCGACGTCCCTGGTATATTGAGCTCTGCAAGCGTCCTGCCTTGTTTTTCGCTGACGTCTTGACAGAGCTGCGAGCTCCAGGCCCCAACCAGTCTGTGTACCGCGAAGACTGTACGCAGTGCTTCGACTCAATAGTGAGCCGCAGCTCAGCACCCCAACAGCTGTCGCAATCCTTTGGCTTACATCTCACAGGACGAGCCCAGTGGCCTGGACGTCTGCCTCTACTGTTTCAACGGTGGCTGTAATGGCGAGCGCAACCACGGCCATCTCCACTACCAAACCCGCAAACACCCCCTCGTCCTGAACATCCGCCAGACCAAGAAGAAGGTGAAGCGCGATGAACCTCCCCAGAAGATGTCGAAACTGGCAATTGCCGCCGAGACCGAAGCGGACCGTTACGATACGACGACACAAGTCAAATGCCATGAGTGCGGCGTCGACGACGTGGACAAGACGGCTGGCAAATTGCCACAGGTTGTCGATGCTGTGCTCAAGGCCAACACATTTGCGAGGCAGGAAGAGGTCAAGGCTTGGGAACAGGAGATGATTCCTTGCGAGCATACGCTGTGCCTGGAGCAGGATGCGCCGAAAAAGATTGAGTCCCAGGATCTTGGCCACTGCTCCATGTGCGACCTCAAGGAGAACCTTTGGCTCTGCTTGACCTGTGGCAACCTTGGATGTGGCCGCGCGCAGTATGGTGGCATTGGCGGGAACTCGCACGGCCTGGCCCACACGGACAATACTAAGCACCCTGTGGCTGTGAAGCTCGGATCCCTCACGGCCGATGGCACAGCGGACATTTATTGTTACGCTTGTAACGAGGAGCGCGTGGACCCCGAGCTTACTGCGCATCTTGCTCATTGGGGTATTGACATTGCCGGTCGGGAGAAGACCGAGAAGAGCTTGACAGAGATGCAGATTGAGCAGAACTTGCGGTGGGAATTCTCCATGACCTCAGAAGATGGCAAGGAGCTGAAACCCCTCTTCGGCGCTGGATTTACGGGCCTGAAGAACCTCGGTAACAGCTGTTACCTGGCTAGTGTTCTACAGGCATTGTTCGACATGCCGGAGTTTAGGGATCGTTATTACCATCCTAATGAGGCCCCGCCGCAAGCAGATTTCCCCGCCGAGGATCTCGAGACACAACTTCGGAAGCTGGCTGACGGCTTACTTTCTGGAAGATACTCGAAGCCTGACAGCGACGTCATTGCGTCGGAGCATTCACCAGAAGTACCTCACCAGAAAGGCTTGGCACCGGCAATGCTCAAGCATCTCATTGGAAGAGGCCACCCGGAGTTTTCTACCATGCGTCAGCAAGACTCTTTCGAACTTTTGCTTCACCTGTTGAAGTTGGTTACCCGGTCACAGCATCCAGCCCCATTGAAAGATCCCGTGGACGCCTTCCGCTTTGCCATGGAACAGAAGTTGCAATGTCTGAAGTGCAAGAAGGTTCGCTACAGGACCGATGAGATGGAAAACATTTCCATTCCTGTACCCATCAAAAGGATTCCCAAGGAAGACAAGATGGAAGTCACAGATGCGCAAGGCAAGGAGAAGCCCAAGGAGGAGTTTGAACATGTCACGCTGAAGGAGTGTCTTGACATATTCACCGCATCTGAGGTGGTTGAGTTGACGTGCGCATCTTGCGGTAGTAAGGATGGCTTTGCGAAGCAGAGCTTGTTCAAGACTTTCCCTGATATCCTAGCAGTCAACGCCCGGCGCTTCGAGCTCGTCAACTGGGTCCCGACAAAGTTGGATGTGCCGGTTGTTGTTAGTGATGAGCCTTTCTCTTTTGATGCTTACAAATCTGCTGGCATCCAGGAGGGCGAAGAGCTCCTTCCAGAAGATGCAGATGAGGGTGCGTCGAACAAGTTTGTTCCTAATGAGGTTGCTTTGTCTATGCTTCAGGAGATGGGCTTTCCTCGTGTGCGCTGCGAAAAGGCGCTGCATGCCACTGGTAATGAGGATCCCGAGGCTGCATCTAACTGGCTGTTCTCTCATATGGACGACCCCGACATTGATGTTCCTGTCGACCTTGGCGGCTCCGGAAACACTACCAAGGGTGGAGCGACGGTGGTCGACGCTGGTCAAATCGAAATGATGACGGCCATGGGCTTCTCCGAGCCGCAAGCACGCCAGGCCCTGAAGGAGACGAACAACGACCCAGAACGTGCGGTTGATTGGCTGTTCAACCACCCCGAAGCCACGGGCGACTTTGGTGACGACGCTGGCGCCGAGGCACCGGCAGAGCCCAAGGAAAAGACTATCCCCGGTAGCGACAAGCTGCCAGCTAACTTCCAGCTGCAGTCGATTGTGTGTCACAAGGGAAGCTCGATCCACGCCGGGTACGTCATGTGCTACGCCATCCCCTCGTTATGACCAGATTGCTAACTCACGACAGGCACTACGTAGCGTTCGTCCGCAAGCAAGTGCCCGGCGAGGCGTCGGCGGCCTGGGTGCTCTTCAACGACGAAAAGGTCGCCAAGGCGTCTGACGTTGACGAGATGAAGAAGTTCGCATACGTTTACTTTTTCAGGCGGGTGTGATGCGATCGTAGAGGGGTTGAGTTGGCGGGACAAGGGCTGGCACTTGCATGGCGGGCGGCGCACGAACGGATTGGGAAGTTCACGATGACGACGATGACGGCGAGCATGGTGGATTCTACTTGTGCGTGTAGAGCAGTAGTAGTAGTAGTATTAGTAGAAAAGGCCTTTTGGCAAGGCGTCTGAATAAAGGGCATGCCCCGATTCGGCGAGGTGGGAGGAGCTTGGCGTTGAGTGCACGTTCGCCACAAGCGAGTATGACTTAACCCCGATGGCCGAGACCGCTCGGCTCCGCGGCGATTGCGGGTCGTCATTCTCAAATAATCAAAGACACCTCCATCTCCTCCGCCCTCCAACAACCTCGCAACCACAACTCCGCCCATTGCTTTTCATCAACACACGCACTACACACTTGCACAACCACCTTCACCGCACTCTTACTCACCTCTGCACCTCCATCCACCATGTTCAGACGCGCCGTCGCCGTCGCTCCGGTCCAGGCCGGCAAGCTCCTCACCTCTGCCGCCAGGCCTCAGATCGCATCGCCGCTGAGGGCAGCAGCACCCGCCGTCCTCAACGCCACCAGCAGGAGGAGCTACCACGAAAAAGATAAGTATTCCCTCGCTCCTTGCTCTTTGCACAGCTCGACCTCGGCACCTACTCGGGTTCGCCTTCCACCCCGCCTCGTGTCGCTCGCACGAACGAACACCCTCGACTAACATGCGCAGCACTGCTCGACCACTACAACAAGCCGCGCAATGTCGGCTCCATGGCCAAGGGCGACAATGACGTCGGTACCGGCCTCGTTGGCGCACCTGCCTGCGGCGACGTCATGAAGCTGCAGATTCGCGTTGACCCCGACAACAACACCATCTCGGACGTCAAGTTCAAGACGTTCGGCTGTGGCTCTGCCATCGCCAGCTCCAGCTACCTGACCGAGCTGGTGCGCGGCATGACGCTCGAGCAGGCCGCCCGTATCAAGAACACCGAGATCGCTAAGGAGCTCTGCCTGCCCCCCGTCAAGCGTAAGTTTCTTTTCCGTCTTTTGTGCTCTTGGCCTTTGTACTGATGTCGTCTTTCGCGTAGTCCACTGCTCCATGCTCGCCGAGGACGCCATCAAGTCCGCCATCACCAACTACTACACCAAGAACCCCAAGGCCCGCAAGACGGACCTTGGCGGCACTGGCGCAGCGATCCCCAAGGTCGAGGTCGAGACCATCACCGAGGGCGCCGCTACCGCTTAAGCAACCAAAAAAGTTCTTTTCTTTCTTGTTGGTGTATGATGAGTTCTTAACGAATCCGCGTTCGCCGAGTCTTTTGGGCATCGAGAGAACGAGGGCTTGATGTTAGTGGCGGGGTTCTTTCGCTCTAGCTGTTTCTTCCAGCAGACCATGGGACCGCGCTCTTTTTTTCCAAATATCCCTGTAACGGTACATAGCATGATGCCTCCTTTTGGGTTTTTCGTTTTTTCCGGAGAGGGTTTCTGCGGGCGTTGATGTTGCTCGGCGCGGGAGTGGGTAGGATAGCATTCGATTGGCGCGAAGAATGAAGAAAGTCAAAATTCCTTGCACACGCAAATGGAGGTATCCAAGGAGCCTATATCGTGAAACATCGTGACGAGCGACGGACCGGACGATTTCGTGAATTGGAAAACCAAACCATCAAAAGCCAGGCAGTGGCAGTGGCAGTGGCAAGCAGACAGGGGGCGGGTCCGCAGGGCCCAAGCAAGCAGGAACGAACACCAAAAAACCCAACACCACGAGACAGCGACGGGCGAACGGGGAAAGGAAAAAACAAGAAACGAAAGAAGCTCACTCAAAAGACGGGGAAAACGGGCGCAAGGCATTTATACAAGGAAAAAAGGGCCACGCGCTAGGTCGGCCGCGGATACGCTGATGGTCACGCCACACACACGCAGCGCAGCACACATAACGCGCGGTCTGGAAGGGCAAGGGCACCTGAGAGCGTGCGTGGTTGCTGGATCCATCTGATAATGGAGCTTTGGCGGCGGGCGGCCGGGCTGGGTGTTGGCGATATCTGATCGATCGGCTCGGCTGCAGACCAGCACAACGTCACGGCATGGCATTTCTGCTGCACTCGCTGGTGACTGATCTCTCGAATAAAAACACTTTATAGATTTGCTTTCTGCGCAGGTGGTTACAGGCTGCACGCCTGTTCGTCCGCCTGTCTGAGGGTTTGCAGCGTGCTCAGGAGGCAGGCGGGCAGGCACGCAGCAGCCACTCGGCCGCGCGATGTTTCGCTGACAGCACAGCTCCCACGCACACGCACACGCACACAAGGACGGGCCCAGAGCGGACGGCCCGCGGAGCCAATGCGGCGAGGCGTGTTGCTAACGCTGGTGCACGGAGCACTCGCAACACACACAGGCCAAAAAGATAATGAGGAAGTAGAAGCAAAAAAAATAATTTAAAAAAAAAAAGCAAAAGAATATTCCGTTGCGGGGAATCGAACCCCGGCCTTGCCGGCACCTGTTAGAGTGTTGTTGCTCTTGTTATGAGAGCGGCAAATCCTAGCCACTAGACCACAACGGATTTTGTTTAGTTTGATTTTTGCTGCATGATTTATATTTATAAAATTTTTGGTGTGAGATGCTGATGGTATCGTGGAGAAGTGTACTTCTGGACTTGGAAGGAGCTAGTAAAACACCCGAGAAGAAATCCCTACTTACGCCAATAGGAGTATCGAAAGCAAATTCAAAGGCCTGCAACTTCTCTCGACTAAATAGCCTAAGCACGACCTAAGCGCATCTAAAACCCGCACCACGATGTACCTGCGAACGATTGCAAAGGGGCGTAGTATCCAAACACTGAACGAAACGAACCACTCCCACTCCTACAAACAGTCTGAAACGCAGATCTGGTGATAGTACGTACAACTACAAGGTCCTCTTTATTAACAAACAGCGCGAGATTACTACCGGCATTAACGCAGACAACTCCAGCCAAGTCCAAGACTGTCATCTACTCTACCCCCAGCCAAGCAACCGCACGCCACTGTACTACAAAGCCCAGGCACCAGCCCGCGCTTCTAACCACCATCTCTGTCCCTTAAAGCACCAGTAATTCCGCCCAAAAACGCCAACGCCAACGCAATGCCGCCAAAAAGTACACAAACAGCACACACACCTCAAGAGCATACCGATCACGCCAGCGTCAGCGCCACCGCGACCACCAGCCCCGCCACCCAGCACAACGACGGCCTAACCGCGGGCAGCGCAGCCGAGGCCTCGCCCCCGCTCTCCAGATACCACGCCCCAATGCGGGTGAGCTTGCCGCTCGAGCTCAGCATCGCGGCATTGGGGCCGATATTGCTGGCGTCGGTGCGGAAAGAGCCAAAGTACGCGTAGCGGGCGATATTCCTAGCCAAGATAGTCAGCAAAACCACTCCATATCTCGCCCCCACAAACCCCGGGGCAGGGGACCCAAGCACTCACGCCAAGCCGTCCATATACGTGGTGCTCTGATTAAAAAACGCCTCACTAGCGCCCAGCTCCTGGTGATCCCACGCAAACTCCGTAACCCAGAGCTCGACACCGGGGTACGTGGCGCCCACCTGGCCGAGAAAACTCGCAAAGCCCTCAAAGTTGCCGTACCAATGCAGAGGCAAGAAATCCGGTTCACAGCCACCGTTGCACGCGGCGTAGAACTTCTCTAACCATACCAAGCCGCTCGGACTCCCGGTCACGGCCGGCGCGCCCACCTTCAGCCCCTTCTCGCGCAGCGGCTTGACGCCCGCCTGCCAGAGCGCGGCCGCGCGCGCGGGCGCGATGCCACTGCCGCCCGTGCTGCTGGAGCCGTCGGGCTCGTTGAACGCGAGGACGTGCGTGAGTGCTGCGCCGGCGGAGATCTGGGCCGAGATGGAGGCGGCGAAGGCGGCGACGGCGGAGGCGGCGGACGTGTCGGCGGGGTTGGGGTCGCCCCAGAGCATGGGGATGAAGGAGAGGGAGGTCGAGGATAGAGAGGCGCTGGGCGTGACGCCGTAATTGTAGTACCAGGTTAGGCTGCTGCTGCCCGAGGTCCAGATGGTGTCGTCGGTGGGGTGCGCGCTGTTGGGGATATAGATGAGGCCGCGTTGGGGGGTTGCGGTGACGGGGGTGGTGAGGGCGGCGGCGGCGAGGGCCGTAACGAACGTCGTGGGGCGCATGGTTGGTGGTTGTATGGTGGTTCGGATGTGTGTATAAGGGTATGTGTGTAGTATGTAAGAAAAAAACGATAGACGTGTAATGCAAGCAGGTAACCAGTACCCAACCAAACAGGCAAACAGAAGAAGAACAAAAACAACGAAAGAACAGTAGTAGTAAGAGGAGTAGTCGTCGTCGTAACCTGCGGCACACCTTCTCTCCAAAGCATCCTCCTCAGCGGGCGGCATCCCCCTCTTTAAAGCAGCACAAACCCACAGCCCACCCCTCCCAACCCCAGAATCTCAAACCAGCACGCCGTACGCACGCGCCAAAACGTGTCTAGACAAGCACGCACGGAACGGGCCACGAAGCCGAGAAGCCTAAAAACAGAAACGAGGTGCGAGCGGGTGTAGAAACGGGGAAGTCTAGACGCGGCTCCGCAGCGCCTGCAAACCGCGCCGCCGATGCGCGCGCGACTGGCTGCGGATAGCCGCTTCCTGGCGCCTAGTGGAGCTGTGCCGCGACTCGGGCGTGGTCTGGCCGAGACGGCGGGAGCAGCGCGGCGGTGCGGTGCGGTGCGGTGGTGCCATTGCCATTGCCGGACTGAGGACGGAAAGCTAGGAAAAGAGGCTGAAGGAAAGAAGTGGAAAAGCTGCTTACTTACGGGCACGCTGTAGTTACTTACCGGGTCATGTCGGCGCTCCTGTGTCTCGCATGTTTTTTTGCGCTGTTGGGTGTGGTTTGGAGACGCGCCGAATGATCGGTGCGGAGTGTGGGGCTGGAGGAGGCGCGCGGGTGGCGACTGCCTGCTGGGGGCCGCATACTGTTTCAAGTCGTGCCGGCGTCTGATTCGTTGATTTTTCGAGGCTTTGCTTCTGCTTCACGGCTCTACTCTATTTACTATGTACATTAGCTAGGTAATTCAATCTAGCACTGCCATTACACTACCAGTCAATGACGCAGATGATCTTGCCCTTTGTCTTGTTCGCCTCCATGAGCTTGTGCGCCTCGATAATCTCCTCAAACTTAAACGTCTTCTCGACGAAGATCTTGAAGCTGCCGTCCACAAACTTGGGCAGCGCGTGCTCGACGAGCTGGTCCCGCAGCTTGCCCTGGTAGTCCTCATCGCGGCTGCGGAGCGAGCTGCCCTCGAAGCGCAGGCGCTTCCGAATGAAATTGCCCAAGTCGGCGCCCTTGCCGTCGAGCTTAGTGCCGCCCAGGAACCCCAAGTTGACAATGCGCCCGTCCAGCGCCGCAGCTTTGAGGTTGCCGGCGAAGTAGTCGGCGCCCACAAAGTCGATGATGACATCGACGCCCTTGCCGTTCGTGGCCTTGAGCACCTCGTCCGCCCAGTCGCCCTTGGTGGCGTTGAACGCGCCCGTCGCGCCCAGCTGCTGCACCACGAAGTCGCACTTTTCGTCCTGGCGCGCCGTGGCATACACCGCAGCAGCCTTATCCGCGAGCGCGAGCTGGATGCCGGAAATAGCGACGCTGCTAGCCCCCGCGTGCCAGAGGATGCTCTTGCCCGGCCCAAACTCCCCAATCAGGTACATGGCCTGCAGCGCCGTGATCCAGGTCTCGGGCACGCCGGCCGCCTGCTCCCAGCTCAGCTCCTTGGGCTTGTGCACCAGCATGTGCGTCGACACGGCAATGTACTCGGCGTAGGCGCCTCCGTACGCTAGCCCGAACACCTCGTCGCCGATCGAAAAGCCCTTCTCGGGCGCGCTGCCGAAGCCCTCGATCACGCCTGAGAACTCGACGCCCAGCGTTGCCGGCGCTTGTGGTGGCACCGGGTACATGCCTTCTCGCTGGAGCAGGTCCATGCGGTTGAGCCCGAAGGCTTTGATGCGGACGAGGGCTTGCGTTTTGGTGGGCGTGGGCTTGGGGGTTTGGTCGTTGACGAATAGGGCGTCGACGGGGCCTTTGCCGCCCTTGATGTCTGTGGACGTCGTGTTGTTAGTGCATTGTTGAAGAAGGAATTGGTGGTGTCAGACGTACCAATTGCGCGCATGGTGTCGGGCATTTTGGAATGTGGTGTGTGAGAGAGAGGTGAAGATGGGAGAGAGTTTAGGTAGGTCAGTACTTCACTCAAGATGGAGGGGCACCGAGCTATTTCGTGGCGGCCATGACGTGAGGCCCTAAGCCCTGGTTATCTCCGGATTTCTAAGCTTCTGGAAGGTGGGGCTGCGCGGCGGAAGGATTTCGGCACTACGTTAGTACAACTCTTGCTCGCACTTCATCTTTGTTCTCTTACTTCACTTAATATTCACACGTCCATTCATGTCCTAGGTAGTAACTCCAGTCGCTATGCTCGCAATTCTCTCTCTAATGCCGTCTAGAATCTTACATGCTCATTTCTCGTGTCTCCGTCATTCGTGTTGATTGATTACTTCTTCTGTTCTCCTTCAAGTGCTTGGTCCACAAAAGGCTGCGTCAAACTCCCTTTACGGTCTCCTGTCTCCAGTTTCTAGCCCTCTTGGTCGAGTTCTCAAGCCCCATCGTGACGAACAGAGCCATCTCCACCACGATGTGAAGAAGAGCGCAACTGCAGCACACGTCTCGGCGCCGGCGGTTGCAGGGAACGCGAAGACGTAGACGTAGCCCCTTGCGGCGGAGACTGCTCTCTGGACGAAGGAGGTGGCGATAGCGGAGGAGCCGGTCGCGTGGACTGATGTGTTCGCGCTCGCTTCAGTGGCCTTTCCTCCAGCAGCAGACCGTAGTCCGCATTCATCTCACTCGTGACAATGTCCGGGTACGGTCCGTCGGCGTATGGGCCCACGCCGTGGGCATTCCCGTTGCCGTGCGCAAACGCGTACAGTCCTAGTGGCAGGCCGCTTGGGAACTGCGCCGTCTGGTACTGCACCGTCCGGTACGTCTGGTGCTGGAACATGAAGGTATCGCGATCTCTGTTGTCTTCTTCGGGGGATTCGGCGCGCCGGTCTGCTTCTTCAACCGCTTCTCCGATCGGCTCATGCGGGAGCCTCCGTTTTCTGCTTTGGGATCCCTGCTCCCTGTCTAAGTGGTCCTGCTCGTCGCCCAAGTGGTCATGCTCCCCCTCCAGGTAGTCCCGCTCCGGCTCCCTTCTATACTGCGACCCCAACACCGGTCTCCGGAACTCCTCTTCATCATCCGGGGACGTCTCTCTAGCCATCTGGTCCCTCGTCAAAGCCCAAACAGTGTCGGGATTGATAACGCCAGTGGGGCCCGCATTGCGCGAGATGAGATCGTGGAAGCCGGTCTCGAACACGGGGTCCATGGGCGAGGGCGACGGAGAAGACGCACTGCTCCGTGACGGGCGCTCGTGGCGGACTGCTCCTGGAAAGCTCGCTCGAGAGGCCACTGGGCTCGAGAGTGCGATGGCTGGAGTTGTGGTGGCGGTGGTGGCGGCGGCTTGTGCTGTGTGAAGGTTCTTGCTAGATCGCTCGGTGCCCTGGGTCTTGTTCGCGACGCTGCTGGGAGTTTTGCTCCTGCGGCGAGGCATCTTGAGTTCGTTCTTAGGGTGAGGTGTGCTGAAAGAGTGAATATGTTTTGATATCGCTGATAGTCTCTAGCACCGGGACGAAAGTGAGTAGAGCTTGACGTTATTGGTCTCTCTGTCACCTGGATGCCAAAAAAGGAAGGAAGGAAAGCAGAAAGCGAATACAGAAAGCCCTATGCGCGATAAGTTTATATACTCACGCTGTTCGAGTTCTGTCTGCGCCTATATCGTGGTACGCCTGGTAGACCTGGTACACGGTAGAGGCTCACGCCGTACCGCTGGTCCGGCCTTTCGGTTCCGCCAAACGTCTGTCTGGTGCCTGGAGGATAGCGACGCAACTTCCACGGGAGAAACTGCCGAGTTGTTGTTTTGAGGGATGAAGAGCTTCACTGTCTTGGTGTTTTAAAGTGAAAGGAGTTGACGTTGTGCAGTAACTAGGTTTCACTTAGTATTACGACAATTGTGATTCACTCGAGCTAAGGTGAAATAGAAGGGTGAGTAGGTGAAAATGACCGTTTTGTGCTATCACACAAAGAACAATTCAATAAGTCAGAGACAGTAACTGCAGTTATAGGGAAGTGCTAGTGACAACACAAATCAGTGTCGCCGTAATAACCCGATTCTCTAAGACTTTCAGTATCCTAGGTTATTAAGAGGGTAGAACTTCACACGCCGCATTGCACTGTTGGTATAGGAGCACAACCCAAAAGCCGAAAGAAATCTCCACTCACTAACACTATACCTATTCACCCTACACCTTCACCTTCACCAACCACCAACCCCCCGCCCCTCCCTCACCACAGTACACCAAAACAAAACCAACCAAACAAACAAGCGTCCTTCTAGACTCCCTCTCTCAGCCGCCACACACGCACCCAACCCACCCCGCAAACCCGAACCAAATCCCTGCCATCACCACGCCGCCGCCCTCGGCACCCGCTCCCCCGACCACCGAGCCCAACCAACCCACCCTCCACTCTAATCCTCCACCTATGTAACCCCACACCCGCACACCCGCCTCCACATCCCGGCGCGCGCATCCTTCCCCGTGGGGAAAGCCAGCCACACGCACTCCCACGTGCGTGCGCTGCGTAGGCGTTCGCAGCCAGCCGGAACCGGCGCGTTTCCTCCAGACGAGAGATGTCGCGCAGCTAGACGCTGCAGGGAATCAGGGCGCATTGCATCGAAAGAGAGGGAGATAGGGAGAGAGAGACTGGGCAGCAGCGGTGGCATTGCCAAGACGAGGCGTTTGCGGGGATGGTGAGAGCAGCAAGGATGATGCTGCAGCCGGGGAAGCACACACGCAGGGCTAAACACTCGCGCGCAGCGAGCGGCGAGCGTGCTTTCTTTTTAGGCAGTGCTTGCGCCGGCGCTGCAGCAATTCAATGCCGTCCATCTCATCCCCTCTCTCTTACCTCAATCCGCAATCTCTCTCCGTCACCGGTCGGTATTCATATATCCGCCATGTCGTTCAAGTCGATACTGGCGAAGCGGAGCGGCCTTAAAGCCGGGAACCAGCGCACTCGCGCGTCGGAGATCACGGTGCGCGAGTCGCTGCTGCCGCTGTTTCTGGTGACGATTTTGTATTTTCTTTGGGTATGTCCTGGGTGCTTTTTCCCTCTTAGAGAGATGCGTATACTAACATCTAGCAGGGGTTTGCCTACGGCTTGCTAGACACGCTGAACAAGCACTTCCAAAACACGCTGGACATAACGCGGGCGCGGTCATCCGGATTACAGGGCGCGTATTTCGGGTGCGTCAAACCCCCCGCGAGACGAAGGCGGTCCGCTTCCCCACTGACGCAGAACACGCAGCGCGTACCCGGTGGCCTCGCTCGGCTGGGCCAACTGGATCCTGCGCCACTACGGCTACAAAGCGACGTTCATGACGGGGCTGGTCCTGTACGGCATCGGCGCGCTGTGCATGTGGCCGGCGGGGCTGAACCGCTCGTTTGGCGGCTTCTGCGGCGCCACGTTTGTGATTGGCAGCGGGTTGGGCTCGCTCGAGACGGCTGCGAACCCCTTCATGGCTGTGTGTGGCCCGCCGAAGTACTCGGAGCTGCGCATCAATCTCGCGCAGGCCGTGCAGGCTGTTGGCACGGTGATTGGGCCCGTGTTGGGCTCGTACGTCTTCTTCAAGGATACGGGCGACAGCGTCGACTCCCTCAAGACGGTTCAGTGGGTCTATCTCGCTATTGCGGTTTTTGTGTTTCTCCTCGCTGCTGTGTTTTTTGTGTCCTGGATCCCGGAGATCACGGATGCCGACATGGCGTTCCAGGCTGAGGAGACGCATGTCGGGTCTGGAGACAAGCCGTTCTGGAAGCAGTGGCCGCTGTTCCATGCTGCGGCGGCTCAGTGGTGCTATACTGGTGCTCAGGGTAAATATTTCATTCAGTGTGCGTTGAAAGGTGGCACTGACTTCAAACTTAGTCGCTATTGCAACCTACTTCATCAATTACGTCGTCGAGACGCGCAAGAACACCGACAATGCCCTCGCCGCAAATTTTTTGGCCGCTGCACAGGGCTGCTTCGCTGTCGGTCGCTTCACTGGTGCTATCCTGATGAAGTTCATCAAGCCACGCTGGGTCTTCCTGGCTTATCTAACGGCTGTCGTGGCTTTCAACGGCGGTAGCATCAACAACTCGGGCGACGCGGGCCTAGCCATGCTGATGATGACGTTATTCTTCGAGAGTGTTTGCTTCCCGACCATTGTCGCTCTGGGTATCCGTGGCTTGGGACGCCACACGAAACGCGGCGCTGGCCTCATCATTGCGGGTGTGTCAGGCGGAGCGGCAGGTAAGAAGAGCCTCGAATGCGTTAAGATGGGGAAGGAGATGCTGACGTATAACAAAGTTCCTGCAATTCTGGCGGTGACAGCAGATGCACACGACAGCACGAGCTTCGCGATGGTCGTACCTCTTTGCTTCATGATCGCGGCGTGGTCGTACGCGATCTGCGTGAATTATCTGCCCTCGTACCGCGACCCGGCGGACAAGATTGGAGCGAGTAATATTGGTGTTGTGGGTGGTGGCAAGGATGAAGAGGAAACTGTGGAGAAGGCTGTCGATGCAAAGCATATTGAGATTGTAGGGGAGGGAATTGCTGGGAAAGCATAGGGAGTGCTGTGCCGTTTGTTGGTCACTGTCTTTTATGCCGTTATGAGATAAGAAACTTCCATTTGCTTGTGTCCTGAATATTCTTGACTTTTGTGTATCCTCGGATGAACTTTATATCTCGCCGACCCCCTGCATGGAGATCTCTCAGCAAGCTCCTGACATTGTCGCCCTCCCATACTGCCAGTCCAACTCTTGGCAGGCCTTTCATTACTGAAAAGAAGGAAACGACAAGAAAAGGAACAGAAAGCCGGTTTTCCTTCAATATGCAACCGCGTACCTTCTACCACCGGGAGATTAAGGAATGTCTTCCGCGAGTGGTATCTTCAATCGATGGGGATGCCGTGCTCTTTAGCTTTGTGCTTAAGAAGATCTCTTTTGCGGAAATAGCCCTTTGGTCCAACATGATCACATCCATGCTCCGTACAGGGAAAATCAGACTCGTTATGGACTTTTCTCATGTGCGATATATAGTCCGAGAATTTTTGAAAAGCGTGTTTATTGTCTGAGGTATCGTTATCAGGAATATTAGGCCTTGATTCGGAACAGTCTTTATGCGGGCATGAACGTCGAATACCACTTGATTCATCCATACCCGTATGATGGTAGTTGCGTAGATGTTGCATTAGGTGCTCTTCACGCTTGAAGCTATCTGCGCCCCGGTGCTTTTTGCAGTACTTGCAGGGGAAACGGGCTGTACCGGATAGGTGAGACTTTTGATGCCTTCTTAGGACGTCGAACCTCGAGAAGCTCAACTCACAGCCATTCTCGGAGCATACAAAGGCTGCATGGCCAGTGCTGGCTGCATGATTGCCAAGCGACGCAATATTGGAAAAGCTCTGTCCACATTGATGACATGTCTTTAGCTCGGGGGGGAGATTGGCAGTGTTGAAAGAGGGGAGACTGGAAGGGTCGAAGGAGAGACTAGCAGTGTCGAAAGGGGGAAGCCTTCTTTGCGTTTCTAGGCCGGCGGCCCATGTACTTTCGATCGTGGTCCAGGAAGAACTATTAGCAAAGCCCAATTCGCCAAACGCGACTTCATCAAATCCGGCTTCAGTGCGAAATTCAGAATCAACCAAGCTTTCTCTGGGAAAGGCCCGGTTCGACGCATTTGATATGCTCACAGTCGCATCCTTGTCACTTTCCTTCGATGGAAGAATTGCAAATAAAGCAAGTCTCTCCATATGTTCGGCAAGATGATGCTTCATTTTGGAAGCTTCGATGAGGAACATTTTGTGTGGTTGCAGTGAAGAGATAGGTGTGGAAGGTGGTGAGCGTTCCCTCGCTTCTGGGGGAAGCTGGTATACATGAGGTAGAGACGCCATCCAATTGGTAATGTTGATCTGAGAGACTGCTTGTGCCGCTACATAAGTTTGTAAGCTTGGGAAATAGAGTAGTCAGATATCTTAAACGTACCATCGAACAGCTTTATTTCCATAGATGGCAAATTGGCGTCCTTTTGCTTTCCTTTGTCCCAAGGTGAAGTTTCCTGGGAGAACCCAAACGAATAGTTTTCGGCCGTAGGCGGCAAATTAGCGTCCTTTTGATTTTCCTCGTCCCAGAATTGAGTTTCCAGGAACTCTGTGGGGGGTGACGGGGACAGGTCAGAAGTCTTAAAATGCACAGTTTTTCTATGGCGCATGAACCGTTTAGGGTTTTCATGCTGATTCTCTGCACACAGAGGGCACGCCACCTCACCAGACAAAACAGGCCGTGCACATATGTCGACTAGCAAAGGTAAGTGGCCTTTGTCTGCTTCCTGAGCATGGTCACATCGTATATGGGTTTCGAATTCGTTCCTTGTTTGGTACACGGGGTGTTTTTCGTTGTTGCAGTGCCACTCCTTCCAATGGAAATCGAGCTCATGTTTGTACCACTCGTTCTTGGTTTCAAACATGCGATCCGCTTGCTCGCAATTTTTGAACGTACAAACGTAAGCTTGGAGGTCTTTGAAAATATGCTTTCTATACTCGGTAAGCTACTTCTCCATGGCCTGTACAGAGTGCACTTACCTCCAAATTCGGTTGTTTCTAGCTTCAATGGCGTGGAAACAATAGGGACAATAAAACCGCTTCATTTCTTTCCCATTCGGATCCAGAGGCCGTCGAAGTAGACTAAATCGGTCTCGTAGGCTCTTGGAAGTGGTGGCGGAAGCTACTGACTCATCCTCAGACAGGATATCAACGTTCGCATCTGTAATGACAGGCCGCAAAGTAGTCTTTTCTACAGCAGTAAGTGTAGGTTTCATGGCCATATCTGGCAATTTGGATTCATCGATGATCGAAGTTCTTGCCATATAGGGATGGGGTGTTCGGTCACCCATATGTGCAGCGGTTCTTTGCTGCTCCATAATTTCAACTCGTTCCCCATGACGCTGCTTGTTGTACGCCAAAAGTTGCCGGCGGCGCGTAATAGCTTTTGCTAGGCGACATTTCAATTTTTCGTCCGCATTAGGGAAGCAGTCATTGACATGTTGCAAATCAAAAAACTCGAAATGGTCCACAGGGATCTTTGATGATACAACCACTCGATCCACAGGAATGGGACGGTGGATTATCATCGACAGTCTGTATAGATGCTTCGTAAGCTCCTGAATGCCCTGGTACAGTTGCACCATCTCGCGGCTAGGAGCATCGCTAGCTCCCTCATCGGCTGTTCCAGCATCATGTGGCTGCTTGTGGAATGGCTGCGGGCTCCTATGGTTACCAACAACTGCTCGGAGGTTGGCAAGAGCCACGGCTTCCAACTCTTCCTGTTTTTCTGTACCTGTTGAGTCCGAAGATGTTGAGTCGATTTCCATTGGGTCTGGAGATGTTGAGGCGATCTCCATTAATCCCGAGTCAAGATCTGACTCCAATGAAAAGGGTCGTTCCTCGTTTGGCAATCTCTCGTTGCGGAGCAACTGAATAGCTGGATTCCTTGTTAGTCAGATTAACTCTAAAGACACCGTCTTTTTGAATATCAGAAGCATGAAGTGTACTGTGGCAATGAAGCCGACTATTTACCTTTTTGTATTGTGGAACTGAGGTCACTTAGAAATGCAGAAACCTGGTCTCGGTAGAATTTGGAATCCCTCAAGCGAAAATCAAGAGAATTACGCTTGTGAGGTGGACGATCCGCCCCCAGGCTTCCTGTCCATACCTTGAAACGGTCGAATTCGTCGATGATTCCTGTGCGTGGTAGCTGGTCGCCATAATCGCGCAACGGCTCCTGCATAAGGCTAAGCAGTTGTTCGAAAGAGAGTAGGCAACGCTCGCAGTCATCAAATATTGATGAAGTCATTGCTTTGACAGAAGCAAGTTACTGTGAGGAGGATAGAGAAGGTGTTTTCAAGGCTTAGACAGGCCGACAGTGCCCAAAGCAAGTTTGGAAGACTGGAGAGGGATTTAAAGATAAGATAGAATACTTAACGTCACTCCGAGCCGGGTAAGCCCACGTGATACAAGTGAGTTACCCCGCTCGAGGCTGAAGAGAGCTGGAAAAGCGTGGCGAGGTGGATCCCAATACCTTACCAAATTTAAGGCTTTCAACAATTAACTTATTCTGTCAAAAACCATGTCTGGATTCGAAGTGATCGGAGTGTTATTAGGAGCATGGCCTCTCCTAGTTCAGGGACTAATCTCTTATAAAGAAAGGGCAGATATGTTGTTAAAGCATGAAGAGACGATGAACGGCTTCATCTGGAAACTTCGAGTCGAACACACAGTATTCCGGTCATCCTGCGAAAGACTCATAGATGGTCTTGCCGAGGATGCTGATTTGGAAGGCCTTCTAACCAATCCGAATGTTGAAGCATGGAAAAACTCACTACGTCAGGGCCTTGATAAAAAGTTGAAGAGCAGGCTTGGCCATAGCCTCGAGGATTGTTGGGAGGCATTGTTCCGACTAGCGATAAACATCGAGAAATTGATGACTTTGGCTGGCTTGGGTGAGCAAGATAAGGTAGCGACTCTTCTTTCGCAATGTAGTGCTACCATTTACTGACGATGAGTGATCAACAGTCAATTCGAGACAGCTTATCCAAATATCAAAAGAAGTCGAAGCGGCGTGAAGAGATGTGGCGCAAGCTCAAGGATTGCATATCTTATGATAAGCAAAACCGACTGCTAAAAGAAATTGAGGGAGACAATGGCCGCCTCGGTCGCTTATTGCCTATCACACTCGGTCAGGAATTCGATAAAGCCTCCAGGCCACGAAAGGCAGATATCCGCCGGTGCGAATATATCAGACGGTCAGCGAAGAGTCTGTATTGCGCTCTTTGCTCTGGTTGGCTGTGTCAGTGCCAACATGCCCATTCTGCTCATTTGCGTTTGGAGGACAACATCTCAAAGGCTGAACGCCCCCGGTTCCGTATAGCCTTCTCTTACGGATTGAATCCAACCGGCAGCATACCGACGAGTTGGACCTGGCAAGAGACTGAAGTTGAGGAAGGCGAGGACGAACCCACACCATCGCTAGTGCCCTTTCGACCGACAGTCGCGCTTCAGACATCTGCATCAACCAACCAAGAGATTTTCTGCCTCTGCAGCGCCTTAAAAAAGAACAAAAATCTAAATACTGCGTCATCATGCCTGGGGTACATCAGTGGGACCCAACGAAAACATTACGTCCATCTGGCCAGGTCTTCTCCATCTGCTTGTACTTATGGAAAGCCTGTTTCGCTCCATGAAATTCTCTCTACCAGCAGCAATAGCAGCAGCAATATTTCATCACCGACGTCTCACAGTATCAGCTTTCATGATAAATTGGGCCTGGCTGTTCTGCTGGCGTCGTCGTTGCTCCAGTTTCAGTCTTCTTCTCCTTCCTGGATCGAGCCGCAATGGACATCTCAAGACGTTCAGTTCATTCCCAACGCTTCCAATACGCTGTTGGACAAATGCGCGTACATTTCCAAGACATTTCTTACTCCCAAAAAGGCCGCTCAAACTTGCCCTATTGTCAGTGATGGCATATCCAGCCGTAAACTGTTTATCAGGAGCGAAGCTGTGTTTGCTCTCGGGACAACGCTCGTAGAGCTTGCCATCGAAGCAACGCTTGGTTCGGTACAGACCGATCATGAGCGGGCCCAATCAGATATATCGGACCTCTATACTGCACTGCGTCTTGCGAAAGAAACGGAGCAAGTAAATGTCCCCAAATGGAACGCCGTCGTCAAGCGATGTCTACGATGTGAATTCCAGGCATCACCAGACTTCGAGAATAAGGCTTTCCGACGAGAGTTCCATGATAGCATCGTGGCCCCTCTGCGGGATATTTACGAAGGTTAAAGCCTGAATACCGAGGTAGCATTACTCACCAGCATGTGAACAAGTATGCATGGACCAAGTCATAATTGGATGTACAGGACGAAACCCAGTCGAGACTGTACGAATGGCTCCTTATGTATCCAAGGATGCCTATATAAATTTGTAACAGTGTTAGCTCTTCCGTACTTGCGTCATAGTATGTTATCATATAACTCAAGAGAGCTTCTTTCCAATCGACATTGACTGTTTACTGTAGGGCTGAATATCTTGACATCCGGACGTCAAAGCCCCCGGAACCCGGAAGATGCTTGAGCGCTGCATAAGGGTAAATCAATCTGACGACGAGAAATTACCGGTGAACGCACAAGGACCACAGTTACCGCAAGAACCGAACATCCGTAAAACGGCAAAGCTTCCACTTCATCCGTACCCACGTGTCCGACTGTTACCATTAAAGAGGTCCAAGATATTTATAGCGGTACTGCTCCCGCTGACAGCTTACGCGCGCGACCACCTTTGTCCGGTTCGTATGTGCGTAGTTGGGATTTCGACCCCATTACCAGCCTGTGGTTGGGTGGGCGGCGAAAAAAGTGTACTACGTGGTACACGATATACACAGCCACCCAGAACGCAGGGCGCTAAGCCAGAATCGATATTTGATAGACTGCTAGCAGGCTTAGCATTCGATACGGATGAGCGTCATTTGTCAGATGGGAGCTAGGAGGGGCAATATTGGGGTTCTCAACAGGCGCGCAGGCAGTGCCGCGTGCGGTCGGGCGGCTGGCGCTATTCCCGCGATGCATGATGACCTATCGTGAGACACGAGAAAAAGCTCCACAGTCGACGGCGGACGGATGCAAGTCATGCCCCCCCAGATCATGGATGGACGGTTCGGCAGGGACCGAGTGATGATTTCGCTAAGCGGAATGAGCAACGGCGGAGACTTGGAGCAGCAGCAGCTGACGCCTTATGAAAGAGGGCGCGTGTGGCTCAGCGGGGGCAACGGGCGGTGCAGGCGCGGATGTAGAGGCAAGTCAGGGGGTGTTTGGCTATATTTAGGCCTCCACGCAGACACTGACCCCCCGCGGGTCTAGAACGAGCTTTGCCCTGCAATGCTCGGAACACCATCTCCCCACAGAGACAAGCGGGAGTGGTGACAGTCGCAGAGGTGCGTCGCATGGCTGTCTCGCCGCGCGGCTTGGCAGGGCGGGTTGACGGGAGGGCCGAGGGCTTCGTCGCGGGCGGGGATGGCGAAGTGAGTGAATGAATGAATGAATGGATGGACAGACAGATCTTCTCGATCTCCCAAAGCACCACAGGATTCGCCGGGGCCCAGGGTTGTGCAGGCGCGCATCCTTTCCTAGCCGCGCATCCCTGCCAATTAGCGCTCGAGACTCACGACCCTTTTGCCGAGCGCGCGCCGCCTTGGAACTCTGAAACTCGTCGTGCCCCTTCAACAACCCAAAGCCTCCTCTGTTCTCCCCGTTCGCTCCTTTCACCCACTCTCGCTCTCGTTGCTACTGCTTTTTCGCCTGGTGTTTCGGCCTCCCTCGTTCGACCGACACCCCGCCCCCATCTGCCTCGCTCACTCGCTCCGGCGCCACCCCTTTACCATCCTTCGAAGACGCAGTCTAGGTTGATCCTGCTGCCACTCCGCCTTTAATCGCCCATTTCTGCTCCCCTCCGCGACCGCTCCAACTCGACACCATCCCGCTCCTCCGCCCGCGCGCAACCGCCTCTTCGAGCGCGTTTTGAGAGCCACACGACCGCTGGTGCGGCGGCATACTCCGTCGTCAACAAGCCCGTCCCCGTCGGCATCGCTCTTCGCCATGCTTTCCAAATGGCTCTTGCTCGGCGCCCTGCCGGCCGCCGTTCTCGCAGGAGACACGCTCTCCACCCACGGCTTCACGCCGTGTCTAAACAATGCGTCAATCGAAATCAATAAGATGGACGTCACCTTCAACCGCGCCACCAAAATGGTCGTCTTCGACGTCGCCGGTACGAGTACTAAGGAGCAGAAGGTCATGGCTTCGTTGGCCGTGTCAGCGTACGGCAAGGAAGTCTACAGCAAGAGTTTCAATCCTTGCGAAGAGGACACCTACGTCGAGCAGCTGTGTCCGGGTATGTCGTTGCAAATGAATGTGAAGCCCACACGACGCTAATACCACATTCAGTGCCCGCCGGAACTTTCTCTGCACAAGGAGACCAGGCCATTCCTGACCAGTTCTCATCCATGATTCCTGCCATTGCTTTCACCATTCCCGATTTGGACGGACAAGCCAAGATGGAGCTGACTCCAATGGATGGCGGCGACGACCTTGCCTGTATCACTTCGACCCTGACTAACCAAAAATCCATGAGCGTACCCGCCGTTCCTTACGTTGCCGCTGGTATCGCAGGCGCAGCTCTCCTCATGACTGGTGCGTCGGCTCTCGGTGCCAGCGCAGGCGCGGCCGGCGGTGTTGGCTCTGTCAGCCCGAGTCCCAACTTCTCCGAAGTCATGGGTTGGTTCCAGTCAATGTCCATGACCGCCATGATGAGTGTCAACTACCCTTCGGTCTACACCAGCTTCGCCAAGAACTTTGGCTTCAGCAGCGGTTTGATTGGCTGGAGTAACATGCAGACTGCGATCGACAACTTCAGAAAGGCTACTGGTGGCAACCTTACCGAGGCCAACTACGAATGGTTAATGAGCGCTACAATCGTCCAGGACAGCGGAAGTAGCAAGTCCAAGCGTGGGCTTGAGTACGCGAACATCTTTGCGCGCGAAGTCACAGCCACTGTCAACGGTTCTACCTCGACTACCGGCAGCGCAAGCTCGAACGGAACCACCTCTGCAAAGGATGAAATTATGGAGTACGTCCACGGTGTTAAGGGGTTCGCTGAGAAGCTTTCGATTCCTAGTACGAACACCTTCATGACTGTCCTGCTTGTATTCTCTATCGTCATCGCTTCCATTACCGTCGGTATCTTGCTGTTCAAGGTCATTCTGGAAACCTGGGCGCTCTTCAGCACTTTCCCCGAAAGGCTCACCAACTTCCGCAAGCGTTACTGGTGGATTTTGGCCAAGACGATTACCAACTTGATCATGCTGCTCTACGGTGCCTGGACCCTGTACTGCGTGTACCAGTTCACTCACGGTGACTCCTGGGGCGCTCTCGTCCTGGCCGCTGTTACTTTGACCATCTTCACGGGTGTTCTGGCATTCTTCGCATTCCGAATCTGGCAGATCGCCACCAAGTACAAGAAGCTTGAGGGTGATACATCCGCTCTTTTCGAGGACAAGGAGACTTGGAGGAAGTACAGCATGTTCTACGAGAACTACCAGAAGGGATATTGGTGGCTTTTCGTCCCAACAATCGCCTATGCGTTCGCCAAGGGCGTTGTTGTCGCGGCCGGCGATGGCCACGGTCTTGCGCAGACGTCCGCTCAACTCATTATCGAAGCTCTTATGCTCATCTTGCTCCTTTGGTCCAGACCCTACTCCCTCAAGTCCAGCAACGTCATCAACTGTACCATCCAGGCCGTCCGCTTTCTTTCTGTCCTCTGCGTGCTCGTCTTCGTTGAAGAGCTGGGAATCTCGCAGACAACTCAGACCGTCACCGGTATCGTTCTTGTCGTCATCCAGTCTGTGTTGACTGGCGCTTTGGCCATTTTGATTGCTGTCAACTCCATCATCACGTGTATCAAGGAGAACCCGCACAAGAAGCGGAGAAAGGAGCAGGGTAAGTTGATCTGCATCGTGGGGATTATGATTAACAAAAGAAAATCACTGCTAACGCCCACAACAGAGAAGCTCAACCGCGATCTCGACGACCTTACTCCTCTCGACGCACGCAACTCCCTTCTTATGGATCCCATCGAGTACAAGGGCGCACGCGGCTCCATAATCCAGACAAAGGGCTACGACCCTGTTCCTATGAAGGAGGGCTACGGCCACCACCTTCGCAGCAATAGCAAGGAAAACCTTCTTACCGATGCTGCGAGTATGGGCTCGCGCGACGAGCGGAGCAGGAGTCCGCCGCGCGAGCGTACCCCTCGATTGCCGGATATCGAAGCCGGCAACGGCGGATATAAGGGCGCGGCGTACTAGACCTTCTTTCTGCGAGATTGTGCGATTTTTTCCCTTTTAATCTGTACGCATGGCGATCTGCGGGGTTTTGTACAAAGCGGACAGCCTAAGACAGTTGTTGGAGCATTATCCTGACAAAGATTTCTTCTTCTTCTGAACTCTACCTTTACTACATTCGAGATTGCGGGAGGTCTTGTTTTTCTTGTCCCTTTGTCTGTTTTTGTTGATATCACCACTCGATGAGAAAGAGGCGCCCACGATTTCCACTATCCTTTTTCAAACCAGCACCAGTGGGTTTTTTTGGGCGTCGAGCCGCGGCCACGCTTCGTATGCGGATTGGGCGGCAGCGACAGCAGCAGCAGCAGCAGCAAATGAGCCAGCATGCATATTTGCGTGGAAGCCATGCGTGTGCGAAAAGCAGCGAAAAATTCACTCACCGCTTTGTTTTTACACACTTCCTACATACCACCCCACCTATCTATATTTACCTTCTACATTCCCTACCAAAGATACTCCCCATCATGTCGTCATTGTCGTCGTTTTGCCGTCGTCATTGTCGGCCTCACAGCGCTGCTAACCGCACCTACGTTTTCCCTTGCTGATGCTCTCTATCTCTGTATCTATCTCGATCTATCACCCTCCCTACCGCTTTCCTTGTTTGTGTTTTTCATAAGTGTATCTCTACATAAGCAAGCGTGCGCTGCTAGATAGAATTGAGATGTCAACACCTACGACTGCTGATTGGACACTTGAGTCTATTTATGCTTGTTGCGATGCGGAAGATTTTTGAATTGTACTTTACTGTACTCCTACTGTACTTCACTTGATGCATGAGGAAAGGAGGGGGAGGATGATAGTGCTGGCGATCAATGACGGCGGTGGTGGCGGTGGCTGCCGCCAAGGTCTGCATAACTGCGAACAGCATCTATTGCAACAGATGCTTATAGGAAAGAGATCTCATCCACACTGCGCGTGATCTACACTGTATCTGCTTTCAGTTGCTCACACGCACTCATACACCCTTTCCCCTCTTGTCCCTCTCCTTTCCCCTTCCTTCTGTCCAGATCCCAATGACCCCATCATATAATTCTGTCCTGAACCGAAACAACCATTCAGCCAGACCACGCCTTGCCGCGCGTCGGACATTAAGCCGCCACGCCAAGCATGCACGCAACGCTAAGCACGCCGCAGCCGATCGAGTGCCGGGCTGTCCCTGGCCGAGCAGACGGCTAGATCTTGATGGCAGACGAGAGACGGCAAACGCCGGAAGCCGTAGGTAATATTGCAGTGGTATTGTGGAGGTTGTGCAGTTTTGGGTTTCCGGGTTCAGGAGAGAAGGACGGCAGGGCTGGTTGTATGTAATAATGGGTGTATCGTAATGTATCCGACGACACAGAACGCTCGGACCGTGTTCAACCTGGCTTTCAGTCCCGCATCGTCACCCACCTGCCAGCCAGCCACACTTCCAACCCATCGCGCTCACGAGCAGGACTCGCCTTGCACCGCCAACCCAACGGCGCCCGATCGCACACGCGCACCCGATCGGACCGCTGCTCCTTCAATGTCAGGGTCTTCCCAGCACACCCACTTCCGGCACCCGCACTGTCCCAGCCGGGCAACCTAGGTTTCCACCACCGCGCGCATCCTTACAAGCAATGCCGTCGACGTCTTCGCAGTCCGTGGCAGGAGCGGCGCGAGAGCGGCCCAAGCCCCCGAACCCCGTCGCCGAGGCGGCCGAGCAGCAGTGGCTTTTCACCGAGGAGGAGCTGCTGCACACGCCCTCGATCGAGGATGGCATGAAGCCCGAGCAGGAGCGCGAGATGCGGTACAAGGGCATGACGTTCATCTGGCAGGTGGGCGCGATGCTGAAGTTGCCGCAGCTCACGCTCTCCACCGCCGGCGTCTTCCTGAACCGCTTCATCACGCGCAACTCGCTGGTGAGCAAGGACGGGTTCAAGGCCCTGCATCACTATGTAAGTGGTTCACCCTGGTTGGCAATCTATGCTTGGTGCTAAAGTGATGTAGCAAATCGCCGCGACGTCCCTCTTCCTCGCGACCAAGGTGGAGGAGAACTGCCGCAAGATGAAGGAACTGGTCGTCGCATGCTGTCGCGTTGCGCAGAAGAACCCGAACCTCCTCGTGGACGAACAGACAAAAGACTACTGGCGGTGGCGCGACACGATCCTCTTCAACGAAGACGTGCTACTAGAAGCGATCTGCTTCGACCTAACCGTCGAATCGCCCCACAAGCTACTCTTCGACATGCTGATATACTTCCGGGTCGAGCACGACAAGCGGCTCCGCAACGCATCATGGAGCTTCATAAATGACAGCAACCTAACAACATGCTGTCTAATGTTCAACTCGCGGACCATCGCCGCCGCAGCGCTCTACTGCGGGGCACGGCTATGCAGCGTCGGCTTCCCCGACGAGGACGGCAAGCCGTGGTGGGAGATCCAGCACGTGCGGCTACGCGACATCCTGCGGTGCTGCAACTACATGTGCGCGGCCTACGAAAACACCCCTCCCTCCAAGGGCTCCGAGAGTATATACGTAGGTCTACGGACCCCCGAGGACGCGGACCCCCTGTATGCGCAAACGAGACTAAGGACTTCGCAGACGCCGTTGAGCCCCGCCGCCAGCTCCGTCGGTATGGAGCGGTCGAGCAGCCAGCAGAGCGTCAAGAGGTCCCGCGACGAGGCGTTTAGGAGGGAGGAGCCCGAGCCTGCCGCCCCTGCCAATGGCTCGCGCAGACCTGAGGCCTCGGAGCCGCCAAAGGACGAGCCGGATTCCAAGCGCGCTAAACGCGAAACTAACGGCACGTCTGCCGGCGAGGCGCCCGCTGCTGAGGAAACTAAGAAGGCTTCCGCGGACGAGGACCTCAGTGAAGAAGGCGAAGTGGAGGAATGATGAGTCCGAAGGGGAAAAGGGATCGCGTTGAAGCAGATTCCGAAAAGATTGCGGCGTTGAAAGGGGGCGTTCGGTGTGCTTTTACAGGGCGTACAGGCGGCGGGGGCGTGATGCACCAATTATCTCACATCCGGTGGCAGCAGCAGCTCTTTTGCAAAACCCCTCCCCGCATTCTCAGGGCGGCTGAACACTCGCCGTTCAGACCAACGAACAAACATGACACTCTAAGCGGGAATTTTTACTAGCTACTAGAAGACCGTTTTTCGCCGCGGATATTCTTCCTCCGATATGCTCCAGACGCCTGAAAACATGCCATATTCTTTTTTTTTTTTCTTAACACTTGGACCAAAATCTGTCCACCGACTACTACCACTATGCAAAGAGAACCCTGTCGTCCAGCGCATCCTTCTCCTTCTTGCGGCCGCCCTCGCTGACGAGGCCGAGGTCGCCGCGCTTGGTCTTGCGCTCCAGGCCCTGCTCGGCGCGGCGGTTGTGCCTGCCGGCCTTTGAAAGACGCAGCTCGGACCTGATCTGGTTGGGGGAGACGAACTCCTTGTTTTCGTAGATAATGGGGCCGCCAAAGCTAGACTCCTGGATAACAATGGGGGTGAGGACGAAGCGGGGGCCGATCTCGACGAGCGAGGCCTTGGTCTCGTGCTTGTTTGCGCCCTTCTTGGGCGCGGCGTCGTCGACGTCCATGTCCTCCTCGCCGTCCTTGGCCTTCTTGCTGGCCTTTTCCGCTTCGCTCTCGCTGACCTCGTAGCACCGGATCCAGATCTTGCCTTCGGCGACGGTGAAGGCCATGACGTGGTCGATGAAGGGCTTGGTTTTGCGCGCGCCCTTGGGGACGCCGAAGGTGTGCAGGAAGAGCTCTTTGATGACGCGGAGGTGGGCTTGCTTGTCGAAGGCGGCGTCGAAGGAGAGGATGGGGCGCGAGCCCTTGAGGCAGTTGCCGGTGAAGTGCAGCTCCTCCATGGTGTGAACTGTGAAAGAAGCAAGTTAGACAATGGGCGGAACAGAAAGACAGAGACGCGGGTTTGCGTGGGGCGGCGAGCTTACGGTTTTGGAGGTGCATCTTGACCGTCGGCCCGTTGGGCGGCTTGCTCATCCATAGGTACAGGTCCTTGCCCTTGCGGGCCTCGAAGAACATGACGTTGTTGCAGTTGTACAGCTCGGCGACCTCGTTGAGCTGGTACAGCTTCGTCTTGGTGTCGAGTTTGGCGTCCTTGCGGCTATGGGGCAGGAGGGAGTGCAAGTCATTGATGAGGTGGCGGTGACTGCGCGGGCGGGGGAAAGGCGTTAGCACTTTTGCGCGCATATAAAATAAATAGATATACAACAGAAGAGCGGGTTTACACACCGGTAGGTGACGCCGCGCGAGCTCAGGATCAGCACCTTTTGCTTGACCTTGTACTTGGGGCCGGCGGCGGCGTCGTCGTCGCCGTCCTTGGCGTTGGCTTTTGCGAGCGATTTGTATACGGAGGCCATGGTGTTGTGCGGTTGGCGGTGTGGTGTCGCTGCTGCTGCTGCTTTCGCGCGCCAAAAGAAAATCGGAAGTCCGCCCGTGTAAACTTCGGGCCCGGGGGTGAGAGGCCTGTGCGTGCGAGTTGATCGCCAGGTCGCCGACTCGCCGGTGGTGCAGTTTGCCTTTTGATCTTCTTGGGTGCGCAATCCTCTCCTAGTTGCAGCTTTCTTCTAGAAACACATGCCATCACAGCATTTCGAGCTTAATGTCCCCACTCTGATTGAGGGAGAAGTATAGTCAAGACAAGTCAGGACGTTGGAGCCAGTCAATAACAACATCCGACCATCAAAAGACATTCATCGATTACCTATATCCAGCTAGAAATCGTATAGTTTATTGCACATCTCCGCCATTATAAAGCGAGAAAAGCCATATCCATTCAGCACCAAAACAGGACTGAACACCAGACATCCCCCAAGAGTAGACTCATGGCGTCCAATTTGATTATCAGAAAAAGCAAAAAGATCAATACCGTACCGAATATATTATTCCATAATACGCACACCCGTAAGCACACCCCCCAAAGAAACAAACCAGCACACTCGTGACCGTCATATCGGCCTTCGGACACAGTCGCCCAAGCAGAAGTATATTTGAAACCTGGCGCGTGCACCAAAGGCGAGGTCTAAGCGCAGGGCGAGAAGCTGGCCCAGCACGGCAGGGAACCTAATCCGTAGGTAGTGACAAGCACCTCAATCTCCATCCCGCGCCGCGCTCGTCAGGCAAGGCGCGTACGATACGCACGCACGATACATGGTATAAGGACGCCGGCGCTGGCCTGTGCTTAAGCTCAACGAAGGACCGCTTCTGCGCACTACCTACCTCCGTATTCGTACGGTACAATATCATGTATAGTGGTGGTGGTGGCCTCAGGCCTACATACCTAGCAGCGCGGATGCGCTGAGGCGCAAGAAAGAGCCGCGAACGCGTGGTCCGTGGCCTCGGCGGGCTGCCCTATGCATACTATGCAAGTGTACAAATCACCCTACCGGTCCCACGTCCCACGTCCCACCCACCATGCACCACATGGACCTCGTGTCTTGTCAGAGTTAAAGTTTGGGTGCTGGATAGTGCGCAGCGCGCGCGCAGAAAGGGTGGGTAGGCAGTGGGTAAGGCGATTTGAGACAGACGGCTACGGATTACGGAGGACGGAGGACGGATCACCGCTACCCAGTGGAGTGCGCGGAACTGCTGCTGCTTGCGGAGAGAGATCCGCTGCGAGGCTGAGGTTAAGATTGGGATGCGCGGCGACGTGGCTGGTGAGATTGGTGCTTGGCTGCTGTGGCCGGGTCAATATAGGTAGGCGAGTGGGCTGGGCTGGGCTGAGACGAGACGAGACGGCTCGATACGGGGTGGAGCGCTCGATTGCGCTGTTCCTAGTGGCACAATAGGTACTGGTTGAGGCGACGGTTGCGGTGGTGAGGACGGACGACGGACGACGTCTACGCTCCACAGGCGCAACGCCACAGCAAACAGCATGCTCGCGAACCAGCACAACGGTATACCCGACACTATCAGCGCCGGGGAGTGCGCGCGGCGTTCCCGCGTCTCGTCTTCTTCGTTCTTCTCTCTCGCTTCCATCCACCTTCCACAGCAGGCTCGAGCTCCTTCTTCTGCCGCTGTCACAACGCAATGTCCGCTCCCGGTCGGGCGGCACCGCTCGTCAACGGCGCGGAACACTGTACTGGACAGGGCCAAGCAACAAGGGCTATCTCCGTATTTCCGATGGCGCGTGGGAGCCAGGGCCAGAGCCAGGGCCAGGGCCGCCGCTCGCTGCTGCTGCGACGGCGTGTGGGGTGTGGCGACTCTCGTCTGTGTTTGTGCCGGTGACGACTGCTCCGACAAGCGTGTGTAAGAGACCGGGAAAGCAAAAACTCGGGGTGGATTCTCGTCTGTCTATTTTTACGCGCCGACGTCACAGAGTGCTGCGTCTTCGCTATGGACTACCTACTGTGGTCTACTATCTACGCGTCTCTCCGCCGAATTCTCGTAAAGCGGTCTTAAATGCCCACCTGCCATCTCGAGATGCTGTCCGTGAGTCGTTTGCGGTTCGGCTGTCGTAACCATCGCCACAGGGAAGTGTGAACTCCGCTTTCCCCTCGGTGGCGAAGATCGCCAGTCCCCACGAGGCGGCTGCGGCTGCTTCTATTCATACCGCCAGCCCCGAGTCATGCTTTATGCGTGCCTTGTTTCTGGAAGGAAAAAAAAAAAAGAAAGAATCGATTGCGTAGCGGTGCTGCTACGCACGTAAGTAAAAAGACGAGAAGATACTTGCGACAGTTTGTGACCCGGCTGGCTCAACTTGGCACCAGCGCTCTGCCGAATGCCCGAGTTCGGGAATCTGCACAGTCGCCAGCAGAAAGACCGTGCCATGCATCGTCAGTCGTCACTCGTCAGCGCTTTTTACCCGTCCCGCGGTGCCACGGCCCACTTGTCACAGACAAGCCAGCATGAACCCCTCCCTTGGCATCTTGGGCATCTTGGCCGTGTCTCAGCCTCAATTCTTGCCGATCAAGCGCCTTCCATGTCGGCGTCTCCGTTGACCCGTTTCGCTTGAGTGGAGCCGGAACGGAGGTACCTCCGCCTTGTGAAGTTTTCGCCGGGTGTTGGTGCCGCCCTGGACTGGGGCTTCTTGTTCTCAGCTTCACTGTCAGAGTTCGTGAGGTCGATGATCACTGGTGCGTGCGAAGGAGAGGGTCGAGGAGTCGGTGTGGAATGGCGAGATACTGATTGGTGGGGATATGATTCCGTCAATGAGTTCAGCTGTGTCTGTGTGCCGTTTACAAAAGGCTCAGTGTTGGTGTTGTCGTCGAGTGAATTCGCATGCCAGGCTTCCCTGACTGCCACTCCCAGATTCAATGCGACCTTCCTGTCCACGCTATTGCCGATTATACGCCATTGTCCACTTGGTGTGCCCAAAATAATTTCATTGTCAGGAAAGCTTTGGGCGCGGCGGGCTTCCATAATGGTTAGGACTCGGTGTTCTTGCCAGTGTAGTAGGCGCCCCGTCCATGCGTCCGCCGCAGTTGCGGCGGTCTTGATAGTAGGAAACAGACCATCAGGAAAAATCCTTGAATAGGACCTGCTTGACTCCGACGTGCGTGCTTTGCTGCTATTCTCCAAGAAGTGTTTTGCTATATGCTCCGGCACAATGTTGATGGCTTTCATCAATGTCATACCAGGCGGAGAAATCGGCACCGATTTTATGTAGCTGTTGACTGTCTGGGATTCGAAGCGGCATAGTCGATGGTCTGGGAATTGGATGCATGTTTGCACGTGGCCATCGCCAATGTATGGAAGGTCCTGTGTAGCTTGGGAAGCTGTGACAAATTTGAACGGAGTCGGGCCAAATTGTCGCGTGCCAAATTTGGCTGCACACGCATTCTCGCCCAGTGAGGAGTTTCCTGTACCAGCCGGGTGTGAGTGCGTTAAGGTTGGCGCTGGGAGCGGAACGAGACCGGGTGCAGCAATCGACACGAACAAGCGTGATCTACTTTGCGAGCTCCCAGTAGACCATGCGTCAACTAGAAACTGCTTTACTTGATATCCCATGGCTACCAATACGCAAAGCAGCTGTGGGAAGATGTCGCTGCTGCCCTTTCGTCTTTTATGCGTCATCGCCACAACATTTTCCAGAAGTGCGTACTTGGGCCGATAGACTTCGATAAAGGCAGCTACAGAGGCAACCATTGAAGCGTTCCGTAAAGACTCCTGACTTGTAGTGTCCGGTTGCATACTGGAAAAAGCCTGACACGGTGTCCCGGCAGCAATGAACTCCACATCCCCAACTCTGGCAATTAGTTGGGATTTGGATCCTCCATTCGTCGAACCTTCGATTGTCGCCGCGAGGTAGTCATTTACTGATCCCCAAAAGATTGATGCTTTCGTCTCAGCTTCGTTTGCGCGATAGGTGTCAACGGCATTTCTTTCCCAGTCAACTGCCCACAGGCATTTGATTCCTCCGGCTTCCGCTAGGCCACGACCGAAATTACCGCCGCCACAAAACAAATCCATTGCATTCAGCGGCTTTCTCGGCGGTTCTTGTCTTGGATCAAATCCTTGTTTCATTGTCGTAGGGAAAGGCCGGCGTAATGGCTCCGTGCGCCTGTCAGCTCTTGACGTGCCGTGTGATCTTGATGTGATGTACCAGAAGTTGCCAGCGCCATCGCGGTCGTATGGGACTGGAATGTCTTCCGTCTCTTCAAAAAAACGTATGTAACAAGTACTTTTGACTGAACGAGTTAGCGTTTCGAAAGTATCTTCTGTCCAGACAAGCTCATTGTCTTTGGCTTTTGGGTGGAATTTCTTCCGACGCAGAAGCCGACGGACAGACACCATCTCATTGTTAACATTCTCAACCACAACAACTGGATCCAAGGTTTCTCGACCTTGGAGGACAAGTACTGTATCACCAATGGAATATTTTTTCAAAGCTTCTTGGCCGCAGGTGCAGTGGCGATCAGTCTCCTTCAAAGTAATGAAGAAATGGTTGTCTGTGTCATACTTCATCCTGATGAAGTAATCAAAATCGGAATCTTGTCTCGTAGTAGCGTGTGCTGCACCGTATACCCACTTTACCGACACCTTCTGTAGGATATCGGACGACCGAAGTGCCTGGCCCTTATTGGCCTGGCAGTTGCAGTGGTCACTGAAAAACAGTTCGTTAGAAAATCTGTATTTTCCACCTGCTAAAGTGGTGTCAGCTGGGCTATAAAGCCAGATAACATTGTAAAAGAAGCCGATGCGGTCCTTGCTTATAGCCTGGATCCAGGCGAACCACTTCGTTCCGTTTTCCCTCCATACGGAGTTCTGGTCGCGAACTATAGTGACAACATCGCCGGTCCTAATGTGAGCTTTGTTGCTCTCGTTGGTGTTGCTCTCTGCTGCCTTCTGGATCTTGGTAACGTCAAAAAATCCGAGTGATGCCTTATGACTTTCCAACTTGGCCGCGAGCTGGCTGCTCGGTAGGTGTGGTTTTAGTATTTTTGCAAAAGGCATGTGTTTGAAGTTTTCAAAGACAAAAGGAGTCACAACGGTTCCGTCGACACCTTGCTGCTGCTGTCTCTTAACTTTTTGTTCTTCTTTGACAGGCTGACCGTGTTGAATATGATTGAGTTCCGTCCACAAAGGGTCCTTCTTGAATTGTTCGTTCACATTGTGAGCTTCGTTCCATAAAAACGCAACGTTTGCTGCAATGGGTGCCCGAAAATCTTTTTTTCTGAATATTGATAGCCAGGTACGGAAAATTTTCGAGTCTCCATGTCTGAGCAGCAACCAGTCGTAGAATCGAGACTGAAAGTCATTGAGTGTTACTTTGTCTTCGTTGGCCATGAAGTCAATCGCATGTTTTGCCAAGTCTGCCACCCAGAGAAACGTCTCATGATAACGACGGTATTCTGTTGCGGGTGTGGACAAATGATACCAAACACTCTTTGACAAAGTGGACTTCAAGGTGATGTTATTGGCGACGGTATCAAAGGAATCTTCGACGTAGCCCGCAATAGCCATGACCTCAAACTGTGCGCCACGTACGTATTTTGTCACCTCACCGAGGGTGACGACGCCGTCGAAAAGCAACATGTTGCAAGCAGGTTCCACGCTCAAATGGTGAAGTGGTACCATTTCGAACAGACGCCGCTTCCCTTGTCCAGATCGGTAAATAACAAAGTCTGTCAGTTCAATTGTAATCTCGCTGGTGGGTTGTTGGTCGTTCAAAAAATCACTAATTGCGTTGCGCTCAGACGTGAAGGGTAGCTGAGGTGCCCATCCGTCGTACATTGACTTTGGGTAGATAAGTTCGGATTGCATGATCTCAAATTTGCGAAGCCGTACTGGGGTTGGTGACGAGAAGAGGCTGGTCGATGAGGAAGCATCCTGTGACGGCAAATCATCCGGTGACGATGTGTCGATTCTTCGTCTCTTCCTAGACGGGGTGTTGATTTCTAGATCAGAATCACGGATGACCTCGTCATGGGGTGGTGTCGGCGAGCTCCTGAGGATATCATCTAAGGAATGTTAGCATAGTGACGTTATCTTGAAGTATTCATGCATGTATAGGTAGTAATGGATACTGACCCTCACTGATGAGCTGCGGCATGGCAGCAAATAACTATGCGTTTTGCTAAGAAAGCGCGCGAGAGTACGTGAGGATGCTGAGGACGAAGAATAGAAAAGGAAGCAGAAGACATAGAAGAAAGAGATTATATGCGGTATTGAGAGTGGAGCGAATAAAGCATGGTGAAGTGAAGAAGCAAATTGGGCGTCGTGAAGTGAAGGAGCTGCGTTTGTTGAGTTGCCCTTGTGGTTGAAGGTGTGGCGCGCGCGTCGGGCTTCGGTAGACGCGTCGCCGCGCGAGATATTGACGTGTCCCGGTTCATGGTGTACCGAGATTTTGGAAGTGCAAAGTGTAGTGTGACCCGTAGTTATGTTCAGCTTCGCATTAACCCTGTCTGCAGTACCAAGTTGCATATTACACGACACTTGACGATTTGAGAGTGCCATGCAAGATGAAGCTTTGGTTGTCCCGCATAGTTCTGCAAAGATCCAAGAGACAATGCTCAAAAGAAGCGATTGGTACCTGGAGGAGGACGAGTAGCCGGAGCATGTTCGATTTATATCAAGAACGTACCAGCGGTGTAGGTATAGGCAGCTGTGATGACGCATAAGAGAGCTTGATGCGCCCGCATACTTAATTGGGTTTAGCGCCTACGGGCTGCCTGGAGATTTCGTGAACACTGACGAGAGCTCCACCTGCAACCTACAACGCCACCATGTCCGGCCGTAGGGATTTCCTGAACCAGCCCGCCCCCGAGAACTATGTTGCCGTAAGCTCTCATGTCATCCCCGCTGCCTGCTTGGTGTCCGCTAACTTAAGCTCAGGGTCTTGGTCGTGGTGCCACAGGCTTCACTACACGTTCAGATCTAGGACCGTAAGTCGCGTTCCTTCTCCCATGTCACGCTCATTCTAACACGTCACAGGGCGCGTGAAGGTCCTTCGGAGGAGCAGATCAAAGAAGCGCTTGCGAAGCGCGCGGCGGCCCTTGGCGCACCCGCCCCAACCGCGTACGGCGCAACTGGCAAGGCCGACGACGATGAAGACGACGACCGATACCAAGACCCCGAGAATGAAGTTGGTCTATTCGCCAACGGAACCTACGACCGCGACGATGACGAGGCAGACCGTATATACCAAGAGGTTGACGAGCGGATGGACAAGCGGCGCAGGCAACGCAGGTGGGTACTCCAATTTCTTTTGCCCCAAGTCCCTCAGTCATGAAGCATGCGGTTTATCAAAAATCCGTGGACAGATTACCGACTCTTTGAAACCGTATAGGGAGGCTCGCGAGAAGGCAGAGCGTGAAGAATACGAGCGCAACAACCCGAAGATTCAGCAACAATTCGCGGACTTGAAGCGCGCACTCGGGAGCGTCAGCACGGAAGAATGGGCAAGTTTGCCCGAAGTTGGAGACTTGACGGGCAAAAACCGGCGGCAGAAGCAGAACTTGAGGCAAAGGTTCTACGCTGTACCTGACAGCGTGCTGGCTGGCGCCCGGGATTCCACACAACTGGACACGAGCATAGCACCGGACGCGGAGAGTTCAGATGGAACTATGACCAACTTCGCGGACATTGGAGCTGCCCGTGAAAAGGTGCTACAAGTCCGTCTAGACCAGGCGACTCATGGTGCTGGAACTGAGTCTACCGCTGGAACTTCGACGAGCATAGACCCTAAAGGATACCTCACGAGCTTAACAAAGTCGGAGCACGACCCTAAGGAAGTCCAGGTAGGCGATATCAAGCGTGTCCGGGAACTGCTGGAATCGGTCATCAAGACAAACCCGAAGCACGGTCCTGGTTGGATTGCTGCAGCGCGTCTTGAGGAGGTTGCCGGCCGCATAGTCGCTGCAAGGAACGTCATTCAAAGAGGTTGCGAGCACTGCCCGAAGTCTATTGACTGTTGGTTGGAAAGCATCCGCCTCAACGACAACCATAACGCGAAAATCATCGCCGCCAGTGCTATCAAACACAACAGTACGTCTGCGCGGCTCTGGCAAGCTGCTGCTGATCTGGAAACCGATTTACGGGCAAAGAAGAGGGTATTCCGTCACGCCCTGGACAACGTGCCGCAGAGCGTCGACCTTTGGAAATCCGCCATTGCACTGGAAGAGGACCCTGCCGATGCGCGCCTAATGCTTGCTAAGGCTACCGAGATTATTCCGCTTTCTGTCGAGTTATGGCTCGCACTTGCACGCTTGGAGACGCCCGAAAATGCGCAGGTAGTCCTCAACAAGGCCCGTAAAGCTGTTCCCACAAGCCACGAAATCTGGCTTGCTGCTGCGGCTTTGCAAGAGCAACTTGGCAAGACGGAAATGGTGTTCAAGGTCATGGAGCGTGCTATCAAGTCTTTGGCAAAGGAATCTGCCATGCTTAAGCGCGAGGAATGGATTACGGAAGCTGAAAGATGCGAGGATCAAGGAATGATTATCTGTTGCCAGGCTCTGATCAGGGAGACCCTTAGCTGGACCCTAGACGAAGACGACGACCGCAAGGAAATTTTCATGGAGGATGCGCGCGGAAGCATTGGAAGAGGCAAGTATGAGACTGCCAGGGCCATCTACGCATATGCGCTTCGCATCTTCCCCACTTCAAAGACACTCTGGTCGGTGGCTGTCCAGCTCGAACGCAATCACGGAACCAAGGAGGCGCTCTGGAACCTGCTGGAAAAGGCCGTGGAAGCGTGTCCCAGTGCGCAGGAGCTCTGGTTGCTGTTCGCGCGCGAGCGTGAGCAAGCCGGACAGATCGACGAGGCACGCGACGTGATCAAGCGGGCGTTCAGGCAGAACCCAAACAACGAGGACATCTGGCTGGCGGCGGTCAAGATGGAGGCCGACAACAACAATCCGGAGAAGGCGCGCAACCTGCTGATGATTGCGCGGCAGGAGGCAGGCACTAACCGTGTGTGGTACCGCTCTGTGGCGTACGAGCGACAGCTGGGCAACCTGGACGCGGCGCTTGACCTAGTGACGCAGGGCTTGCAGCTTTTCCCCAAGGAACCGAAGCTCTACATGCAGAAAGGCCAGATTTACGAATCGCTCAACAAGCTGCCGCAGGCGCGCGAGGCTTACACAACGGGTACTCGACAATGCCCGCAGTCCGTGCCATTGTACCTGCTGTTGTCACGCCTGGAAGAGAAGGCGGGCGTGGTAGTCAAGGCACGTTCTGTGCTCGACCGGGCGCGACTGGCCGTCAAGAAGAACCCGGCGTTGTGGACGGAATCAGTGCGCCTGGAGCGGCGGGCTGGCAACTTGCAGGCGGCTCAGACGGTCATGGCGCAAGCACTGCAGGAGGTGCCGCACAGCGGACAGCTCTGGAGCGAGAAGATTTGGCACCTGGAGGCGCGCACGCAGCGCAAGCCGCGCTCGCTCGAAGCCATCAAGAAGGTCGACAACGACCCGGTGCTGTTCGTAGCCGTGGCGCGCATTTTCTGGGGCGAGCGCCGACTGGACAAGGCAGTGGCATGGTTCGAGAAGGCAATTGTCCTCGATGCAGACCTCGGCGATACCTGGGCTTGGTACTACAAGTTCTTGTGCCAGCATGGTACGGATGAGAAGAGGGAGGATGTGGTCAGTAAGTGCGTGCTTAGTGAGCCGCGCCATGGCGAGGTGTGGCAGGCCGTGGCGAAGGATCCGAAGAATGTGGGCAAGGGCGTCGAGGAGGTGCTGAAGCTCGTGGCTGCGAAGATGGAGTAGTGTGTGTGGGTACTCTTACTCCTACCTTCGTAGAGGCGTCGGCGCGGGCGGGCTTGGCTTGTCTGAGTCTTTTGCTTCTCGATATGATGATAATGGATCAAGCCGCGGATGCGGACTGCTACTGCCACTGCTTATCCCGTTTGGTGTTTTGATTTGGACTTTTATTACAAATGTCTTGGAGCAAAGATCAGTGTCCTCTACAATTAGTGAGGAACCCGGATAATTTGCCTACCCTATACGGTGACATACTTGTAAATGTATGACTTACTCTTTACCCTTAGATATTTTCATGTCCTTACAAAATTCTCTTATATCCCGGTATCTTTTCACTATCATATAGCGACCTAGCAGCTACCAGCCGTAGCGTTATAGTTTGTTATGATTATTCAAAGAGCACTCAATATGTATAGTACCCGAGTAAGCTTTACTTTGGTAGATAGTTAAGCGGCCAGGAAAATATCTAGAAGGTTGGGCAAATTATCCAGGGCCTAAAACGAGTTGTTAGAACTCCGCATAAGCAAGAGAATCTAGCTCCTTGTCAATCTCGTTCCTTTCTTCGGCACTGCGCAGTTCTCCCCCTCTCGGCGCTGGTACGGAATAAACGAACGGCTTTTGCGCCTGGGCTTGTAGGGCGCGGTAGTCCAAGACTAGGTTCCATGTATATACACCGTGAAGAATTACTACAGTATCACTTTCAAGAGTATCACTTCATAATAAAGCGGAACAGAGCCGCCGCCGCCGCCGCCGCCGATGCCGTCGCCGACCTTGCCCGATCCCGAACGTAGAGCGAACAACGGTTCCGCCACGCGCGTCGGCGGGAGGGCTGACCACGGAATTGCTGCGCACTAACCACTGCGGCTCTCTCACGGCGGCAACGTCTGACGTCCACCTGTCTATTCTCTACCCTCCATTGTCTTTGTCATGAGTGCAGTGTATTTGTAGTGGATTATTATTATTCTTTATTCTTTGGATGTCCTTTCCAGTCCATTCTCCATCTAGTTTTCCTCTCGTCTAATTAACCCATTCGCGCGCCAGTCGGGCGTTATAACCGAACTCCGACTCCGACTCCGACTCCGACAGCGGTGGCGGCGATGTCGTCAGAGGGTAATTTAGGCCTTGACGAACTCGTCGAACCAGCACACGGCCTGGCAGAAGGCCTGCTCCTTGGCGAACTTGACGTGCTTCTTGGAGATGTCGGCGCGGACGGCGAAGCCGTGCTCGACGCCCGAGTAGAGCGTCTGCTGGTAGGTAGCCTTCATCTCGGTGAGGATGGCCTCGGTCTCGTGGCGCTTCTCGGCGGGGTAGATGCCGTCGGTTTCTGCGCGAAGGGTGTTAGTTAGCTAGGGGCGAAAAAAAGGGACAATGTGTGTGGGGCCGCCGAGGCAAAGGGTTTGTTTGGGTAATCACGTACCGGCAGCGGAAATGGCGAGAGGGCCCTGGATGCCCTTGAGCTCGTCGGCGTCGACGAAGCTAGGGTGCGCCGTGTAGCCGACATCGATCTTGCCATCCTTGAGGAAGCGGCAGACGTACTTGCCGCCGAAGCAGTAGCCGGCGGCGCCGATGCGCTTGACGCCCAGCGAGCCGCGCATCTCCTTGATGACGGCCTCGATGATGGGGTCGACGTGCTGCGTCGAGTGGCCGCCCAGCCAGCCCATGAGGTCGAAGTCGTCGGGCTTGTTCCAGGGGACCGGGTCGCCGTTGAACAGGTCCGGCACCACCGTGTAGTAGCCGTTGGCGGCGAACTGGTCCGCGATGCTGTTGCTGGTGTCAATGGCTGTGACTTTGGTTGCGAGGCTGTCGGAGCTGACTCACAGCTGCGCGTTAATGAGCTCATGGCCGAAGATGTCGGTCAGGATCAGGACGGCGTTCTGCGTGCTCTTGTCGGCGGGGTAGGCGACGTAGGAGTTGACTGGTGGGAGAGCATGTTGTTAGCATTAGAAGTAGATTGCTTGAGCAAGGGAGAGAGCTTACTGCCAGCGATCTTCTCGATCTTGCCAGTAGCTTCGCCTTCGTGCTTGACACCGACAGTGCAGCACTTTCCGGGAGGGTGGGAGGCCATTGTTGCGGGGGGAAATAGGGTATCTAGCGGATGGAGTATGGACGGATGAAGGAGGCTTGAGAGTTACACGCCAAGCAGCTGGGGCACTCCATCTCTTTATCTCTGCAGCTAAGAATCGGCGTTACTGTCGGATTTGTCAGGGACGGTGGGGTTCAAGTGCAAGGCCATCCGTGCTCCCTCTTGCTTCACCCGCTGACGCAGGCCTCCCCGGTTGAGCTAGTAATACCCAGCTAACTCTAGCTTCTGCTTACCCCCGGAGCTTTAATATCCACCTATCCGACAGACACATCGCCCTCTAACTACCCATATCCATTTATCCATCACACATACGCTGTTCTGCAGTCGCCGCTCGAAATTGGCAAAAAAAGGACGTCAACGACTCGACACCCGCACAGACGGATCATCCCCACGTGCGGCCCAGACGCAGGTGCTACAGGCGGCGTCTGCGCGACAGCTCAACGAACAGCCAACAGCCAGCGGCCCAGCGCCAGACCGGTCGCCTCTCGAGCCAGCTGTCGAGACCTCTAAGCCTTGCCCCGCAAGCCAATTGCTGCTCCTTGAAACCGCCGCCGCTATCGGAGCCTGGCGTCCAACAGGTTAAGTCCGGACGTTCAATTGAGATTATGTCCGGCACCCGCCCTTATTCCCGTTGCCCTTTTTTTCTTCCCACATGTTGGTGCTGCCGCAAAAAGGGAGCCTGACTTCTGAATAATGCGCCAGATCCTCCCGCTGCGCCAATCTGCTTATGTACATGATATAACAGGGGCGAGCGGGCCCTGGACGCTGCTGGCACGGCTACGGGGTAAGCTCTAGACTCCGTCGCCGTCCCTGCATGACGGACATGGAGACCCTCTGGTGGAAGGCGCTCTCTCTGCTCCTAAACCCTTGCCTTAAACCCGCTGATTATCGCCTGTATTGAACATGTGGCTTTGGCACGATCTTGTGCATTTGTCGTCCTACGCCCTGATGTCGTTCACGGATCTCAGCTGCCTTCGTATGCTTTGCGTGTCGCGTGGCAGACATGCGGTATGACGAGCTCAAGCCCTTGATCGCTGCGCTTAAGCGCCTCTCCTATTATTCCTCTAGGTAAGTGGGGAATGTGTTCAGTCATTAACTCTACTCATCCGGCGAAGACTGCTGGGAGCTTTCAATGGCCCCCTGGGGGGCTGGTTTGCCATTGGATCCATTTTGAAAGCCTCTGCGAATTCATTTAATTTTTTGTTATCTTTTCACACTTTAAAGATTAGTTCTATCTTTCTTTCATTTGTGTCTAGCATCTCAACGTCAACTTTAATGTCCGTCCAGCGTTCGACCTAAAGTTAGCCCTTCCATGTATCCGCGCGCCAATATCAAATACTACTAATCATACATACCTCATACTTACGTCCACCACTAACAGCCAACGCAGAAGCAGAGAAAATTCATGTCTTATCTTCGCAGTACTTAATAATACTAGCTACTCGTCCCACTAGGCTTCGACTTCCTCCTCTTCCTCCAGGTGCTCGCGCACGCAATCGTTGCTATAAACGCGCTTTTTACGAGGCGCTATATACTATTGTTAGTTTTTGCACTTTGCGCAGCAGAAACGAAGGCTTATAATGTAGAAAACAGCATGCGGACGGAAAAGGGTTTTTAGATAAGGAGAAGAACAGAGAAGACAAGACGAGGAAAAGCGTCTAAGAACTGCTTATGATGAAGCGGTGCAAAGGCAAACTTGCTCAGCATGCGTGTAAAGAAAGGAAAGGCAAGAAAGACAATAAAACAAGGAAAAGAATCAAAACCACTTACGCGCTTCTTTCTCGCTCGCCTTATCCTCCGAGGGCGGGTGCACGATACAGCACCGTCCTGTCCTGTCTGCAACATCACTGACGCAAGCAGCACATAACCAATTCCTTAGACCTTTGTCTGTTCCCCACCCCACCCCTCTTCCGACCTCCATACAGCATACTAGAACACATCAAGAACAGCAAACATGGGTTTACAGCCCAACGAAGTCACAACTAAGCACAACACCCACAAGCCCTAGTATATAATCAAAACAATCCCCTAAACCAAGCACATACGACCACAGGTCATAGAATACTGGGCATCCCGTCCGCTCTGCCATACATAAGCTATGAACCGGCTGATTAGTAGTTAGGTGGGTGACCACTAGCGAATCCCAGCTGTTGTATGTTTTTGTATTTTGTTCTTTTACTGTCCACTAGAAACAGTTGTGGAGGGAGCGGGCTGTGGACGTGGAGCGACGGTTGCTGGTTGTGTGTGGTGCGCTTTTTGCTGTTTTCGACTGGTGTGTTTTAAGCAGTGCAGAAGTCTGCGTTAGAAACGGACATTATGGGAGTGGTGAGGTTGTTGAAAGGGTGGGGCTGTTGGTGATGGCCAAGATGGGTGGATAGTTGCACGCTGATGGGCTGGGACATAGAAACGAGGGTAGGTAGGCGGCTGGCAGATAGGTACGGTAAACAGAACGAGAGACACATACAATAGCGCAGTGATGGTGGTGTGTTTTATGGCGATGGCACACGCCGTGGTTGTGATAGTGATAGCAACCGAAGCTTTGGCGTTCCGGGACCTTGAAAGAGCTGTTCGACGGACTGACTGGCTGACTAACTGACTGGCAGACGTCAGAGCGGATGAAGCAAGACAATGAGGCGCAGCGGGTGCGATGCGTGGAAAGGAGAGTGATGTATTCCACGGGCGCGTGGACCACTCCGGACTGGCTGACAGATGGACTGGCAATTGGCAGACGGACGTGCTAGCTGTGGCGCCAACTGTGGCGGTGGTAAATTGGACACGGACCTGATGGACAGAGAAGTGGAGGCATGATGATGAGTTGGGAGGCGGTGTACTGGGCGGACAAGCTGCTACAGCAAGGTCAGCAAAGACAGCAGCATGACGGACAATTTTCTCGTTGAAAGCGGCGGTCCTAAAACGTAAAGATGAACCCGAGCCAGGAACTGGATTGAAAACGCTGAGTACTCGAACATTTTTTGTGATATAGCCCATCCGAATTTTTATCATCTTTCGTCTCAACCGAACCCGCATCTTCGCAACTACCGCGCCCCAGAAGCGGCCGCCCCTTCACGGTCGAGGTGCCACATCGGAGAGTCCGAAGACGTGAATGCTCATTTGCAATGACCCGGACATACATGAAGAAACCGTGACCTCTGATGCCAAATAGTGTAGAAAGGGATTCCGCGCCCTTACTCAAAGAACCACGCCAGACGTCACTTCCCCCCGCCGCGAAGTCATCGCTTAAGCCTTCTTCTCCTCGTCGTCCGCCGACAGAGCCAAGCGCTTGGCCGAGATGCGCTCCTGCCTCCTCTCGCGGGCAGCCTTGGTCTTGGCACGCTTGGCGTCCATCTCCTCCTTGAGAACCCTCTCGCGGGCCTTCTCGGCCTTGGCCTTGTGGATCTAGATGGTGTCAGCAAAGGGACACCGATCATGATGACATCATTTAAACTTACGTGCTCGACGAGAGCGCGCTTGTGCTTGAAGGTGTTACCCTTGCTGAGGTGGTACAGCTCGTGGTAGAGGTGCTTGTCGATCTTGCCGGAGGCACGGTACTTCACCAAGAGACGGCGGAGGACACGGAGGCGGCGCATCCACAGGACCTGGCTGTAATGGGTTCCGTCAGCGACGCTCTACCAAGCTTCTGCCGATTGTTTTCTCCGAGCGAAAAGTCCGCCAATCCTGCAGAAATCCTCTTCTTCGCCGGCCATAGAAAGGGTGTTGCCTACCTAGGCATGCGAGCGTCCTTGGTACCCTTCCTCTTACCGAAACCACGGTGGCGACCGATGCGGCGGGCGGCAGTGAGCTCCCGGGCGCGGGCGCGCGAGTGCATGGTGACGGGCTTCTTAATGATGAGGCCATCGGAGACCAGCTTGCGGATGGTCTGACGGGAGTTGGCGTTGGAGATCTCGTTGACCTCGTTGGGGTCAAGCCAGATCTTGCGCTTGCCGCAACCGACGACGGAAGCCGCCAGGCGCTTCTGGGTGCGGAGGTTGACCCTGCAAAAGCACACAATGTCAGCGACGCTGTCATCCGGGTGTGGTAGAGCGGTGCGGAGTGGGTGGCGGGAGGAGTCGGGGCAGCGCTGAAGCGCACGGAAATGCGTCTTGCAGCATCTGTCCGGTGCGCAGTCGAACGGGATGGTGTCGCTATGTCGATTGAGAAAGGCTTCTCTTACATTTTCGATGATTGTCGCCGGCTGGTCGATGGTCCTGTTTCGTTAGTACAGTCGGGTTGCGAGAGGAGGAGGGCACGAGTTTTCGACGAGAGTCGCTTACCAAACGATGTGTGGGCGCCAACGCCAAGACTCGGCTAAAATGGTCCGTGCGGTCCAACTTAAAACGCGTCGGACCTTTGCTTTCCTGTTTCGTCACCCCAGCAATGGCGCCTCGCGATGACTCTGCTGTGCTCCCACGCCTCAAACCCACCCACATTGCCGATCTCAAGACGCTGAGTGACCTGCTTCACCTCGTGTTTCATCGCAACAAAAATCAGCATCGTCTCAGCTTTTGGTGGCGCGGTTTTTCTACCTTTAGACGCGAGTATCAACATTTACTGGCTGAATATGAAGCGTCCAAATCAAGCAAGACGGCCAAGAAACGTGCCAGAGCAAGACTGGACACATGGACACAGTTTAGAGTACCTCAATGGTATCTTTCATTCACACACTTGATCAGCTCCAACCAGTTCAGTGCCATTGGACTTGTCCTTCTCGCCATCCTAGCCTCAGTGTCTTCTCTTTTTGGCATCACAGCAGCATTTGAGAAAGAGGGAGAAAAGCAAATGCAGGAGATGCTACATGAGTTTGCCCAGAAAGATGCCAAGGAATTGTTTGCAGCAACGGCGGCTGGCAACAAGGACGAGGACATGGGTGAAGTTATCAAGAGGCCCCGTGACCCAGAGCCAGAGCCGGAACTTACTGAACCTCCTGCCAAGAAAAAGGCTGTTACGTCGAAGAAGGTTGTAGAGGCCAAGAAGAAAAAGAAGAAGAGCAAGAATGCAATTGATGACTTGTTTGCTGGGCTTTGATACCTCGGATAGAGGATCCTCAATACTAGAATAGACATTATAGACAAATCAAGTCTTTCCGCATGCTAGGATGCACTCGAATCTGTTAACCAATCATGGCCTCTCACGGTAGTGACTCACTCGCAGGCAACGGCTGACTGCATTGCATATCAATTACTATTTCAGTCATCCACTGAAACATGGATATATTTATCGATCCATTCCCTCGCTCCATCTACCGGACTCATAATGTGACTCACTCTCCCGGTGCCTCGAGCTGCGATGCGAGTTGTGATGCGAGTTGCGATGCGAGCTGTGACGCTCACCATCTGCGCTTCTACTTCTGTCACGCCGTGACCTATGCCGGTCCTTTTCCCGACTCCTGCTCCGGCTACGGTGCGACTTGTGCCGCTCACCGCGAGGGCTTCTACTTCTGTCACGATGCGACTTGTGTCGATGACGATCTCGGCTCCTGCTCCGGTGGTGGTGCCGCGATGAGCGATGCTCACGAGGCCGCCTATCCTCATCTACGTGGTCATAGTCATCTGCGTGCTCTCGACGAGACTTCCTTCTCCTACCTTCTGACCTTGCCTTTTCCTTTTCATCCGCAATCAAGTCAAGGATGTCTTTCTCTCTTTCGGCGGCAAAGAGCTTGCGATCCTTCTCGGCATCTTTTAGTTGTATTTGGGCCCTTTTCATGAACGCTAGGGGGTCTGTCGTGCTCATGCGCGCCTTGTCCCGATCCTTTCTTCCAGGGTCTTCCCTACCCCAGACATTCTTGCCAGGCTCTTCGACTTCCTCGTCAAGGACCTCAGTTCCCGAGTGATGAGACAACCTAGCCTTGTTGGTATACCATGGCTTGCCCTGGCCGTCCCTACCCGCTGCGTTTGAGAACCGCATTGTATACTGGTCCTCAAGCTCTCGCTCCTTCCTCGCTTTTTCTGCTTCATGCTCAGAATTCTTCTCTGCTTTCTTGGCAGCCTTCGGGTCCACAGGAAATAAGTTGATATGCCCAGCATGATCGATCAGCGGCATGTCCGTCGCGGTCTTTTTCTGATCTCCATACGTGATGAGCTGTTCCTTTGCCGCGCGATTCCTCTCTTCCATCTCCCGCGCCACCCGAATGTCGCGATCCGTGTCATCCTCGCCCGCCAGCTTTCGCCGCTTGATTCGCGACCCGCCATCGTTCTTAGGTGGCTTCTCGGTGCTCGGTTCTTCCAAATCTGGCGGCGGGGATGGAGGCGGCAGGCCCCGTAGTGTCGCAGCTCGGCATGCTGCATCGTAGTCGTCTAAGCGACGGTCGCGCTCTTCGTCTCTAGCTTGGGCGGCAGCTTCGTCGCGCCGGACGCGCTCGATGTTGGCAGGGTTGTAGACGTTCCATGACTTTTTGCCGAGTAAATGCCTGGAGCTGTTAGCTGTGCTCTGAGATGGAGAATGAGGTGTCTTACAGTGGCATCGTTGCGTGTTTGTCGGGGAGCCCTTGTTGATGAGAGATGGAGACGAAGCTTGGGGAGCTTGACGATCGACGTCAGTGCGGAAGAGCAGGGTCCAGCGACTTCGCTCAACGTGCCGGCGGGACGACGGTGATGACGGCGCGGACAGCCAGCAACAAGTCCTGGCCGTTTATTGTTCCAGGGTTTGGTCGGGCCTTTAACCAACGGCTACTTTATCTGGGAACTAAGAATCCACTGTCTTTAGCTGGGATTTAGCTGTTCGCGTGGTTAAAAGGTGGACATGACTAGTTAGGCTGGTCTCGCAATGCTCCGCGGGGCAATGCCCAGTCCAAGGCCCCAACCCACCGCAGGCCACAACACCACGAATCACTACTATTCCCTCTCTTCCCTCTCTCCTTCGACATTGGACCTATTACTTTATCGCCCTCATCATCATGGCACCTCCTTCATCGGTGATTGTGAGTATTCTGGCCCTGTCAATCCGGCACAATCCGACAACTGCTGACCCCACATTCGCAGTCGAAGCTTAAAGTGCAGCTCAAGCTGTCAATATCACGCCTACGTATGGTGCAGCAAAAGGACACGGCACTAGCAAAACAGGCCCGGCGGTCCATGGCCCAGTTGCTCGAGGTCAGTATCCGCTGCCAAAGCCTCCGATATTGCACGGACACCACATTCGCTGACCCTTTGTCCCATACAGCAAGGGAAGATCGAGTCCGCGCGCATCCGCATCGAAAACATAATCCGGTCGGACATCACGACCGAGCTACACGAGATCCTGGAGCTATACTGTGAGCTGCTGCTTGCGCGGTCGCAGCTGCTCGACCCGCCGTCATCCAGCCCCTCGTTGCGCGCAACCTCGCCCAGCAACGCGCCCTGCGACCCGGGCCTCGAGGAAGCAGTGCGCAGTCTGATCTACGCGGCGCCGCGCACCGAAGTCAAGGAGCTGCATTCGGCGCGGGCGCTGCTGGTCGAGAAATTCGGCAAGGACTTTGCGCTGTCGGCGATGGAGGGCGAGGGCGTGGCCGACCGCGTGCTCAACAAGCTCAAAGTCGACACGCCAAAACCCGAGCTCGTCGACGCGTATCTAAGGGAGATTGCAAAGGCGTACGGCGTGCGCGTGCCGGGCGACGCGGGATCAGACGACGAGCAAGAGGACGCGGCGGGTGGTGAAGAGGCAAAGGGCGGTGACGACGATGACGACGACGAGCCCAGCGGCGGCCAGAAGGTCAAGGCGCTAGAGGCGCCCCTCGAGGCCGAGGAACTGAGCAAGGCGACGCCGCCGCGCAAGCTGGGTCCCGCCAGCCCGCTGCGCGTCGCCCCGCCCAGCCCGAGCAGCGAGAACGTGTCGCCAAAGGTGAAGCTACCGGGACCGCCGGAGTTGCGGCCGGGTGGGAAGCTGAAGAAGGTCGACGAGGAGAGCAAGGCTGACAAGGGGCCCGGAGGCAAGATCCCGGACGTGGATGAGCTGGCCAAGCGCTTTGCCGCGCTGAAGCGGTAGTTGGGGGTGGGCGCGCTGGGTTGGCCTCTGAGGTGGGGCTGCTACTTCGATGCGGGATGCCGCGGGAGTCTGCTCTGCTGATCACTGCGGTTGCTGCTGCTGGGGGTGCGGCTGCGCCCGCGCGGCCCGTTGCAGTGCCAGCTGGCACGGGCGGACGTGTCGAGCGTCGGTTCGACGTGTGTCGCCTTGGGTGGGCACGGCATGGGTACGAGGTCAGTGATAACGTGTAACGAAGGTCGGCGTTTGCTTTTTGCTCGACGGGAGCAAGTGGACGGCTGCATCAGAAGGCGGCGATAGCGAGTAAGCCCGTGTTTCTTTGCTCGCACCCGTCTCGAGGCATGTTGTGCGAGAGCAATTTGCGTGAAAGCTGTCTGGAAAACTACAGCATGCTCGGTGGATGAAGCGTTGTGTCCTGCTAACTGGAGGCCTGCGTGTTGGTGTAGCGCTGTTGTTGCGGCTAGCAGAACTTTGATGCCAGTGGGCAGGAATCGCTGAAACATCTGAATTTGAGATACACTATCACTCGGTATAAGAGACGGGCTCAATGGCGTTTCTTATTGCTCGCAATGACTGCGGCAACACCTTTGACCAAACCATGCAATTGATGCAGCTTCCGTCCCGCGACAACCTGATTCCAAGAAGCAAGACCAACGCCAAGGTATCAAAAAATGCGCATATTCCGACTATAACAAGCCTAGCGAATTGCATCGCTTCTTCCCGCACGTTCGATATCGTGTTGCTCGTTACCGCATATACATGAAGTTGTCCGACCTCTTACGCCGACACCGAGACAATGCTAGGATACCGGAAAATAGGAATGGGAGATAAGAAGACGGAAGCCAGGTCAGACGGCTGTGCCGGGTAAAGGTGGAGGATTGGCCATCTCCTTGGCTTTTTCGGCCTCGAGGCGTCGCAGGTCCCTCATGCTATAGGGCGTTTAACTCTTGCAAGCTACAGAAGTCGGTGGTGGTTGGACTCACCTCTTCGCTTTGCGCAAGCCTCCGAGCCCGCTGAAGAAACGCTTCACGCTTCGGCTTGTGCTGGGCCTTTCGTCGCTCTCGTTCTGTGGCGCGCTGCTCTGACTCTCGCTCTTCCCGCTGTGGCTGAAATTGGTGCTCGGAGGGTGTTCCTTTTCCTTCTCTTGCTGCTTCTCCACTTCCTTTTTCTGCTCCTCTTCGGTTCCGTTTCCATTCGCCAGCTTCAGGCCGTTCATCTTGTTCTCTACCTCCACTGGTACCCTCTCAGCTTCCTGCGGTTCTCCATCAGCCAAGTTTTCCTCGCACTCCTCTTCGTATTCCTCGTCTTCTTCCTCTTCATCAGGCGGCGGTGGCGCAAGCCGTTCGACATCCTGACACACAACCACAAACCACGCGACGCGCTCGCCCGGGGCGATCTGATCCCTCAACTCCGTCAGCGCCGCCCACGCCTCATTACCCACTCCACGGCCCATGACTTCGCCGACCTCGACGCCCAACTTGACCTCCTCGACGACGTCGGCCACATACGCAAACGGCTGCACGTTTCCGCCAGGCATGCTCTCAGCCAGCTCGGTGTCGTACTGCTCGACGAACTGCAGGTTCGGCAGCGCCTCGAGGAGCTGCGGGTGTAGCGTCTCCAGGTTCTCGCGCATGCACGCCGTCGTTGCTGGCGCCATCAGCCATTCCGCGGCTGCGTCTTCAAGGTTCTGCAGGATGATGTGGATGCGGATCAAGTGGCGCGGCCAGCGGAAGCCGTGGAGGAGGTAGGTTGGCATGGCGGCGGTGTTGTTGCTGGGTGCTTAGGGCGTCGGTGGAACTCGAGAAGCTAGGAGCGGATGATTGCTGCTGCTGCTGCGACCAGACTGGGCGTGCGCGGGCGGTATGGCCGGTTTTGTACGTCTGCCTGCTCGAAGCTGAAGCTCTGTGGCAGGTGTGTTCGCGAGGAAGGGTTGCCGCAATGCGGCAAGGTTGCGGCGCCGTGGGCTCTGTACCTCTTTTTTCTCTCTCTCGCTCTCTTGATCCTTCTCCGCAGAAGCTCGCGGCGTTGCACCAAACGGCTACGGCTGCTTCTTCAGCGCGTGGGAGTGCCGGCGAGCTGCATGTCGCGTCGGACAATGACACGGCGCTTGCTGGCCGTCGAACGAGGGAAGGCCCGGGCCCAATGGAGTACTAACGCGGAGTGGAGCCAAAGCAGACGGGATGGAGGAGAGGAGGAAAGGGACCGTGGTGCCTTGCGTGTGTGCGTGTGCGGTTGCGGGTGGGTTTTTCGCTCTTGTCAGGGCCGGGGCCCCAGCTCGCTCGTACCACCGCTGTTGCTGCTACTGCTTCTTGCCGCGATGCGAGGCGCAATGCAATGCACGCCCGTTGCGATAGTGGGCGATGGGATTGCAGGGCGGCACCGATCGATGGCTGTGGAATCTCCGGCCCGCCGCTAGCGTCCCCAGCCTGCGATCGCCGTGATCGCCAGTCGCCCGCCTGCCCCAGGCTTTCCATTTGTGTCTGGACTCTGGCCCGCTGGCCCGCCTAATGTGCGACCTGTCATTGCTTCTATCATGCCCGTCGCTCTTTTCAACGATGCTGCTTCGCTGGTCTGGATGGTGTTGCACGCTTGGTTGTTTGCGTTCCTGCTTGTGAATTTTCCATGTTTCGCGCATCGCATTCCGTGGGTGGGAGCGGCGAGGTTATGCCGCAGGGGTGGCTGGAGCAACATTTCTTGTCCAGGACATTATTAACAATCGATATGTCTGCTACAATAAATATAGATAGATAATCAAGAGCGCATATGCTCGTACGCGGCTGCAAAAATCAAAAGAATGTTGTTGGGCGGGGGAAAACGAGCCATCAAATAGATATATTTCGAGCCACCACAGCTATTGCTTATTCCTGTTTAGTTTTTTAAGATGTTAACTGCTATAGTTTTCTTGTAAAATAACACAAAAACTCAATTTCGCCGAGTTTTGATGTGGCTAGAACTAGGTTGTGTTAAACTTGTTCGGTGAACCTAGTGCCGCCGCTTCTTTGCCACATCTTTCTATCAACACCACACCCTCAACACACAAAACTTTGTTAAAGCCGGGCAAAACAAAAAGATAATGATGAGGGCCTCGAATTAAGCGCTGCCATTACTGCCATCCATAGTCCCGACTCCCGGACTCCCGAGACACTGCCCACCGCTCTCCCGCGTCCCCTCCAGCAACACCACCAACCACAACACCAAAAAAGCAGTCTATCCAACGCCAAAACAAAAAGATGATGATGAGGGTGGGACTCGAACCCTAATGGGGTAATTAGTACGATGTTTTTAAATATTAGATGTAATATATGCTTACCACGAGAGTTTCCTCACTAGTAAACTCCTTTCGGAACCCTTTTCAGATGTCCTGAAACTAGCGCCATAACCACTCGGCCACCTCACCAGTTGTTAGAAAACTTTTGTGGGAAGCTAATTTATAATAATCCTATTTTATTGACACATTTGGCGAACGTAATTTGCCCGGCTGGTTCGCCGGTCATGTGAGGAACGCCGAAAGTTAGCCCAGGGGCCGCAACGCGGAACCTCACCTAACCACTGCGACGAACGTTCGCGAACACCATCGATACCTAACCTCCGCGTGGTTACAGCGTTATTATCGACTGCTTCCCTACGTACACACTACGTGCTCATGCTACTGCCTATTTCAAAACAACAACTGTACTCGGAGCCTTACACTTCTCCGTAAGAGCACGACGTTAGCTAGCTTGTGTAGTGTCCCTCACCGCGTAGCGAGATGGGCAATGATGCAAGCACTCTCTATAGGATCCTCCTTGTCTAACTACAAGTCTGAGTCCTGAATACGAACGAGAATGTTTTAAGACGCACATTACGACAACTGTCTTGACTAGACTTTTTGTTCTCACTCCGCACAGGTGTACAGGTCCTGTAAGGTGGTGAATCTCGCTTGATGGTGATGTTACTTTTACTCTACACAAGAAGTTATAAGAACAGCTAACTCCACAAATACGTTAGCGGAGACTTAGTTTATAAACTTTATTTACTGTATGTACGGGTCCTGCCTCTACGAGTAGTACTCGTAAGACTCCGCCTTTCTGCTATTTTAATCATAGAATCGGGGCACTCGCTTGACAGAGTCGGTAACTACCTCCTCGCGCCCTGAGAGCATCAATCCGATCAGGCACTCACAATCGCTAGTGAATAGAACCCGTACAAGTACGAAACAACGGACAATTAATTTGCAAAGTTCGACCCGGATTAGCTTATAGGCATGCTGACCAGCCAGACTGCACGTATAGACTTATGGAAGCTCTCCGATCTAGTTTCTTTCGTTTATATTCCATCCTTACACCGGAGTAACACACGTCAAGGGATAAGCCAAATATGCAAAGGGTGATAAAACTATCTGGAGCCCAAATAAAGCAATAAGTTTACTTCGAGAGACGGGAGATTATAGAAAAGCTGATTGTTACAACGAAACGCTATAACGCAAATTTTCACCAGCACTGTAAGCTTCACAGTTCATATCAATAGAAACTATCACCCTTGTTTCACGTGGCCCGCGCGACTGACGTGTGCAGTCACAAAGCTACTGTTAAAGTGTTAACATGTTAAGAGCCCATAGACACTAGCCAAATTAATCAGTCTAGCTATTTTATCTTCGCAGCTTGCTGCTCTCCTTCGTTCGATCAACTCTCGTTCGATTCAATCTCAACAATCAGTCTCCAACAACTTCTGAGTCGACAGGCCTTTGAGTCGTGGTGGCTTGTAGCCAAAAGCTACGCGGCAGGCACGGCTTCACTCGGAAGGATATATTTGGTCTTCACCTTCACAGTGTTTCATGATGTCCGGATCCCAGCCTCCCGCCCGGCGGCAGGATCCTTTTGATGCCTTTCGCTCCAACCTCAAAGGCACATCCTTCGCGCCTTTCGATACACTAAGCGCAAAACGCTGGAGTAAGACGCTAGCAGACATCAAGAGCGGCTACTTTAAATACGCCAGATTGACCAACGGCCAACTCCCTGGAGATGATGTCTTGCGCGAGCAGTGGACAGACTGCATAAGCCATGCTTTGATCAATGACGAATATTTCCAAGACCTGGTCATCGAGCACGCTCTAACCTCTACGTCAAGCTACGCGTTTAGCGATCTCAACGCAAAACGCAACCAAAGCTGGTTGGCTGGAATATACCTTCCAGGATTCTATCACAAATTTGGCAATTTTTCGAAGGGTTGTGACCGTTTCCCTCCGGAGGTCATCAATCAAGCGATTAAATCAGCAGTAACAACCCTGGAAGCTATTCTTAGCGAGGTGGCTATGTACGTAGACCGTTCTGTTCCGTACCTGATTTCAGAGCACTAACGATGCTATAGTTCGGAGGGTGTTGCCGAAGAATATCAGGTTATGCCGCGCAGTCGCACCACGAATGAATTCATAGCGACCTTATTTCAGAAGACTCAGGTACTGTTCTAATCATCTCTCTTTAGCATTGTTCTAATTGATACAGAACGAGAAACACGGGAACAATATGCGGATGAATCTCTACGACAATCTTCGAGCCTTCGGCGATGCAACACAATCAGCGGAGTTGGAATCCTCGAAGTCATGGCTCATGCAAAAGTATAGAAATACTTTGATCATTAGGAAAGCGGACAGCCTGATCGATAAATTTGGCTCCAAGGCCATGGAAGTCCTGGAAGAGTGCGGCAAATGCCCCGCTGTCGCGCAGATGCCACGCTTGACAGAAGAAGAGATCGCCATGGTCAAGCAACTTCGGGACCGTAGTGCAAAGAAAGAAGAACAAAACAAAGCGGCAAAACCCATGGAACCTAAGGGCAAGGGCGAGAGTGAGGCCCAAACCATGGTACCGGAATATCAGTGGCTGCGTATGGAGGTGACGAGAAGATACTCGCGCCCCATCTGTTACCCACGTTGGGGTAAGCCACTGGGCCATATCCTTACTGTTGACCAAAGTTATCCACATCCTAAGGTAAAGTCTTCTGAACTGGAAGACTTCTTGGAGGAGGAAACAATCCTATCTGAGTCAAGTAAGTCGATCAACCTACCATGAGACTTTAGCTGACATACCCAGCATCTGATATCCTTAAAATGGCGGACGACATTCTAAGTGGTCGCGAAGTTTCCTATAAGGGAGCGGCTGCTCTAGAGCCTTCTCCAAACATCGTGTCGAAATGCGTTGAACATATCAATAGTGTAAGCCCATGGACTGAAATATGGGTATTTATTCATGTTTGCTGACCAACTTAGGAAACGAGACGCAAACTCCACAAATCTTCATGGGACAAGATGATACAGGAACTTGCGAGTATCACTGCTCGTCCGGACGAAGCTCGTACAGCCACTATTACTTCTTCCGTCTTTCATGGTTTCCGTAAGACCATGATGCTAGACAACTGGCTTCACGTAAGAAAGCTTTTTCAAGCCATCACAGTGCATGTCAGTTCTCAAGGTCACGATGAGGGTGGTGACAACGCTGGCAATGACAGTGGAGACGATACTCTTCAGTGCTGCAGAGAAGCCGAGAGACAGCTGGTGATGGTACTTGCCGCCATTGGTACTGGCGCTGAGGATCCATTGCCATGGATCCTGACTCTGGATTACGTTTTGTGCAACAATTGGAGAGCTATTCAGGCACGGCTACACGAAAACCATCTAAACCCTGGTTTGTTTCCATTCCTAACAGCTCTTCAAGCCTCTGAAGACTAATTTGGTACGGAAGATTCGCCACTGCTCAACGTTCTGATCAAGATCTACAATGAGCTTGTTCTCTTTGCCCATGGAGCTGCTATAGTTGCAGTCTTGCAGCGAACGCACTCTCAACAGCAAAGGAACCCAGTAAGTTCAACACTTTCAATGGAAGAACTGCAACTTGCTTCTTTAGTTCGCTTGGTACGAGTCTATTCGCAAATTCAACTCCAAATGTGCCGACACCGATTGTACTCGCTTGCTTCCGAACCCGGAGCACATCGCAGAACACCAGATGTCCCGAATTAAGACGTTTATGTCTGTCGAGGCGTGTGAAGCACGCCTGGGTAATTGCAGTGTCCGTTCATTCATTTCGAACAATCGACAGAACGGTTACAACTGCCTCTCCGAACTTCTGGCCTTCTACACGTATGTAATCCTCCCAAAATTTTGCGAAATGAAACTAAATCACCGTACAGAATGGACGAACAGCTCGTAATCCTTGTCTTCTGGTACAACCACATTTTCCACGCCGAATGCTCGAAGCCAAGCCAAGGCGAGCTTCAGGTCAACTGCTTCTAACTTGAAGATGAGAGCTTGGATTGAACAGACTCATTCACAATCCGCCAAGGTATAGCGAGTTTAATGGTTGAGTCTGGTTGAGTGCGGAGACATGATGGCATCAACAAGGAACTCTACATGCACGATGGATAAAATAAATAAAACAAATAAAAAAAAATAAAGATAAAACGATCGAAAAAATCGAAACTAAATCCAATGGGCCAAAAAAGAATCTAATAATGCAAAGAAGAGTAAAAAAAGTCCAGTAAGAGCGGAATTTAGAGTTTCCTCGCTAGAAACAACCTCCGGAAAAAATTTCGGTCAAAAGAATTGTGATCATTGTACACTTACGCGTATACCGCGGCAGCAAAAATGCATCAGCCGCGAATCGAACGCGGGGCCCATCGATGGCAACGATGGATTTTACCACTAAACCACTGATGCTGTTGATTATCAACCAATCGATGGAAAATATCTTGGCAATTGTGAATATATTCTATCAACACAATGTTATGATACTCATCATCATTGAAACATATCTTTACCATACCCTCCATAAGAAACACGACAAATCCCTTGCGCATGAAGCTTCACACATGCTTTGAGACTGTATTAACTTGTTGGCCCGAGACCGGAAGTATTTTTATTAAGAGTTCGGTTGTACGCATTTACAAGCTGCCAATCCACACTACCAACCAAACCATCCCATCCCAACTCAGCCATAGTTGAACGCATTCCGGCACAGCGGACAGCTGCTAGCATTGCTAGTCTTGAACCACTTGAACAAACAGCTGCTGTGGAAGAGGTTCTTGCACGTGCTGCAGCGCTTGCTCGGCAGACTCTTGTCCGCACTCACAATGCTGTAACAGATGGCGCACTCGGTCTGGCCCTTCAGCGCACCAACAACGTTGCGCCGCCATGCAATCAGGCCATCGACGAGGTTGCCGTTCGAGAACGTAACCACACCCTGTGTGTTGCGCAACCATGTCTGCCACTTGGCCTCGGACGCAGCGACACGGTTCATGCCCTCGACTTGCACCGGGAACAGGGGATACGTAGGCGGCAGCCGGATCGCCATCAGCATGAACTGCTCGTCGACCTCGTAGCCGGCCTGGACTTCCTTCGCGCGGGGGTTGACCTTGACCGTGAGCTGCTCGTCCTCGCTACCGGACTGGCTGTTCGCCCACTCGCTCACGCTTTCAAGAGCGTCCGCTATGATGTGCGTGCTGATGTGCCGCTCCGTCCACGACTCGACAACGCTGCGCACGTGGCGAGGTGTATCGATCCACCAGGCGCGTGATAGCGATGAGAGATACTTCAGTGTCAGGAAGTACAGGTGCGCGCTCAGGTACTGTGCGTCTTTTTCGGGATTGTCAGCCGCGGCAGAGGCATCATACATCGTGACATCAAACTTGGACACGTCGACTGGCTTGCCGCGCGTGTGACCGAGGAAGTCGGAGACAAATCCCAACAAACCCGACACGTAACCTTCCTCATTCAAGTTCTCAATGTAGTCTGCCTTGACCTTGTAGGATGAGTTGCTGAAGTGGTCAAAAACCAGCAGCCAGCTGAAAAGATAGCCACGAATGTTCAGTGGCATCGTCCGGCGGAAGGCGTCAGGGCCCAAATTCGCTGCTGATGGGGCTTCAAGGACCAGTGACAGCAATTCTTCTGGCAGTCGGACATTCTTCTTTTCAAGAGCTGCATCAACAGATAGCTGCTGCTGAGCTTCTGGAATTTGCTTGTGTAAAATGTCAAATGCGGCCTGCTGCACTGAGCTTGACTCCGTGACGAGCAAGGGGAATAGCTTAAAAACGATTAGCTACTAATGGGGATAGGTCATAGGTCTGCAGGCTCACCTCTTCAGTGTTCTTGAGCTGCTCCACAGGAACGGCAGCAATTTGGCGTGAAAGGAGCTCGTTGACAATCTGCAAGGGCTGGTTGTTGGAGTCGTCCAAACCTAAACTTGTTAGCAGGTTTCGAAATCATGAGTGAACAAAAACTATACCTTCTGATTGCTTCAAAAGACCTACTAGCCCTGTCGATGCTTGGGCTTCGGTCTCCTTCCATGCGTCAACGAGGTCATCATTAACTTCTTCATCGTTCTTCAACTTCCTCAAGGCAGCAAACATCTTAAGTGAAGCATGGATGCAAGGCAGTGCCCTGTAGATTTCGTCAGTCACCATAGTTAGTGGTTGTTTTCTTCCTTTGACATACAGATCGTAACCGGCGCGGCCACCCTTTGAGTTTGCCTCCTCAGCTATTGACCAGAAAGCTGGCAAGGCATTCAAAAGGCTTGACCAGTGCTCTCCATAGATGTCCTTCATATACGGCAGTAGCGTTGTCAATGCCCTAAATGCCTCTGCCTTGACTTCGAAAGGGACATCCCCATCATTCTCTTCGGGATCGAAGGATTTGGCGATGTGCTGAACGAAGAAGATGAGCCTGCGCTGTGCAACGGTCTCGGCAATGTCTGGCTGGTTCTGGAGCAGTGCGTTTAGAAGCACAAGCTGCCCAAGAGCTATCACAGTCCATGTCAGCATGGTTGTGGATCAAAAAACAGCCATAGAGCCAGGCTGGTTGTTACTCCCAGTTACATACCTTCCTTCGCCTTCTTGGCCATGTCGATACCAGTCAATTGTGCAATGAGCTCGTTACACAGTTGGGACATCGGAGATCTGCTCTCAACCATCGTGCAATGACCAACAATGAACGCAGTGGAATAGAAAACATCTGTAGCGGGTTAGCTCTCATACATATACAAGACAGGCTCCATATCTACCTTGACTCTTTCGCAGATCCTTTATCTTTGCATCCAGATCCGGCGTCTTCTCCATATCCGATCCAACAAGGGACAACAACCTCGACATCACGTAAGTGTAAGCTCGTGCATTGTAGAAAGATTCTGCCGAAGAACCCGTTGCAGCTTCAAGCAGTTGGTTGAAGGAAGACTGCAGGGACTTGTCGTATAAGAAGTCGTTCATCACGAGTTGTGCCTCAGATATGAAGTCCACAATCTCGGATTCCGTGTGCGGGTTATACATGTTCCAGATGTCGTTTGACGAGGCTCTGGAAAGGTTGTCGTTGGTGAGTTGGACTGCCAGCAAAAGATGTTGATAAATCTGCGCCCTGTTTTCGATAGGGATCGATTCGAAGATCTCTGTTGTCTTCAGAAGTCTGCTTGTGTACCAAGCCATCCGGAGCGCTGGAGACCAGCCGTCATTGTCACGCGACATCTTCGGTGGGTTAGTTTCTTGCGAATCGACTAAATAAACTGCACCACCAAGTGCGTTTGTGATGGCAAGGGACGGGTGCGGAGCTAGTTTCAAGAAAGGAGCCAGAGCTGTCTTCCATGCTTCTTTGGATGGGAGCAATTTCTCCACGAGCTCTGTTCTATCCAGATCGGAGCTCTGAAGGAGACTTTGTGCCAGCTCAACCAGGGTAGCCGGCGAAACAGACTCATGCGAGGCTTCAAGCAGGCCCTTCTGAATGACATCAAACATCGATGACTTCAATGCTGCATTGCCGCTGCCTTCCGTAGATAGCGCTGCTTTAATCCGCGACTCCAAGCTCGACGCTTCACCCGCAATGTGGTCATCCGGCGACTCAGTCAAGTAAAAAACTCTACCAAGAAGTTCAGAGCCTTCGGGTTTCGACGCGTATTCCTTAAGCAGCTCTGGCTTGCGCTCAACGACAGTCGACAAACCCTGAATGGCATGAATCGCCTTTTCGCTGATCGAAAGGGACTTTGTCAACTCGGACAGTATCGTGTCAGTGGTAGAATCTGAGAGCACAGGAGTAGAGTTCCTGAGCACTTGGCCAAGGAAAGTCCAATCCGTGCTTCCCTCAATAGCAAGTTGGAATCGTTCAAGGACGAACGATTGCAAGTCAGTATTGGAAGAAGCAAGCTGCGCGGCATTACCAGCGTTCTTCGCAGAAAGAAGTTGCGTAAGTGCGGAGAGTTTTTCTTCCGGCTCTGGCGCCTCGATACACTTCTTTAAAGTAGCGTTCCAGGTTTCCGCGAATTCCGGTCGGTCAGTGAAGGCATACAAGGTAGACGCCAAATAAAGAGAAGAAGGAGAGATAAAAAGGGCAGGGAGATCATCCTTAATGAACGGGATTAGAAGCTCAGAGCATTCAGCATCCTCAAGTAACAGTTGCTTGAATGATTGAATCATAGATTCAATAATCGCAGCAGCACCATAAGGCTTACCGTTCCTCGACTTGAGTAAAGTCAAAGCCTCTCTCAGGACTTGAGAGGAAGAGCGAGCTAGCCGTTCTTTGACGGGCTCGGCATCACTGCCTCCAAGGAACGCTGCTCCAACTATAGCCCACCTATGGCCTTCATCACCAACTCCCTTTTGTGACATATCATAGTCTTTCGACTGGGCTGGAAGGGATGTCTTCATGTCTTCGATCAAGGTTTCTGTGAGCTGCTGCCACTTATCGTCCAGAACAGGAGACATTCCTGGAATTTCCAGAGCTTGCTTGATAAGCTCGGGCGCCCGTGGAGCTGGAATAGCCCAAGTAGATGTTTCAGCTGATGGTTTGACATAGTGTGCCACTATCGGCAACACCATCTCAGTCAAAAGCTTGCTCTGTTCGTCTTCAGGAAGCTGCGCAGACAAGGTAGAAGCTACCTTGAAATACGACTTAAACGCAGCGCTAAGGTTAGGGCGCGGCTCGTCTTTGCTGGTTATGCCACTGTGCATTGCATTCAGGACTTCTACAGCCTCTGGAAGCTGGACGGGTAGTACGTCTCTTGGTAGCGAGGAAACCACCCTCGTAACGTTATCCCAAAATTCCGTGGGACCACCCTCAGAACCGCGTTTCAACCATTGCGGCAGGCGCTGAATTACTGTCTTCTTCTTGTATTGTTCGGTCCACACGGCGGGATAAGCCTCGCTTAGAGCAACGGTTGCTTCGGAGAAGTGCCAGGCAGAACCAGGCTGCTTTGAGCTCAAAGATTTGGCCAAGTAGGACTTAGCAATAGTGGAGAGGTTCGCTGATAGGACATCTGTTGTCGATCGGAATTAGCTTCTGCGACAGGACATAGCCGGATGAGGCACTCTTACCAGGCTGTTTTGAGATACATATCCGTAGTAATCTGTGGACAGCTCTTCTGACAGCAGGGTCATCGTATGAAGCAAACTCCCAGAGCCTGCTATCCTGAATGACCTCCTCGTAGCTAGCCTGTTCTTTTGCTATATCCTCCAGCTGCAGCTCCATGAGCAAGGTCGCAATGACCGAGATGCTCGAGGCTATGACCCGGTTGTATTTCGCAAGAGCATCATCCGGACTAGTATTCCTCTCATCGCTCAATGTATCTACAGCTTCTTTGTCGATCACTGTCCGGCAGTATTCGAGGGTCTGTTGCTGGAATGCTTTTCGTACGGTGCGAAGCTTTTCCGGCGTCGGAAAGACCGTGTTGAAAGCGTCCTGAGCAGACTTCGCCACGGCTTTATCATTGTCATATAACCCTGCCAGCCAGGCTCCAACGATGTTGGGCATGTGCCTTGCGATTCTCTTGCCGCTTGCTGCCGCGATCTTGCCGTGTACGGTATGCGCCAACTGGCGCACTCTCCGCTCACTGTCTATTGAACTGCGCGGATAAAGTTGAACCTGGGAAAAGAATTCCGATTACTATTGCGCTATATGTACATGCGCGAAGAAAACCCACCCATGCATCTATTACACCCTCCTCCAATTGCGCGCCAGCGGAGGCGACATACGACTGGAGGTCCTCCAATGCTTTGGCCTTGGTAGTACTATCTTTCTTGGTAAGATTCTTGAAAGCAACGACCGTATTCGCGTCGGATATGGGAGAAAGGTCCGGCGGCTCGGAGACGTATGAGAGCAGCGAGGCGGAAGATCCAAATGCGGAGCCCGATCCGAATCCGAAGCCTCCACCGAAAGCGCCGGTGGAAGCGCGACCGCTGCTCTTGGTCTTCTTGCTCATGATCGCGGCGTGTGGGTTGTGCGTGCAGTGCGAGTGAGAAACGGTGGATGAAAAGGTCGGAGCAAGCAGTCGGCCGATGACGCAGAGGAGCTGACGCGCCAAGACTCGCTTGTACCCGACGCCAAAACTGACTCGCGCCGGACAAATCAAGCGGATCGCGTTCTCATCAACACGACCACCCGGGGGCAAACCATGTGAAGTGCTGAAGCTGGGCGCTCACCACAGCCCGTTTACACGCGTTTGAGCCCACTTGATACCAATCCACTATTTGAGCCGCCAACATGAAGTTCAACATCGAGTGAGTCAGCCGCATAACTCCCGATGTGTCTACCTAACATGCCAGTGATCTGCCGGTGCTCTTTCCGTACCCACGGATATACCCTGAGCAGTACAAGTATATGTGCGATTTGAAGCGCACGCTCGATGCCGGTGGCAACTGTATCCTGGAAATGCCTTCGGGCACCGGCAAGACGGTCTCTCTGCTATCCCTGATCATTGCCTATCAACAGCATCATCCAGAGAAGCGCAAACTCATTTACTGCTCTCGTACGATGTCAGAGATTGAAAAGGCTTTGGCGGAGTTAAAGGCGCTCATGAAATACCGGACTCAGGAACTAGGCTACGAAGAAGACTTCCGCGCGCTTGGACTTACCAGTCGGAAAAACCTCTGCTTGCACCCATCCGTCAAGCGCGAAAAGAATGGAGCTATCGTCGATGCCAGGTGTCGTAGTTTAACGGCTGGCTTTGTCAAAGAAAAGAAAGAACGCGGGGAAGATGTTGATCTTTGCATATACCACGAGAACTTGGATCTCTTGGAACCGCATAACCTCATCCCTCCTGGTGTCTTCACCCTTGACGACCTCTTGAGGTATGGAGAAGAGCACAAACAATGCCCTTACTTTTCGGCTAGACGAATGATGTCTTTTTGCAACGTCATCATCTACTCGTATCACTACTTGCTGGATCCTAAGATTGCTGAGCGCGTATCAAAGGAGCTTTCAAAGGATTGCATCGTTGTCTTCGATGAGGCCCACAACATCGACAATGTCTGCATTGAGTCACTCAGTATCGATATCACCGAAGACTCATTACGGAAAGCCACCCGTGGTGCGCAAAACCTCGAGCGAAAAATTACTGAAATGAAGTCAACGGACGCGGCGAAGCTGCAAAACGAGTATACAAAACTAGTTCAGGGGCTTCGAGAAGCGGATGAAGCACGAGATGAAGACGCATTCATGGCAAATCCTGCCCTTCCTGATGATCTACTAAAGGAGGCGGTTCCTGGCAACATTCGGAGAGCGGAGCACTTCGTCTCCTTCTTGAAAAGGTTTATAGAGTACCTCAAGACACGCATGAAGGTCCTGCACGTTGTTGCGGAAACTCCGCCTTCTTTCCTAGTCCATTTGAAGGAGCTCACTTTCATCGAGAAGAAGCCTTTACGATTCTGCGCAGAGAGATTAACATCTCTCGTGAGGACTCTGGAGTTGACGAACATCGAAGACTACCAACCCTTGCAGGAAGTTGCCACCTTTGCCACACTCGTAGCGACATACGATACTGGCTTTTTGCTCATTCTCGAACCCTTCGAAACCGAAACGGCCACGGTCCCTAACCCCATTCTTCACTTCACTTGCCTGGATGCCGCCATAGCCATCAAACCCGTCTTTGATCGCTTCAGCTCCGTCATCATCACGTCCGGCACCATCTCTCCACTAGACATGTATCCGAAGATGCTTGGTTTCAACACGGTCGTGCAAGAATCGTACACCATGACACTTGCTCGAAAGTCATTCCTTCCCATGGTTGTCACACGTGGTAGTGACCAGAGCGCCATCAGTTCTGGTTTCCAAGTTCGCAACGACCCCAACGTTGTCCGTAACTACGGCAACCTCTTGACAGAGTTTTGCAAACTTACCCCTGATGGCGTTGTGGTCTTCTTCCCTAGTTATCTTTACATGGAATCCACCATTAGCCAATGGCAAGGAATGGGAATCCTCGACACAGTCTGGAAATACAAGCTCATCCTTGTCGAGACACCTGATGCGCAAGAGACTTCTCTCGCGCTGGAGACATACCGCACAGCCTGCAACAACGGTCGCGGCGCTGTCCTGCTCTGCGTCGCACGTGGTAAAGTCAGCGAAGGCATCGATTTCGACCACCACTACGGACGCACGGTGCTCTGTATCGGCGTTCCCTTCCAGTACACCGAATCTCGCATCCTGAAAGCCCGTCTCGAGTTCCTGCGCGAAACTTATCGCATTAAAGAGAATGACTTTTTGTCCTTCGACGCAATGCGGCATGCAGCGCAGTGCCTAGGCCGCGTGCTGCGAGGTAAAGATGATTACGGGATTATGGTACTGGCGGACCGGCGCTTCCAGCGAAAGCGTAACCAGCTGCCCAAGTGGATCGCACAGCACCTCGGCGATGCGGAAAGCAACATGAGTGTGGACCAGTCGGCGGCGCTTGCGCGCAAGTTCTTGCGCGATATGAGCAAGAGTTATGGGCCCCAGTTGCAAGAAGGCATCAGTGTTTGGGGAATTGATGATTTGAGGAAGTACCAAGAACAGGTGCAGGAGGAAGAGATTAGGATGTTGCAGGACCGGCCAGATAGGGACGTCGTCATGGCGGATGGGGACGAGTTTGATGTTGGCTTTGACCCGGAAATCATGGCGCAGATTAATGTGTAAGAATAGGTTGGGGAAGATGGACGTAAAGCGTTTGAATATGACGCTTGGATATCAATCGAAGGCCTCGAAAATCGAAGGTGAGTATCCGTAGATCTAATAGTGCTCAAGACTATGACCAGGTTTGAAGTAAAGTCTGTCACCTTCAATAGAGGTATCAAACTACCTCCAGAGTTATCAAAACCAGGCAAAAGTTTTAGGGAACTACTATGGAATCAGATCTTCGATCCGGCGTACAACACCAACAACCACCTGGCGAATAGTAAACGAAGCCAAGTCTTTAAAGTTCCTTAGCAAGGGTCTTTATTGCTTTCCTCAGCTTAGTGGTTACGTGAAGACGGCTTGGTTTATCGGTCTAAAAAAGGATGTACGGACGGCTGTTGTGTAGACCCCTGTTAACTAACCCATTAGCTCCTCTCCGCTAATTATAAGATGGCTTATTCCAACGACTCCAACGTTTTCCCTTGGGCGAAAATAGGTATGCAGTTACTAGGTACGTGCCCGGCTACGGCGCATCTCTGCTCGTGCTCACGCCAGCCCAACCAAATAAATCCACATGGATACCGCAAGCGCGAGAAACGACGGAAAAAGCAAGGTTCGGAAGGAAGGTACAGACAGACAGTGCATTTACGCTTCTAACAACGCCGAGGCCAAGAGAAGAAAGAAGGCGATCTATTCTCAAGCCATGAAGAACAGCAACAGCTACAACGGCAGCAACAACACAAGCGCCCCGCGCACGCCTCCCCTTACATACCGTACCCCCTAATCAAACAACCGCCCCATGGCCTTTTGCGCCAACTCGACCCCCAAAAACGTCGCCGCATTCGCCGGCACCGCCCGCGCCATCGCCGGCCCAATGCCCGGGAAAAACGCCCTAAAGCCGCCGCGCGCATACAGCTCGCCGACGACGCCGCGGATCGAGGGCGTGCCCTCGGCGCTCTGGAGTCTGCTCTTGACGGTGTCGACGGGGAAGACGGGGATCCACATGGCGATGCCGGCGGCGCCGCCGGCGGCCATGACGGCCGTGAGGCTCAGCTCGCCGGGCGCGCCGTCGGGCGTCTTGGGCGTCAGCCGCCGCTTCACCGTCTCGTAGACGGCGAAGTAGGCCGCGGACCCCGGACCGTCCCGCGCCAGCGTCATCGCGCTGCCCCGGAACACGGAGCGCACGCCCCCCTCGCGGTAGAGTTGACGTACCACGTCTAGCCCGCCGGCGTATTTGGGCTTTTCGCCTGGCGCGAGCGTCTTTTGGCCTTGGATCTGGAGCAGCACTTTGACGCGCTCGAAGGGCGCCGTTATCAGCGTCATGGGGATTGCGCTGAAGAAGCCGGCGGCGCTGACTTGCGCCACGCTGTATTGGTCGTTGTGGACGGGGGAGACGCTGCGCACGAGGTTCTTGCCTACGTCGTAGCCCCAGAAGGATACCGCGACTGGAGGGGAGGAGAGGGGGGTTAGCTTGGCTGTGTCTAGGTAGTTGCTTGGTGGGGAAGAGGGGGAAAGGGAGGGCAACTCACACATGGGCGTGACGCCCACGAGCGGCGCCGACACGCCCGCATACAGTCCCTACAAGCACAAACACACACAGTCAGCACCCCCAAACCAAAAGAACCAACAAAACAAAACGTACCCTCGCCAACCCCTCCCTAGCAACAGTCCTCCTCACCACATCCATCGCGCCCTTATAAACGCCCTTCTCAGCCGTCTGCAGCCGCACCTTGACCAGATCAAACGGATGCCCCACAACCACCGCGCAGACGCCGCCCACGCCGCCCGCAGCCAGCGCCCGCAGCGACTGCAGGCTGCTCTTTGAGGCGGCGGCGACGTCGTCTTTGAGCTCCGTCGTGCTGGGTAGGTGCGCTGCTACGTCGTCTTTGCTGGGCAGGTTGGAGGCCATTGTGGCAGGTGTTGTGCGTGTATGTGTATCCGCGGCTCGCGACAAGGAGGCGGGGCGTGGTATCGGTGTACTACGTAGTCGTTGCGCGCGTAACACGGTGTGTGGGGTAGCAAGGTGGCTCTCGCTCTCTCAAACGCGGGGGAGGAGAATAAAGAAGCCTCGTAGCGTCTCGTGTCGCGAGCGAACAAACAAACGGCAAAGAGGAAATAAGAGGAAATAAGAGGAAACAAGAGCAGCAGCAGGTGTGTTAACAGAAGCAGCGCGGGGTACGTGGGTAGGTATTGGGCGATGCGGCTCTCGCTCGAACAGCGCCGATCCACAAGCAAGCTTGTGACACCCGGCCGAGGTCCAGCGACGGTCCCCAGGTGCCGAGCAGCCATCACTCTGCTATGTGAGCCGCCCATCCGTCCGTCTGCATGCTACGGTAGTCTCGTGGTCTGTGTCTCTAAAACAATAAATCTCGTGCATCTGCTGCTCATCGCGGCCCATCATCGCTTTCACTGTCCGCTTCTAGCCCGTTTCAGCGTCGCCTGTCTGTACTCGTAACCCTCATCCGTTGGTGCGCCCCGCCACAACCCCGCCTTCCCACCCACACACTCATCCACCCTTCCATCGCTCCGCTCCTCCGCTCCTCCGCTCCTCCGCTCCGCCGTTCCGCTACCTCCATACCTACCACCACCACCTCAAATCAAGTCCAACAACTCGTTACTCGCGCTCTTCGGCTGCTGCGCCTGCCCCTGCCCACCCAGCTGCTCCTGCGCCGGCGCCGGCTGGTTCCCAGCGCCCATATCCAGGCCCGCAAACCCGTTCATCAGGTCCTGCGCGCCGCCGCCACCGGCACTGCCGGCACCGTTACCATTCTGCACAGGCGCAGGGGCCGGCCCGCCCGGCGCCCCGCCAAACAAGCCCATCAGATCGTCCATGTTGTTCGAGGGCGCGCTCGCCACAGCCGGCGACGCGCCGCGCGGCGTGCCCGCCAGGCCCTCGAGCCCGCTCGCGCCGCCCGTCGGCTGCTGCTGCAGCGACGCCGGCGCCGCCCCGTCAAAGTCAATGTCCAGCAGGTTCTCGACGTTGGATTGCGGCGGGGCCGGGCCACCTGACACGGCTGCCGCCGCGGCCGCTGCGGCGATCGGGTTCTCGCGCGCGTTTTGTCGCTGCTCTTCGATGGCTGCCTTTTGCATGGCTTCGGCGCCGAAGCGTCCTTGGCCGAGGAACGTCTCGGGCAACTTGTGGTACACTGATGCCAGCGTTGAGAGCTCCGTCAGAAGCTGGTCGAGCAGCGCGGGGGGCAGAGAGTGGATTGTCGACGTGATTGGCGGCTTGTTCGACAGAACAACGTTCTTTTAGACATTAGCATGATGATCAACACTCGGTTTATTAGATCCTTACCTTTGTGATTTGCGGGTCGCTAGACAACAACCGCCAGTAGACGTATGCCCTGTCTCTGATGTCTGGGTTGTCGTTCTCGGCCGTTGCAGCCTGGAGAACCTTTTGCACCAAACCTTGCGACTGGTCGGGCTTCTTCAAGAAAAGCTTGACCACCGCCGTGAGAATCTGCAGTTGCGTCTACATTCAATGTTAGCAATAGCCTCCGAAAAGTGGACGACGAATCATACCTGAGTGAACTCCTCGTTGAAACCCTCCACAAAGCCTGCTAATATCTCGCCGGCGTTGCTGATCTTCTCCGCATACTCGCCGACAATCCAAATGAGCGACGCTCTCGCGTTGGGCTCGTCCAATTCATCAATGCACTGGCAGAGCGTGGGTATTATGCCTTCGTAACCGGGGTACTTCCGGAAGATATCCTTCAGAACCACGACCGCTTCCTGCACAACGTAGTTGACCTTGGTCTCGATGAGAGCGAGGAGCGTGTTGACACACTTCTCGGTGGAGCTCTCGATCTTGATGGCGACTTGGCCAATGGCCTTGACCGCGCGCTTGACGAAATCCATATCGACTTCCATGGCGTATTCCTTCAGTTCGGCAAGGAGCTGGTCTACGTTGCGGTCGTTCGCTATCCGGACCATGATCTCGAGCTTCTCGAGCTTCAGGTATGGGGGGTCGTTGTACTTGCAGAAGAAGACGCGCATCTCCTTGCTGAGGATATCGGGCTGCTTCTGGAGCAAAAGGTCGATGTTGCGCAGAGCGACGTACTGGACTTCCGGAGCCGATGATACAAGCGTAACTGCGATTGTCAGCGTAGCCCAGTGATTGACGATTCACCCAACATACCAAGCGGAGGGGCCATCTTCTTGTTATACGACTTGGCCAGCTCCGGTCCGATGTACTTCATGTGGAGGAAGACCACCTTGACCGCCGCAAGAACAACACTGGGGTTGACGTGCTGGAATTGGGGAACCACCCTCTCACAAATATGTTCTGCCTCCTTAACATCCGTAGCTCTGTAGTCCGCCAGCGTTGTCAAGATCTTGACGCGGCCCCACTCCGTGCATTCGTTCAAGGCCATCAGCATCTTCTTCAGCCTGGCCGGAGTGATCTCGAAGACGTTCATTTCCGGCGCCGAGTCATTGATCTCGACCAACGCGGTGACCGAGTTCGCAACGACCATCGGGTTGGGGTCGCCAATGAGTTCCTGCAGCGTCTCGAGGAAGCCGTTCTCGACGCACATGGTCGGGTTCAAGTCGAAGAGCTTCGCCACGCAAAGAACGGCCGTCTTCCGCACGTAGGGAGACTCGTCCCGTAACGTCTTCCGCAGCGGCTCTTCCATGTAATCCACCATTTTATCCACTCGTATACAGCCCATTGTTCTTATAGCAAGCGCGCGGACCAAGGGGTTGGGGTCTTCGGAGTCTTGGACGAATGTGTTAACAGCGAGGATACAGAGATCGGGGTGTGATTTAGCATAATTCCTGCAGCAAGCGATTAGATGGTCCTCAATCGGAGGATTCAGGGATCAGGCGCACATGAGATATAGGTAAACGAGCTTCTTCTGGTCCAGATCCGCCGTCGCGATGTTCTTTAAGACGTCGGGGAACAGGGCGGACACATCCTTGCCCAGAGTCATGGACATGATGGTCTTTTGGATCGCCTCTTTCCTAAGCAAGTCTCAGTAACCACGCTTGCCTGGAGGCGCTGTGAATGGTCTCACCGTTCGTAGGCATACTGCGACCTGGGCTCGACCGTCAGTTACTATTGCACACCTGGACGCTGCCAATGCTCTTACACCAGGCCGGCGCGCAACTCAAATGTTTCTCCCTTCCTAGGCGCCGCAAAGGCGCGGCTCAGCCTGTTGACTGCCATCTCTCTACAGTTCAGTTGTAGAGGTGACGACCGTGGCCGTGCCCCTCATGCACCAGCGCGACTATTCGTGGGAGCCTGACGCCGGAGATCGAAGGCGTCGAAGGTTGTCGGGAACGGCGTGGTCGTTTGCAGAAAGACTGGGGCGCTGCGACGATGGCTTTGACGGGGTCGAGGGCGGAAATGTGCGCGAGGCAAGCTGTCCAGTCTGGGGACGGTCACGGTTGCTGTTCTCTGGTTAAGGGTAGCGTAGTGCAGCGGAGGCGGTGATGAAACAACATCCTGGCCATCTCCTCGCCAAGCTCCACTTCCCAAAGCTTCGACTCCTTCGAGCCGCCACACCGCATCCCTCCCACATAATGGTACGTGGTATTCTGCGGGACATGTCCTGGCTCCCTATTGACGGCTTTGCAGACCTCGAACCTCCCGAACCTCCGTCGTCTCTTTGTCGAGTCGCGGAGCGAGGCGGAGGAAAGCGCATACTCCCGCAATGCCGTATGTCCAAGTTATCATCTCCTAAATGTCCGTTTTCATCTCTCTGACATCCATTGAGTTCTACAACCTCGTGCTTTTCATGTCCTCCGTAGCCGTCTTCAGCTTGATTGCCCAACGCGTGACCACAGGCAAAGCCATAACTGGTCCGTGATCGGAGCACACCCAAGCCGCACCGTAGTTGGCCGCCAAAAGTCCTGGCCGGAACAACACGTCGTCACGGCAATCCCAAGACACCGTCTTTTTTGAAAAAGTTAAAATTTCCCGAAGAGTTGGTCTTGCATACCAATGATCGCCCTCAAGCGAAAGCGCAGCCGATGACGGCTGACGTCGACGCTCAACCACCAACGACCAACAAGGCGATGCCGCAAACACTCGTACATCCTCTATATGGGACCCCTGCGCACGCCTCCGCAACTATCCGGCGCCGCGGCCTCCACGCCCAGCAACCTCCAACCGCAGCATGGCATCTCCGGAGTACCATTCTTGACGCCGCAACCCCCCCCCCCCCCCCCCC